ATGCATGTTGTATAGTATAGGTATCGTGTGCTAGCAGGCTGGCGGGACATCGAATGCGCTTTTGGTTTGGAAATGCATCGTGGCTTGTATGGTTACTAGATCGACCTCTAGTTTTGATAATGGGTTCATAGTTTAGCATTCACACCCTCTCTGCCCCTCACACACAACCCCCCCTCCCCCCTCCCCAAAAAAAAACTGAAAATAGAGAGAGAGAAAAAAAAAGCCTACTTATCCAGCCCCCTCGCCTTTACAAACTTTGCAATCTGGTCCTTGCACGTCTTATCCGTATAACTCTCCCACACCTCATACAGCGAAATCAGCTCCTGCGTACACTCCACCACAGCCTCGATATCCACATTACTCTCCGCCAACCAATCCACCAACTTTTGCACCCGATTCTGCACCCCACCCGCACTCCGCGCATTCCCCAACGACTGCAGCGCGCTCGTCATCCCCGCCGCATTCGCCTGCAGTCCGCCTTGGGTCGGCTTGAGCACGACGGCGAGGAACATGGCCGTGATGGCGATGACGTGGGGTGCGTGTAGCAGCGGGAGGTCGGTGAGGTAGTGGTCGTTTATAATCGACCACGCCAACGCGTTTTCCTCCTGCGTCAGCTGGAAGTGGGCTTGGAGTTCGCCGAGGCTGCGGTAGGGGTGGTGGATGATGAGTTGGGAGTTCATTTCCGAGATGAGGGTGAATTCGCATTCGCCGATTTTGGAGATGTCGTTGAAGGATGTGTCTGTATTTGGGGTCGGGTGTGAGTGAGTGTGGGCTTTTTTCATCTTGTGTCTTCCTCTTCGTTTTTTTTTCTGCTGAATTGGAAAATGGAAAAGGGGCAACTTACCCCAGCAGTGTCGTGCTTCTGCGAGCACCATGCGAATGTGTTGGGGACATTCTTCCATCTTGCAGGCTAGATACAATGCTGTGGCCAAGACGAGCGCTGGATTCGTTCTTCGGATTTCAACCTTTGTGTAGAATCTGCGGATGTAGACTTGAGCAGTGGCGAGAGCTTGTTGCCGAATCCCCAGCGGCCGCGCCATTTTTTGTAATTCTCATGTCAAGTCAGAGAGGAACGCAATCAATAAAACCAAGTACGACTTTACATACGGTGATAGAAGTAGATACTGAGGTGTCTGCGGTCTGGCAGAGGATAGAGATTTACAATATTTCGCTCGGAATCCTCAATCTTCTTTCTCTCTGTCGCGAGTTCCTGCTTGGTGAAGGTCCAGAACTTCCGTTGCGTGGATTCCCAGTAGCTAGATGCCATGTTGAACGTATTGTTTGGAGGGAGAACAAGCCAGTGGCTATTCGAAGCGAGGGCTGTTACTGATATCAAACTCTCTTCATGCGGGGGGATTCGCGGTGTTTTTGTATGTGAGGTGTGATTTTGTAGGTAGACGTGATCCAAATTTGCTTCGTAGTTGCCAGACAGAGTGGGCGTAAGAAATTATGGTGTACAAGTAATTAGGGGTATATGGGAATTGCAAGATGTACAGATTCTTAGTTTCTTCCGTCCTGAACCCGATGCGATGTCGAGGCTGGTCTGATTGTAGAACGTCTATTGTTGGCCCATTTGGCTGGAAGGCAGTCACATAGAGGACGAGACCATGGGCACGCGACAAACAGACCAATCCTAGAAACGTGCCGACAAGGTGATGAGTGCGAGGTAGGTATCTTGTGCCTTGTTCACTAGGACGATTGTAGTGGTGAAAGTGGTGAATGAGCGTCCAATCAAACGTCGGCGAATAGCGACCTCCCTGTTGCGCTTTCTCTCGGTGATGCTGCTGGCCAGGCTAGGCTTTTTCAGGCCAACCCTCCAAGCTTCGACTCTGACCTCATACCCCACGTCGAATCCTATGCAACAGGTCTTTCTCCTCTGCCATTCCTGCCGCAGCTCCCCTCGTCCAGCGCTACTAGCCGCCAACCTCCGCGTGTTCGCGACCCACAGCCATGATAGAACGACGATAGTGGGGACACAATGGACACACAAAGCGCAAGCGTTGCGGACGCCAGGGTCGACCAGCTATGGCAGACGCTTGACACGCGCAAACAGGGCCAGCTTGACCTCCCCGCTCTGAAGAAGGGGCTGCGGAAACTGGACCACCGTAAGAGTCGAGACGCCACACCAAAGAAACTGTGCTAAGAGGACACTGCAGCCCTTAAGAACGCGGACCATCTCCTGGACGAGGTGATGAAGGCTGTAGACACAGACGGCGACGGCAAGATTACCTACGGTGGTTAGTGGGGATATGGCATGGCTGTGCATTGGCTCGGATGGCTAACTCTGCCTCATGCAGAATTTCGCACCTTCGTCCACGAAACCGAGAAAGAGCTTCTCTCCCTGTTTCGAAGCATCGATAAGGACCGCGACGGTAGACTCTCGAGGGACGAGCTGCGTATGGCTCTGAGTCGCGCTGGCCTCGCGGTTCCTAACAGAAGTCTCGACCACTTCTTTAAAGAGGTGGACACGAATAATGACGGCACTATCAGTTTTGAAGAATGGCGGTACGTTTCCACAAGAAGCACCACACGACTCAAGCCATATTGCGGGCCGACAGTTGCTGCAGACATTTTGATGGCTTCAATTGCCATCTATCCAATGTTCCATTGCAATTGCATGTTGCCTTGCCAGTGCTGCGGCCTGTGATATGGTTTGCTCGTGATTGGCACTAGTTTTGTCGTGCTGGTTACCATGGAACTGCGCTGACCAGTACAAGGGACTTTCTTCTCTTTATCCCCGCCAACACGCCCAATCTGGAGGCGGTCATGTCCTATTTTTCAGCAACCATGAAACTCAACTCTGAGGGTGACGTTCTCATCAGCGATGACACCATGCAAGGCCTAGGTACTACAGAGCGCTTTCTTGATATGTTATTTGGTTCCCTTCTCCTCGTAGCGCGGACACCGCCCTATTCTCCTGCCCCGTCAGATTACATGGCACCGCTAGAAATGGCTTCGCCCTCTAATTCGACATTTGCCGTTCCGCAAACCCTCCCGCCACGCCTCGATGAAGAGGAGTGTATTGCTCCCGTCGTTGAGGCACCTAAAGGGATTCTAGAGGACTTCGGAAACATGCTGATTGCTTGTGTTCCCAATCCAGGCTATTTTGTGGCGGGAGGTATTGCAGGAATTGTTTCTCGCACCTCGACTGCACCCCTCGATCGTTTAAAAGTCTACCTTATTGCCCAAACCGACGTAACGAAAGAAGCCGTCGTTGCTGCGAAGCATGGCAATATCGTAAAAGCCGTGCTCAACGCATGGAGACCGCTTGCGACTGCTATGAAGGAATTGTGGCAGGCCGGCGGCATGCGTAGTCTGTACGCTGGTATGTTATTTCGGATTGGTACCATTGACGCCAACTGATTATGCTAGGCAATGGATTGAACGTCATTAAAGTCATGCCTGAGTCAGCCATCAAATTCGGCTCTTACGAGGTAGGTATCTGGACATGATTAGAGCAGGCAAGAGCTCAAGGACACACTCTGATGTTGATTTAGGCTGCAAAACGCGTTTTTGCCAAGATTGAGGGCCACAACGATCCAGCAACGATCCATTCGTGGTCCAAGTTTGTGGCTGGTGGTCTTGCAGGAATGGTCTCACAATTCGCCGTCTACCCTATTGATACCTTGAAATTGTAAGCAGAGCCAACCATTGTAGGCTAGCATAAGCTAATATCTCTCAGTCGGATGCAATGCGAGACAGTCTCCGGAGGCCTACACGGCAATCGGTTAATCTGGGCGACTGCGAAGAAGATGTGGGCAACTGGTGGTGTCTCAGCCTACTACCGAGGACTACCCATGGGCATTTTTGGCATCTTCCCATACGCAGCACTTGACCTGGGAACGTTTGAATACCTAAAGCGTTACGTCGCCCGGCGAAATGCAAAGCGACTGGGATGCCACGAAGAGGACGCACAGCCTGGTGGCTTCATGACCGCAGCCATCGGTGGCTTCTCCGGCGCATTTGGAGCGAGTGCAGTATACCCACTCAACGTGCTGCGAACGCGATTACAAAGCCAGGGTACTGTCCTGCACCCGAGGACCTACACGGGCATCATGGACGTCACTCGCCAAACGATTGCCGGTGAAGGTATGAGGGGTCTCTTCCGCGGTCTGACGCCTAATCTGCTCAAGGTGGTTCCTGCCGTGTCCATTACCTATGTCGTCTATGACAAGTCGAAACAAGTCATTGGCTTACGATGATGCATCGCCCTACACACACCACATCCATGGCCCCTTTTCCATCCTACATCATCAGCATCGGCATTAGCATCAGTATCATCGCCAAGCCTGTCCCTCACCCCAGCACCACAATCCCTCATCCCGCCGCTCCCAACACCACCAACCCTTTTTAACGAAACCAAGAAAAAGCATGATCCCTCGATATCCAAGCTCGAACAGCGCGTTCATTCCCTTTGTAGATTCTCACATACAAATGATACCCTTGACGCTTCGCGTTTTAGTATCCTCCCCTTGTTGGCACCTCCACCGCCCCACCACCTTTTCGCCCATGGCTCTTTTTTTCCCTTCCTTTGTGGGCTTTCTTTAACCTTTGTTCGTTTGCATCAGGCGTGGCGTTTTTTTTGTTGTGGGTTTGAGAGGGCGTTTGTAGGTATCATGAGCGCGGGGAGGCGTGTTGGGAGGTTTATGAGGGAGGGAAAAGGGGAGGACAACTGGATGGTGTGATGTGTGGTTAGAGAAAAGTATAGGCAATGAGAGAGGGGAGGAGGCGAGCATATTGTTTCTGGATGTGGATGATTGGTATGCTATAATATCTACCTATATGTGGGTGTTTGATATGTGATGACCTCATCTCGAAGTGGGGAACGCCCCGAGTTCCATTCCACAATTGAAAGAAGAAAAAGATGCTGCACGAGTCGGGGAGAAAAACGCCATGGATGCTCTGTATATACATATTTCGACCCACTCCACGCCAGCCCACTCACTTGGTAATGACAATCAACAAGACGAGTATGACAATCAAAACGACAATGACGGTCAAACTCCAATTCTCCCTCGCCTTTCTCGAAAAGCGATCGAGCCTGCCCCTCGCTCTTACAAACTGGGCCGCATGGCGATCCACGCCCTCTTCCACATCATCCAGCAGCATCACCTGGCCGTCGAGCTCATCCCCAATCTGCATGCTGAGTTCGCGCTGGCGGCCAATACTCGCGCCGAGGGCATCGAGCTGGTCGTCCTGGTCGGCGATGATGCGGCTGTGGTAGGCATGGATTTGCTGGTTGTCAAGGTCCGAGTGGTCTGGTGGTGCGGTGTCGTCGGCGGCAGAGGGGTCGTCGCGGTAAGGGAACAAGGAGGCGCGGGTTGCGGCTTCGGTGGGCGATGGGGGCCCGGAGGTGTTGGGGTCTGCGTCGGTGAAGCGGACGGTTTTGTGGGATTGTGGTTTTGATTTTGCGGCTGTGAAGTCTGGAGTTAGGGAGGGGTTGTTTGGGGTTGCGAGGGTAGTGGAGGAGGAAGATGCGCGGTCGAATTGCGAGGTTAGGTCGGCGAGTTGGGTACGTAGACGGGGGAGTTGGGAGGTTATGGATCTGGGGGTGGATGTTTGGGTTAGTAGGGGGGTTCCGTTTGTGGTGCATGGAAGATTGGGGCTCTTTTACTCGTCTGGTTTGTCCTGGACTTGCGACTCGAGCGATTCAATACCAGAGCGCAATTGCTCGAGTGAGCGCGAGATCTGGCCATCTTGGCTGTTTGGCGAGAGGTTCAGGGAGATGGCTCGTTGTCGCTCGAGCAATGAGAGCTTGATGTGGTCTGCGAGCAGAAAGAGTTGTGGGGGGTTTGTTGACATGCTGGGTGTGGTGGGGAGGATGCAAAGGAGTGAAGAAGGAACGATGCGCCGAAGCCTAGAGTTGGATAACTAACGATGAATGGATATGACTATGGCTGTGGTTGTGGTTATGTGCGGCAGGTGAAGCGCTACCAGACTGGAAGGATCAAAGGGAAGAACAACGAGGTTGACGCGCAATGCTAGGTACTCCTGTCGTTGTCGCTGTTGCTGCTGTAGAGAGCGGTGATATGTTGTTACATGTGCGACCAGCAATAAACAGACGGGGTGGGTGATCCTGTCGCAAGCAAGTGGAGACGGCAAGGCTGTGACGACTTTGGGGGGCTGGATTGCACCTGCGTGCGAACGAACGAGGAGCGGTCCGCTGACGTCTGGCTCTGTTCGGGGCGGACAAGCGGGCCACTGCGGAGCAGGCACAGGGCGGTGTTCTACTCCAAGTACAAGGAGGGCGACCCAATGTCTCGCTCTTGCGCAACCAACAAAATCGCCCGCCTGCTCCCTTCCACTTTGGGAAACATGCCTGCATTCCGGTGTAGCCCTTTCACCACGCCTGCTGTGCTCACTTGTTGCTATATAATATTCTGTCCGCTGTCGCTGCCTGCTCTGCCAGACTAACAACTAGCTATCCGACTGTGAGGACTGCTGTAGCCATTCTCTCTCTCTCTCTCTCTCTCTCTCTCTCTCTCTCTCTCTCTCTCGCTCTGCCCCCAACCCCCCCCCCACTGCCACGCCGCCTCCGACAACCCCAGCCTGGCTGACTAGCTGCCTGTCTGCTTGCGACAACCACTGGCCATCTCACCGCTGAGGCTGGCGTAAATCAAGACGAGACGAAACCATACTATATTATACTGCGTCCAGTGGCCCATAGACGCACATAGACATAGACATCACGGCCATGTCGGCGCCCAGCCCCATCCCTCCCCCAAACGACCGCCGGAGCTCGCAGGCGTCCACCCATAGCCTTCACAGCGGTGTGCCGCCCGATGTCGACGACAGAATCACGGTCGGTGGCCCTCCTGGCAGTCCTTCGCCTCTGGCTCTGAGAGCCTCCAACTCACCCTCTTCGAAGCGCCGACACAGCCGAATCGTCAAAGTCCCACCCGAGTTCCAGTCGCTCGAATACGTCTCGACCCCCGACAGCAACCTCGTCTGCCTCATCTGCCACACCCCCTTTGACAAGCCCGTCCAGCTGGCCTGCGAGCACTACTTTTGTCGCGACTGTCTTGACCATGCCTGGGCCCCTCAGGCCAACGGTCGCAGGACCTGTCCGACGTGTCGCGCCAAGGTGGAGAGCGAAAAGGACATTCGGCCTGTTCCCAAGATTGTCGAGACCATGTTGGACGAACTGGTGGTCAAGTGCTCGAATAGCAAGGCTGGCTGCAACTGGGTGGCCCAGCGCGCCAATGTCAACGACCACGTCATGCTGTACTGCGAGTACACGCCAGTCGAGTGTTCTGGCCAGGACTGTCGCCTGCAAATCTCCCAAAAGGACTTCCACAAGGGCTGTTTGCACTACACGGTGAGCTGCGAGCACTGCCGCGCTTCGGTCATGAAGAAGGATCTCGAGGCAAGTTGGTCGGACATCACTACAAGACACTACGTACTAACAGCTACGCAGGAGCACCAGCGCAACATCTGCTTCAATCGAACTACGAAATGCACATTATGCTCTGCCGAGCTTCTTCGTCTGGACCTCAAGTCGCACATGAATGATAGCTGCCCCAAGAACGTCATCTCGTGCCAGGGCGCCATCGTCGGCTGCAAGTTCAGCTCTGAGCGCGCCACTGTGCTCGAGCATGAAAAGAGTTGCGCAATGGCGACCATGGCACCGCACTTCCGCGAACAACAAGCCCGAATCGAGAGGAACGAAGCACGACTAGAGCCTTTGACCAGGAAAGTCGGCATTTTGGAAGACGGACTTTCCAACATCACAAACTACCTGTATCCATCCAACAGCAACGATTCTTCATTCCCCGTCACGGATCCCCTGGATGCAAATGATACCGAGCATCAAGCGCCGACGCCCGATTTCCGCCTCCCTCCCGCTTCCTTTCCACCAGTGGCACCAGGCACGGAGGGCACGCCTGCACAGCCACCTTTTGACTCCCAGGTCCACCACCTGCTCACCCTGCACGACTCCCTTCGCGAGGAAGTGTCTCGCATCGCAAATGCACTGACCGACCTTGATGGTCGCACCAACATGATGATTATTAATGAGAGCCAACGCGCAAAAGACGAGATGCTGCATGCTAATGCTGCTATCAGTAGTATGCGCATGCACTTGCAATGGCTGATAAGCGCTACCATTCACCAGCGCTCAAATTCCACGGCTCGTAGCTCCGGTAGCACAAGCGCAACAGCGAGCGGAAGCAGTGAAACACGAACCACTGCATCTAGACCGGGTCCCAGTACAACGTCCCAAGGTCCCTTCCGTAGGCTAAGCGACTCGAATCGACAGGACACGAAGTTGTGAGAGCATTTGAGGTTGCATAGGATCGCAGGCCGATCTACGATATCTTTAACGAAAAGTGTTTTTTACGACGGCGTTTTGTCTATTGCCATCCGGTCAGCGGGATATGGGTTTGCAGGTCTACTGATGGCAAGATCAGGCCAAACTAGAGTTTATTACTGGCAGCCTTCGAGGTGGCATGGAGTTTTGGGCACATGGAAATCAGACTGTGGTGTGAACGGTTTATACCCCCAACAAATATCATCGTTGCCACTCTCTCCCACAGTAGACCACCAACGTGGGTGAGCACCACCATGTAGAATGAATCAACAACAAATTAACTATGCCCATCTTTTTTATGATTATGCACGCCGGGCACCAGCGTGGCCCGGCTTTTTTCCCCCAGGACGCGCGAATGTCCATGGTGCATGTACTATGCTCTTTTGCACACACCAGCCTTGCTTATCTCTAGGCCCTTGTGGGAAATTGAACGACTAAGTCTGAAATGACATGGCTATTTGTCTGGCTCGGGGTTTTTTTTGTTGTTGCTATTGATTTAAGTTAGTTTAGTTTGGTTTAGTTAAAGGTAGGAATATATTAGTCGTTATAATAAGCTTGAGTATTAATACATAATTTATTCTAGCAAAAAAAGGACAAATTTCTGAAAGCCTAATTATCTGGATGCTCTCTTTGAATGACAGACGATACCCCCCTCCCTCGATGCACAGAGGGACAAAAAGCAAAAAATATGGTTTTTGCGACACCTGTGTGATTCGAACACACGCTCCCGAAGGAACTGGCTGACTTCCCTTCAATGAAGGACTAGCAGGCCAGCTATTACTTGTCAGTAAAATGTCTCGGTAGATTTTCAGAATCGATACAACATACCGCGTTAACCACTCCGCCAAAGTGCCAGAATGTGCTGTGTTTGATGATGATGGATGAAATTATGAATAATATATCAAAGTGTCAGAGACTGCGACTGGTGCACACGGCGGACTGAAGCGGGGTAAGCGTGCGCTCCGTCATATGTTGAAGTTAGATTAGTAGGACAACCTTTAAATGTTGTAGATATATATAGGCTCTTTTTCTATACATATGCTAACTATAGTATAAGACAGGCTTGTGATTTACTATAGTATAATATTAACTAACTACACCTATATCTTAATCCTAGTGTCACGACGCTGATGTATAGACTTGCCCAAATAGAAGGGCGGTGAAGTGAGCGGTGACTGCGTACGGGCTTGGGAGTTAGCGGCAGCCTTGCCTTCGGCCCCACATGTTTGCCAGTATTGTACACTGTACAACATCAAAGATCACCGTTGCAAAACTCCGTTGCATTTGGTACAATTGACCAACACCCTCAAGCGTCTACAACCTTCTCACGACAATTCGATCAATCAACCACCATCAACGCCCATTACCCACCGGCCAGCCCAACCCATCCACCTACAACCCAACGCCCGCGAACCACCAACCCCACCACGAATCACAATGTCCTCAACCGCCCTCCCCATCTCCCCCACTCGCTTCGCCACCGCCCTCACCACCCTCACCCTCCCCACCCTCTACGCCAAACACGCCGAACTCAGTAACCAAATCGCGCACCTCGTGGCCAGCAACACGCAGCTCGAGGAGTACGCGCGCGAACACGATGATCGCGAGTGCTATGAGGCTGTGTTGGAGAATAGGGAGGTACTGAGGCGGTTTGAAGAGAGGAGGGCGTTGGTGGTCAAGGAGGTTAGGGAAGTTAGGGGGTTGGAGTGGAAGGGGGAGGGAGAGAGCGAGAGCGAGAGAGCGGGTGGAGATGTGGCGGGTGCGGCTGTGGAGACGAGTGGTGCGGAGGCGAGAAGGGGGGAGAGACGGGAACAACAACAGGGAGAGGGAGAGGGACAGGGGGAGGATGGTGTGTATCTTTGATTTCTCAAAGAGTGAGCCGGGTGAAATTATAAGATACCCGCCATTCGTACATTCGCGCCCTGAAGCTCGGCATATGCCCGTCGCTATCCTGCTAGGGCCGATACGAACAAATACCAACCCCACAACCGGGATACGAATCTCTGATATTCGACTGGGAATACTGGTGAGTCGTTCTGCTGCTGCGCTTGCACAAGTTCTTACAATGGCCAAGCTGATGGCTCCAGAAATACAACTGCGCATGATTTACTATGTTTGCGATATATCGCGATCTAATGCAATGATGGGGTCCCGCGTCCCTGGATGTCGAAATGATGCCACAGAGGGGCATGAAATGTCGATGCAAGCTTTTCTGGGATGTTAGGTCGATGCGTCATGGCGGTGTAGTGGCTGAATTATAAGAGTGATTTGAAATGAGTGAGCTACTTTGACCAAGGGTATATTTGTGCGAAGAACACAAAAGTCTTCATATTTACAATCATCAAATCGGAATTTGCATTCAAATATCCATATTCATACTTTGCAGCACCCATCACCTACTCGTATTCATACCCGGCATCAAGTCCGGTTTGTCCAACACCATTCCCCTTAGCAGAATCCATTGCCTCAAGCCCTCCCACTCCTCACCCTCCTCATCACCTCTTCTCCACTCTTCCTTAAACCCCCAAGCGCACGCAATCCTGTCCAGGGCCGCGCGCTCATCCTCGTGCAAGAAACGATCCAACAGCGGAACACCAGGCCGCCAAACCACACGGTCATGATGATCGTTGTGGGTGGTCCAGGCCACAAAGCCGAGTGTACCCGTGCAGAGGACATAGGTGCTCATCCCCAAAAAGGCATAGAGCTTGAAGATGGCGGGGTCAATGTAACCGCTGTAGACGGAAAGTTCTTGTGCAACCATGTAGATGGCGAGGGGTGTGAGGCTGGCTATGGCAGCAGGAAGACCCATCTTTGTGATCATGCGGTGGCGACGCCATGCTGGGGTCCGGTAGGTTTGGTCGACGACGGCAAGAGCGAGGGAGAGGTCCTTGGCTTGGATTGCTGCTGTGAGGGCGTCGTTGGCGAGATCCGCGGGGACAGCCTGTTTTACAGACTTGGGAGAGGGTTTCGAGAATTTGGGAGGCGAGGAGCCTTCTTCCGGGACAGGCTTGTGTGCGTAGAGGTAGAGGGCCTCTGGGATCGTTTTCGGTCGGGCGAGAAGTCGCTGTAAGTAAATGTAATGGCCGAGGATATCGGGAGAGATAAAGACCTTTTCATTCTTGATTAAGTCCTCTGCAAGTTTGGAGAGGTACGAGGGCGAAGGGAGAGCGTCAAAACCGAGTGACTTCTTTCGGACAACCTTGTGGGTGCTGGTGTTTTCGTCGCTTCGCAGCCCTGAGAGGATTGCGCCCGCAGAACTTTGTTGTATAGATGGGTTGGTTGGTGGAGGCTGCCCTGACCGTATGGCGATGGACAGCTGGGAAATTTGGTCCAATTCATCTAATATGCCCAATATAACAGCTTCGGTTGGCACTTTGGGTATTCGATATATTTCTCGGATCTGAGACTCGACGCTTTCAAGTTTTGCCCTCACCATAGCGATGCGATCCGACATCTGTAGATGCCCATTGCTCTCATCTTCCAGCTCTTGCCCCTTCCGGACCGTCGTCGTAATGCTGCGGGCGGGTACTATGCGTGGTATTAGGCGTGCAGGCGTGCGCCGTATCATATACGAGGGTGGTGTCCCAGGTGCCTTGATGGATGACGCGGCCAGAAACGGGCGGCGACTGGCAGGCTGCTGCAGGATGTAATCGCACAATTGGCATACTGGCCGTGGCCGTGGCTGTGCCCGCAGTGGCAACCGTCCCGGCTTCATGGCGTTGGCAATGCTAGCGGTGGTGGTGGTGTTGGGCGAGTTCGGATATTTGACATGGCCCAGCTGTGGGTGAAAGAGAGAGAGAAGGTCGAGCCTTGATCATGATGCGACCAGCGCCAAGCCACCATGAGCGACTCCCAACTGACGGAATGTTCCAACCCAAGCCCCAATTCCCAACTCTCCAACACGACGCTCGACCAGCGCCAATAAGCCGATATCAGGCACCCAAAGCCCTACATAGTACACCCACCAACCCCTCACCACGCGTAGAAAACCCCCACAAACTTGGTCCAGAGCACACACGACACCATGCCCGCACCACCTCCCCCTCCGCCCATGCCGCCCATGGGTCGAGGTGCTGGAGGGCCACCACCACCGCCTCCTATGCCTGGAATGAAAGCTCCAGGTGGGAAACCGCCTTCGGGAGCAGGAAGAGTATGTTGATGCACGGGAGCGCAATCGCCATGCTGTGAAGGGTGAAGGGGAGATTGCGCTACGTGGAGCTGTGACTAACACCTCGCAGGGCGCTCTCCTCGGTGACATTACCAAAGGCGCGAAGCTGAAGAAAGTGGGAGTAATCAACGACCGATCCGCCCCTATCGTAGGCAAGGTCTCAGACGGACCCAGTGTACCAGCCATTGGAGGAGCCCCTCCCGTACCGGGCATGGGAAGACCACCGGCGCCTCCAGGAGGACTTGCGCCGCCTGTGCCAGGAGGCGGAAACCGAGGTCGAAGCAACAGCGACACAGGAGGCGGAGATGCTTCGGCTGCGCCGCCACCGCTGGCTGGCCTCTTTGCAGGCGGCATGCCAAAGCTGAGAAAGTCGGGTGGTGTCAAGACGGGTGCAGACCAGGGCAGTGCGCCATACCTCTCAGATCCAGAGACATCACAGAGTTCGGTGCCGAAACCACCACAAGCAGCTGCGCCGAGACCTCCAGGAGCTCCGCCTGCACCACCGGTACCTGGAGGTCGCCCAGCTTTGAACGCCTTCGGGGGACTCAAAGACTCGAGACCGTCGTCTATAGCCTCGATGAAGCCAAAGCCTCCGCCACCAATCGGCAAGAAACCACCCATGCCACCGCCATCCTCTCGAAAGCCGTCAGGTCTTGCTCCTGCACCGCCGGCCACCCCTTCACGAGCTCCGCCTGTTCCAGGAGGCGCTCCACCTGCACCACCGCCCCCACCCCCGGCATCGACGCCATCCGCACCACCACCTCCTCCACCTCCAGGCCCAGCCCCATCACCGCGAGCGCCTTCAGCACCAGCAGCACCTCCTCCACCACCTTCGCCAGCACCACGAGCACCTTCAAGATCAACACCTCCACCTCCACCAACTTCTGCACCGCCTTCACATAACCCGTCTGAAGAAGACGAAGATTACGACCCGTACCGTTACGATGGTCGCGCGCCGTCAGCACCAGCTCCTCCACCACCAAAAGCGCCGACGAATGGCCACGCACCATCCTTGGCAGAGCAAGCAGCTCGCAATGCGTTTGGCCGTGGTGCACCTGCCGCCCCTCCACCGCCCCCTCCACCAGGGTCGGCACCTTCGACACCATCTGTCCATCACCCAAGCTCGCCCGCTCCCCCTCCTCCTCCAAGCGCAGCGCCGAGCCGGCAAGCGAGTCAGACACCGCTTCGATCAATGATGGACTCGTCTTCATATACACTGTCAAATGGGGCAGGCATGAAGAGCCCTACTACTCCAGGTATGGGTGGGAGTATGGGTGGTAAGAGTAAATTTATTCCTATTCATGACTTGCGATGGAGGTTCCAGGACGAAGCACAGTTCCCAAAGCCAAGAGAGTTCTCGAATGGGCCGAAGAAATACAGGGCCGGGAGGGGAAGCAGTGTGCCACTGGACTTGAGCAACTATGACTGAAAGTGAATTTGTAGGGCAATGGTTTGCAGGTGTTTGGGAGGATGGGTGAATATTGTAGACTAGCTGAGGCGTTTTGGCGCTTGAGGTGTCCTGACTACAACAGTCGGGACACTTGGAATGGTAATGGCGTTGAAGAGTTTTATTCTTGCACAAAACAGGTTGTGAGATTTGAAGGCGAAGTGCACAGATTGTGTCTAGTCAGTGAAGCGTGACCTTCATCTCTACATCAGATTAGATAATTCTCCATCACCGAAAGTTGACCGAATTGATTGTGAAGGATATGGGCACGTGAAGTTGCTTCTGACGTATCAGAGTGCAATCGGTGACGTGCATGCGAGCAGACCCTGGCGATCCATTGCGCTAAAAGCCTCGACTCGAAGGATTACAACTACCACGATCTTGATTGTCCCATCCAAATCCATCATAATTATTCTCCGGTACCTGATTGCTATTTGAGTTCTGCATGAATTGCTCATTTCTTGTTTGCAGTCGGAGTTGTTGGCTTCTCGCTTGTTGTCATGTCTGGTAACACTAATTCTGACATACTGATTGTAAGAGCGGGAGGACCCAAGTGACTTATTTCCAAGCCCATTCTTTGATCGTTCTGGAGGAGAGTACTGATCACTCCATAGGCCGGCGCAATAGCAGCTTTTACAGTCGATCTGCTCGTATACCCACTAGACACCATCAAGACACGCATCCAATCGTCCAACTATGCAAAAGTGTACACCAACAGCGCAACCGGAAAGCCAAACCCATTGCTGTTTCGCGGTGTGTACCAAGGCATCGGAAGTGTAATAATAGCTACACTACCATCTTGTAAGTCACTTTGATCATCATCATGAAATCAAGTCTAACTGCCCATTGTATACAACCACATTAACACGACACAGCAGGAGCATTCTTTACAACTTACGAGCGCACAAAGTCTCTCTTCACTACCCTAAACACCACTTCATCTTCCCCTAATGGCGTCCTACCCATCGCCCTCATTCATGCCGGCGCCTCCTCTCTTGCAGAATTAGTATCCTGCGCCATTCTAACTCCTGCCGAAGTGATTAAGCAAAACGCACAAATGGTAGACACTTCCACTTCAAACACTACTGCCTCCAACGCTACCATTCAAACTTTGAAGAAATTCCGCTCGAATCCGCTAGCTCTGTGGCGCGGATATACTGCACTTGCGGGTCGCAATCTTCCGTTTACAGCGATGCAGTTTCCTATGTTTGAGAGTCTTAAGGGCATGATCAGACAGTGGAGGGACGAGAGGGGATTGACGAAGGGAGGGATAGTGGAGAGTGGGTGGATCACAGCCGTGAGTGCGGGTAGTGCGGGTGCGGTGGCGGCGGTGATTACTACGCCTATCGATGTGGTCAAGACGCGTATTATGCTGAGTGCCGGGAATGAGAGTCCTCCATCTGCATCAGCTTCGCCGTCGTCCTCATCATCGTTGAAGGAGACTAAAGGAGGTCTGGTGGATGCATTAGGTAATATGCGCAAACAAGAAAGCAAAGCGCGGAGAAGTGGGTGGGCCGTTGGAAAAGAGATTGTACAAAAGAAAGGAGTGAAGGGATTGTGGAGGGGCGGTGCGTTGAGGGCGGTCTGGACGTTTGTAGGGGCTGGGCTGTACTTGGGAGCGTATGAGAGCGGGAGGGTGTTTCTGGCCAAGAGGAGGGGGGAGAGTGTTGATGAGGACGACTTGGTATAATGAGGGTCTGAAGCGGTGGTTTGCGGCATCACGTCTAGTGGGGAATGAATTGATAAAGTCTACGGAGATGGGATGTTGCGGGTTCAAAGCTATCACATGTAACAACACGATTTTGGAAAAGTTGGAGAAAGAGAGGCCTAGATTTGCAAATTGTCTACAAGACGAAATATATCTTTGTGAATGTTCTGTCCTAGATCAGAGGCAGCATCGGTCGAGGGGCAAGTTTAGGCGAGGGAGCGGAGAAGATATACCAGTTGATGGAGTCATTATCGATAACGACTTCAAATTGGCAGAGCTACTAAAGTTACCTAGCACTCCACCAAGTCTGGCAAAATATTCATGCCATTGACAATTTTACGATAGCCATGGCCGACGCAGACGAAGATGTCTCGCATCTCCGTGCGCCAAATGCCGAAGACGACGACGAGGCGGAAGAAAGCCAGGAATTTGGCTCCTGGACTAAGTTGATGTGCGCTCACACGCGTGCGCCAGCAAAGTATCAAGCTAACAATCTTGCGACAGAGCCATTGAAGCCTCGGATCGCAGTCTGCCCAAACGTGGTGAAAAGGATTTCGAGAGTCATGCGACGAATCTACAACTCGAGACGCTCGAGGCTTCGCGCCGGGCTATGCATGGTGTTTTGTCGTGGCAGCGCACGCATACGCAGAAGAATCACATATTAGCCATGTATGACCCCGAGAGCAATATGGCTTGCGTAGACAAAGTAAAGTCGCAGCACTTCCAGACCATGGGCACACCCAAAGGAGGCAAGGAGTGGCTGCTACCAGAAGAAGCGCTTTTCCTGATTGAAAGAGGCACACTGGATTGTCGCTGGCCGGTCAAGCGCGAGGTAGGAGGCGACGAAGAGTATGGAACCGCTGATGGGGCGCCAATGAGTCTGCAATCGGCCTACGCTGCATTTATTGGGTTCGAGGGCGGAGTAGGGGGGAAGTTGTCACTCGAAATGTACAACGTCTATGCTGGACTAAAAAGATCTGGATATGTCGTCTTCCGCACAGGATCTTGGGGCGAAGATAGAGGGGACATAGTACTGCGAGACGAAACAAGCCAAAATCAGGATATACCACAGCCCAACATCTTTACACGATTATTTTCCGACATTTGGCGGCGCCTCAGCCAGCCCATACACACCCTCACTACAAACGACATCGCATTCGGTCCCATGATCAAACCCGGCCTGTACAGAAGCTACGCCGACATCTACCGCCTTCTCAAACTCATCCCAACCCACGACCGTACCGCCCCACCAACCTTCATCCTCCCACAATCGTCCTCCAACCCCTTCCGCGTCCACTTCGACGTCTACCGCACGACGGCCAAATTCCGCAAATCTGCGCGCGGCCCACCAGACTTCCGCATCTGCGTTATTGACGCACGCACTACACCCGTACCCACTGGTGCCCAACTCAACGATCTCTTCGCCCAGGTCCCAGAGGATCGGCCCAAGGCGAGTGACCAGCCGTATCAAAAGTTGAAGCACGGATATAGGAATGTAGTGCTGGCGGTTGTGGACAATGGTATGCCGAGTTATATCAGGCTAGCCGATAGTCCATTTGAAGAGGTTAAGATTTATGAGAGGGCGGGGCCGAGGGGGAAGGGTGGAAGGGGACGGGGTAGAGGGAGAGGAGGCAGGGGTAGGGGTAGGGGAAGATGAAGTGATTGAGGGACGAACGATGCAACATGATGACGAAGATGACAATTGGGATGAACACTATACCCGTGCCCTGCCTTTGATATATTCCATGTGTCCGAAGTTTAGGGACTTAGTCACGATTCAAGCCTCAGAGGCTTAAAGGCTTAGACATTACGGTCGCTAGGAGCAGCATTGTCAGAGTGCTGCTGAGATGCGCTCTTACCGCTCACAGGGAGAAGAAGCCAAAGAGGAGGAATTCTGCGAAGGCTCAGTGCTACGATGCTTACGGACAGCATGAATGCGAAAGCTTGCAAGCTAGCTCGAAGATATACCATATACAACAATTTCATGAAATGCAGATTGGCTGTGGCAGGAAACGATGCGTTTTGAGGACTCAGGGCTGATGACGTTACCCGGCTGGCGCGATCGACTTGCCGAGGCATCTTCCCCAGATTCTCAACCACTGTCGCTTGTAACTCCGCAGCCCGCCTTCTAACGCTCGAATCCTCTACAAAACCGACAGCTCTTGATTGCTACTTAGTAGAAAGAAACAAGAAACAAGTAGCACGTTGGATACTGATTTTCTCACTGATTTCTGCAAGAATGCCTTCGGCACCTTTGAAAGTAGCCCAACAGGGTCTCAGCAAAGAGCTCTCTGAACCCACACCGGAACCAGACACATTTGAGGGTATGCCAGGTATTCGAACCATAGCAGGAGATTTGGGGAGCCAGTGAGTAGCGAACCATGTTGCCATATGAATCACTCTGACGATTAACTCCAGGCGAGTGAAAGGCAAGGTTGTCATCATCACCGGTACGCCATCAGAACTCTCACCACAAACATGCTTTGCTATGCTACCCATCCTCTAACCTCTAGCCCAGGCGCAAACTCCCCCATAGGAATCGGCCGTGCCTCTGCCCACCAATTTGCCCGCAACGGCGCCCGCGCAATCTACCTCTGCGACTTCAGCAACTCGCATCTCGACCTCCACAAACGCCAACTCTCCACCCTCTACCCCTCGACCGAAATCCACACCCGCCAATTCGATGCCGCAGACGAAGCCTCTGTCGCACAAGTCTGCTCAGATGCGCTATCCACATATGCTCGCCTAGACGTCTTCTTCGCCAACGCGGGCATCACGTCTGCCAAAGTCTTTTGGGAAGAAGACACGGCAGGCTTCATGTCCACCATGCGCACAAACGCCCTCTCTGTCTTCCTCGCCGCAAAATACGCTTCCCGCGCCATGCTCAAAACCTCAGCCGACAAACCCTACCCCGCCGGCTCCATCATCGCCACCGCTTCCGTCGCCGGTTTGCGCTCCAACGCCGGTCCTTCAGACTACTCCGCCAGCAAAGCTGCTGTCATCTCGCTCATGCAGACTTGCGCCTACCAGCTCGTCGGCACAGGCATCCGCTGCAACGCCGTTTGCCCGGGTCTCATCGAGACGGGTATGACGAAGATCACGTACGATGCGGCGAGGAGTCGCGGCTCCGAGAAGAAGATTGGCCAGATTAATCCGCTGAGACGAGGCGGGCAGCCCGATGAGATTGCCCGTGCTGTCTTGTTTTTGGCCAGTGATGAGGCGAGCTATGTCAATGCGCAGGCGTGGGCGGTGGATGGTGGGCTGAGTGGTGGGTTGCCTTTTGTGCCGGGCAAGTTGGCGTAGGGCTGCTATGGGTAAGCAGGAGTATGGCTAGAAGGGGGGGGGAGGCGATGGAGAGGTATCTTGGGAGGCGTCATGGGAATAGTGGAGATCAAGTTTCGAGGATATCTTGCATTTCTGGTTTTACTATTTGCATTTGCTCAGATACATATCCCGTGTCTCTTACCTTGTATCCACAGTGCTTTCGAACAATCCCACACTATGTATTCCTCTTCAGCACTGCTCCAACAACCTGGATCCTACATACATCGGCGTACGCACCCTTGCCAATCTCCTCTGACCACATATCCGGATGTAGAATCCTATACTCCACCACCCTGGCATCCTTGACGCCCTTCAACTCGGTGAGAAACGCATCATGGCCAGGATTCGCCGTCGGAATGGCAACGCCCGTGTACACGATGATGACGCCTCTGGAGGAGAGTATCTTGATTCCCTCATGGATGATCCTAATGGAGAGATCGAGGCCATGCCCCGCGCCTCCATCCGCATATATCGGTAGATCCTGGCCGTTCTCGCTCGACGCAATGTACGGCGGATTACTAACGATGAGGTCGATGCCGTTGGATGTCAATGCATGTGGTACCGCGTGGAAGAGATTCGATTGCATGAAGTCGACGTTTACATCGGCCAGTTGCGCGTTGACGGCACCGAGTTCCAGCGCGCATGGATTCAGGTCAAGGCCGAGGACCTGGGCTTGCGGATATTGCCTGGCGAGATGGATGGCGCCGGCGCCTGAGCCGCAGCAGACGTCGATTATGGAGGTCGGTGGCTGTGACAAGTGGCGCAGCGCGGAACCCAAGAAGGGAACGAAGAGGTAGGTGTCGGGTCCGAAGAATACCGAGTCTGCGGATGCGGGAAAGGCAGAGTGTATGTAGTATAGATTGGTGGTGTCAGGTTCGCCGCATGGTAGATTGGGGAGATAGAAGTTTGAGACCCGGATTCTGGAGGAATAATTTCTTCCATCATCAACTTTTTTGATTATGGTCGCCTTCTCCAGAATGTCAAATAGGTCATCTGGGATAAATGAAGCTAGGCCCTCTCTATTCAATGAATTAGCGATTACACTCGAGTTGCACTAAGGCTTTTGTCATCAACATAGGGCAGATAGGTTCGGGCGGTCACAGGTCACATATCATATACTAGCTCTGCAAAATAGAATAAAGAAACTTTCTTACCTTGTACATTGCAGATTCCAACCAAAGAAATCCTGCGCACTTTTGGCCTCTCGCGTCTCTGCATCAGAAATCCTCTTTTGAAATACCCGACCCTGCGTCTCCGGCGAGGGGCACACAAAAGCATAGCCACCCTGAGCCAGGTGCTCGGAGAGCGCTCGGAACGCAGCCATGTCAATCATGATCTCAGTGATATGCGTGCGATTGTTCCCGCGGAACCGATCATGGCGCTGTGACGTGGTTGCGCACTGTGTGTTAATGGGGCGGGGGGATCGAATACTTAGAGTAGTATGCAAGGAGCCTGAAAAAAAATTCCACGCGCTTCAAGACTGAGGATCGCCGCGGAAGACGGACTCCACACGGCGGGAAAGCACTGATAAATGTGACGTTTGAGTGCTGGGAGCATCCTTCGGCATGACTTCCGCAGAATCTTGTTTTACTTGGCTAATGGGAATCGGGTTCGGCGGTTGCGCACTGTTTCCTATGGTGGGCAAGCGACATTGCTACTCTGATACAGTAGAGATGAAGCCAATTGAGACATGATTGAGTCGTGAGCGTTCCCAAGCATCCTCAGTCCAAAGGTTTTGTGACGTTGCTGAATCGCCGTTGAAGCGGCCCGAAAACGCGGGGTGCGCCTGGTGTAACCACTTCTTGCCTAGCCTGGTGTTTTCGTCATGATGCGCGCTTTCGCTTCGATGAAACAAAACGAAATGGCACTGACACTGACATGCTCAGGCATGAAAAGCCGGAAATCCGATCGAGAGATTCCCATCGTCAGAATGATCGATATTCAGACCCTGTTTGCGGAATGTTGCCTTGCCCTGGGCCCCCTTAGTCATGTTATAAGCGCCAGGCACCCCAAGGGCTGGGCCTGCATTTGCTTGCAGTTAGCTATACACGCGACTTCTATGTGCTGAACAGTCTCTTGCAGCATTTCTTCTTATCCATACTCGTCATGTTCATTCTGCAAACTACTACAGCGGTGCTGATTGCGTTTCTGGCCGTGCTCGCCTACAACGAGGTCCAGAACCGTCTGGCAAAGGGTCGGCCGAGAAGAAAGGATCTAGAATCACCTGGAAGCCCGAAAATATCAGCTTCCGACGATGTCAAGCCTGCGATCATTGAAGATGGTCGTGGTGTGTCTGTCGCTCCTGTGAGAGACGAGGGGGTCGACAGGGAGATGGAAACCCACAAGTTACTTTACTACAAGCTCCATAATCTCGAACGCTACCCAGAAGTCTTGACCGATAGCCGTGAACTCTTACTCTCGTTGTTCTCGTCTACGCTTGCAGATGCCTTGGGTGAACCAGAGAGTGGTATACTTACCGTCAAAGAGTTCACTCGGAAAGGTCTCGACGATTTCCTCAAAGCCAAAGATGCCGATGTAACGAACCGCTGGGAAGAGTATCTCAATCGCCGAAAAGCTGGAGGAGCCCGCGAGATGTTTGGAAATAAAGAAGAAGCCAGATGGTGGCTCAAGCAAGCTGCACCAGTCAAATACGTCGATGGCGCTTGGCTGGGACACATCAACAAGATCAGTACACCCTTCAAGCACCGCCACATCACCAAGAATGCCTGGCAAGTCATGTCAGAAGAGCTTGGAGATGGCGATCTGGCAAAAAATCACATCCATGTGTACCGCGATCTGATGGACGATATCGAGGCTAGATTACCTAGTGCAGACTCGGCGGACTTCATTCATCCTCGCCATGGGCTCAATGAAGCACGTTGTTGGAAAGCCGCAATTGCACAGCTTACCATCTCCCTATTTCCACATGACTTCCTTCCCGAAGCTTTGGGATTCAACATGGCGTATGAGAGTCTACCGCTCCATTTGCTCAAGACTGTGAAAGAGCTACGCGAGCTACGGCTGAACCCTTACTACTTTGAGCTTCACATTTCCATCGATAATGCAGACTCTGGTCATGCTGCCATGGCTATGAGCGCAGTTGCAGACTACATGGACATGGTCATCGACCAAGAAGGCGAGGAAGCTGCGCATTCTGCCTGGAGACGAGTGCAAGCTGGATACATTCTTGCCGAAGGCCTACCTACCACGCCAGAATCGCCTTCGCTTAAGAAAGCTCCCGAACGGCCGTTTCCTCGTAATGAAGTTGAAGAAGCACTGCTCGAGATCTTTGCTGCCAAGAGCTTTGTCGCCCACAAGATCCACTGCAATAGCCGCTTGAAGATTGGCCGTCGTTCGCTCGTAGATTGGCTGGAACCAAATGCATTCAAGCATCGCCATTGGCAGAAAGACTTCCTACATGATCTCGGAAACTGCAAACCCTGGGTCATCAAAGGAGATAGCACAAGAAGTCGACTCGTCAAAGAGCTGTCGTGGGAAGGCAAGATGTTTGGCAGTTTTACAGAGAAAGAGGTTGAAGTTGTAAAAGCATGGATTGATGACCTTGGTGTACCTATCACAAAGGCCACTCCAGATCTGAACGTTTACTTTGACTTCACAGGCAGATCACCAACACTATCGTCTGTCACACCTTGGACAGATCAAGATATCCTGATCCACTACCCCGTCCTCACCACGCTACCATTGCCCACTGTTCTCACCATCGACACTGAAACGACATGCCCAGCACTCGACCTCAGCAAAATAAACATCTGCAACTTCCTCCCCATATGGTTCGCTTCATGCGCACTGCTCGAATCCCTCCCTTCCGTACCCGTCCGCGCATCCAACCCTTTCGGCTCTGCACTCATCCGCGTCCTCCGTGCTCAAACCGGCTTCGACACCGAAGGCCTAGGCGTCGCAGGCATGGACGAGGTGCGCCGCACGGAAAACGGTCAGGCAATTGGCATCCTTGAACTCGGAATAGCCATGTGTCGTCGTGCAGGCCTGTCTGAACCTTCAAACTTGAAAGAAGCCGTCGCTCTGGGCAGCCCAAACTCGATTGCTATTGCAGAGTGGATGCTTCATACGAGTATGGAGTGGTTGGCAAACTGCGATCTACTCGTAGGCCTGGCTTGGGCTTTTATGGAGCTGCATGAGGCGGTTGCCAAGTGGGATGCGGATGATGCGGGTTTGGATTCGAAGGGGAGGCTGGTGCTGGAGAAGATTGCGGGTAGGGAACGGGCTGGGCTTGCGATTTGTAAGCGTGATATTGAGCATGACGAACAACGTCGGGAACATTTTGCGAGGGGTGTTTCGATTGCGAAGGCTGCATTTGTGACATTGTGTCAAGACGACATTGACTAACGGATGAATTCATCTGGATCTGTCTTTTTTCTTCAACAGCAATAGGTATGTTGAAGTAAATGTATACCCAAATATGTGTAATGAATGCAGACCGTTGCTGCACATCTTTCTATCTTAAATAGCCAACAGTGTTTCTCATTCGTAAAAAAAATAAGCAGACTGCTCCTTCTTGGGCAGGCCATCAGAAACTGCTTAAGCAGAAGGATTTCGCTCCTAATACGTACCATGTCTCCAAGGCGCACGACTTGACCGTCGCCAACTTATTAGGATAGTTTGACACCAAGTCTCTATGACTAATATGCTCGGTTGTTTGCCAAAGAATGCCGTGCTGGGAATGAAATTAGCGTGTATGGAGAGTTCAAGGGGACATGCTCTCCGTCTGCTCTCGAACGTAAAGTGCGCGTTCCGTTCGCTCGAGAACATATACCCAATTGAAAATCTTCGGTCTATGGGTGATGGTGCCATCGCGCGTTTCAGTTTCGGTTTCAGTTGCGGGCGTCGCTTTGTCCATTGCATATTTACCCAATACGTTCCAAAGCTGGCCTATGTGGGGAAATCCGCAACGAGGTGCTGACCATTCGGCGAAGTTAAAACGGTCGTTCGAGTAGGATAGACATATCCAGCGCGCCTTGGGTTTTGCAGTGAGTGCCAGGTTGACGGCGAGGACGTTGAGCGGATATGTTGATTCGTGCGAGCCATTGGCGGGCGTGGTACCTGGAGTCCAGGGACTTGTGGCGATCGGGTAGGGAATGGGTATTGTGACGTCGTCTGAGCATGCGATGGAATCTGTAGTAGCTTTGTCTACTATGACTGAATATGTGCTTTTGTTACACGCTTGGATGACTGTTTTATAATCCAAGAGATCCACGGCACTCCAACGCATGAAATTCAAAACGTCATTATCATCCGGCCCATGATCGTCTGTACCTCTTCGCTCCGAGCGGTAAAGGGATAACTCGCGCTCTTTGGCTACGCCTACTTCTATAGCGACTTGCGAATAGTCTAGGTTATGTATTTGACGCGGGCTCTTCACGTGCATGCTTAGATAGAACGACAGTGATGAGGTACCACATCCAACGTGTAACACTTGCGGGTCTTCATCTTGTGAAGTTGACAAGGCGTCTGAGATGTACCTTTCCAGGGTGTCTGGTGTCTCGAGCCACTCGAATGTGTCCGTATTTGAGGAAAAACGCTGGTTCCAATACTCTTGTGATCCGTAAGGTGGGGGTTGAGGAGCCATGGTGATGAAATAATGCACTTGGAAGTGTGAGTACTGCACGACAATCAGGAGTATGAGAAAAAGGAAAGATCTAATATGAGAAAGGAAAACATCAAGTTTGCGATTGTGGCTAGTTAGGAGTTAAGTGAAAGCATGTCGAACTTCCATGGACAAAAAAAGTTGACGCTGGACCGTGGAGATTTGCCGGCCCGAACTTCCGCCGAATGTCTTTCATCCAGCAACTTGCGGACTTCCGCACACGCTGCTCAACACCACTACACCATTCGTACAGCCATGGCATCTCTCCAATCAATACCGCGCTTCCTCCTACCGCGAGGCCCTCTCTTACTGCGCCCCCAATACCGCTTCCTCGCCGTGCCCCAAGTCAGCAACATACCCCTCCGCCATGCCTCTGCCACTGCCAAAGGCCTCTCCGAAGAGTTTCGCCGTCGACAGGAAGCCCTACTGAAGCAAAAACAAAAGGCCACCACGCCGACGCCTGTAATACCACAGCCCGACAAATACCGGCCGCCATCGCACAGTGCGCGCAAGCCAAACCGCAATCTGGAGAATAAAATTTATGGCCCACCTCTGACGGAGGAAGACAGGAAGCGCATGGCAACGAAGAAGTACCCGAATATGATGAGTCCCGAGGGCACATTCAGTCATTGGTTTCTGCATAATAAGGCGATTCACCTTTGGATTACCATGGTACGTCGGCTCCTGCCCCAATCTTTTCATAACATGCTTCTATACCCCCAAACCAGCAGACCTCATATTGACAACCTCCCAGGGCATCCTAATCTCCCTAGCAGTAACCGCATGGTACCTCGACTTCATCTCCAAAACGATCTACGCCGATCTGCTCCCTACACGCAAGGAGTTTGCCCGCCACCCTATCCAGAGCATGAACCGCTTCATCGAGGTCTACAGGATGCACATGCAGCAGACGAGCCAGCAATACCAGCAACAGCGCCTGAAGAAGGCTGAGGAAATCGAGAAGAGGAAATTGTATCGGTTGGAGAGAAAGAGGGAAGCAGAAGAGAGAGGTGAAGAGTATGTTGAGGATCCGAGGTATTACATTGGCGAGGATGGCATTAGGAGGAGGAGGGTTAAGCGGTGGTTCGGCATTTGGGAGTAGAGTACAGAAGGAGGGTATGTCTTTTGGCAACTGTAAGGATATGTGGAACTGATTGGGCGTGGGAAATTTGGAGAGTGTGGCACGTGGTTGGCGAATAGGTGTGTGTATGTACGATATTTCTGCCAGTGAAGGATTCTGACATTAGGCGGCTCGCTCGCTTAACAATCGGGACGGTAAGCGGATAAACGGGCTAGTTGCATCTCCAAGTGGACAATCTTGTCATTCTGCATGTGTACATAGGTAGACCAGATTTTTAGTTCAGGCCTTCTGCATGCGTGGAGCTGGTTGCGCCAGTTATGACGTAGCTCAACTTACACGACCACCACCGTCAGGCCTAGCAGTAATATCGGTAAGTCTGGTTTCGAGGGAAATACATTGTTACACTCGAATTACCACATGACATGGTTTTGATCACACCGGCCGCGCTTAAGGAAACCACAATTTCAGCGGCCGCGGTCAGAAAGATGAACTACAAGGATCGGGATCTCGCATCAAGGCGAAGCTCATGAGGCTGATATCGTACGCACATTTCAGCTAGCACTTATCTGGGTATCGATCCCTGCTGCCAACGAGCAAATAGTTGATGACAAATATGGTCAGGGGACCGATCAGCCAAAGGGCGTAATGTGTACATGTGTACAGATAAAGACGTTTATAGGAAAAAGCCTTTGCAGATCAATCTTGCAAAAAACCACTGTCAGCATCAGCTATTTCTCTCCCCACCCCCCTCCCCCCCTTCTTTCCCGCCTTTCCCTCTACCAACCAACGAACAATTTAGAGATAAATCGCCATGTCAGAATCTGAAATAGTCCTTTATGACCTCGCCAGCAAACATGGCAAAGCATGGTCACTCAACCCGTGGAAGAGTGCGTTCAAATTCCACTTGTATACTCATACTCATGATTCATAACTATCCGTAAGGGAAAACATCATCCCCATCTATACACATTCACCTTACAACAAAAAGAACTAGAAAATCAGCCCCCCCTAAACATACCAGAAAGTTTTTTCTTTTTTTTTTAAAAAAAGCAAAACACTAACCAAAGCCCCCACTTAAACAGCCCGCATGGTCCTAAACTACAAATCCATCCCCTACAGAACCCACTTCCTCGAATACCCAGACCTCGCCCCAACCCTCCTCTCCCTCGGCATCCCGCCCAACCCAAAATCCACCCCCGGCTACGCCGCAGACTACACCAGTCCCGCAGTCCGCTACGCCGATGGCACCTACGGCATGGACTCGTGGCCCATTGCGCACACACTCGAGACGCAGTACCCAGAGCCTAGTCTGCACCTCGAGGACCCCATCGTGGTGCAGGTGCGCGATGCTATTATGCAGCTGTTTGTGCCGCTGCGGGCGCACTTGATTCCCAAGGTGCCGGGGGTGCTGTCGGAGCGGAGTCAGGAGTATTTTTATAGGACGAGGAGGGAGCGATTTGGCAGGCCGTTGCAAGAGGTTGGGGCTGAGGCGGGCGAGGCAGAGTGGGAGACTGCGAGGAAACCGGCAGAGATGATGGGGGATATGTTGAGGAGGAATGGGGGGCCGTTTTTCTTGGGGGATAAGGGTGAGTTTGTGGATCATTGATCTTTTGGTGGGATGTGAGCGTGAAGAGAGACGGGCAGCTAACTTTCAAGCCAGTGTCGTACGCGGATGTCATTTTTGTGACGGCGCTGCATTGCTTCAAATGTGTGGAGGAGGAATTATTCACGAAGCTGGTAGCTCTGGATCCTGCGTTTAGCAAGATCTATGAGGCGTCGAAGCAGTGGTTAGAAAAGGACGACTAGACTGCACGTATATACATGGCAACGTCCATGATATCCTTGAACCTTGGCACATCTACTATGAAATTCCCAGTCTTCCGTCCCATCATATCTCCACAACATTTCCAATAATCTCATCCAGGATTTACTCCATCTGGAGATCAACCACCAACCCTAACATTGCGCACAATCCGCCTTCGAACAGGGCAAACTCAACGCTCCATATCCTCCGCACGCGTAACACCAGCAGTAGGAGTATGATCCTGGCCACCAACCGGATTCCCGCATTCAGGACAACGAGCAAGCTGCATAGGCATACCGCACTCGCCAACTGCAAACTGTATGATGTCAGTACCACTCCAACCAATGATCTCCATATGGAGTTCGAAACTTACCGGATGCCCATTAACACATTTATACCAGTGTCCAGAATGTGTAGCCAGCCCTCCCCGACCGCTCACCATGGCCGTCTTGATCATGTCCATTTCCGCCTGTGACACGGTCTCGTAAAATTCCTTGCTCAGCATATTATTGGCATGTCCGATAGCCTGGCGCAAAGTATCCCGATCGCGAAATTTATGTTCGCAGAGCTGCTCAGCGTTTTGCAGGAGATGCTTGGCGGTATCGCGGTACGCTTTGGCGCACGCACGTTCAGTGTCATTGGCCAAACCCGAACTACCAAAGAGCTGGGCAATTCGAGCATAGTACAATGTTGCCTCGACAGCGAGCTTGGGAAGACTCTCCGTAATACAATCCGCGACGGAACTCTCGCAGTCTTTGAGATATGGAGCAGTCTTCTTCGTGGGTGATCCTCCCCAGAAGCTGAGGGATGCTTGATGACCTGGAAACTTGGAGCGGAGATTACTGGCAATTTCGAACTTGTCTTCGAGTAGTAGGCCGTGGGCTTTGATATCCAGGAGACGGGCACCGTAGGTGACGCGCATATCACTTGAGCCCTTTGTAATTCCTGCCGAAGAGCTGAGTGACAAATTCTGCATTGCGGCATCGAGTGAAGCGCCTTGGAATTGATGGTGGACGATTGCTTGGTGGAGTTTTTGCCCAGGTTCGTGCTGGGTAGCCATCCTGCGTTGTAAAGCCATGATTTCGTTGATCAGGGAGATAGTTTCTTTGTATCTACTCGCAATCGCGCCGTTCATACTGCCGATAACCCGATTGATCAGGATATGATTCTCAAATGCTACTTTGGGATCTGGGATGAGGGATTTGCGCGATTTGTTGAGGTCGCTCTCTACTTTACTTAGCTGGGTCTCTATCTGCTGCAGTTGCTGTTGCCCGTTGACAATAAAACGTTTAGACATCTCATCGATTACAGCTTGATTGATGGCACGATTGTAGCGTTGAGTAACATATTGTTTTATCGGGCTGCGACAGTTAGGACACTGCGGAACTGATGGAGCGAGCTCGGAAGACTCCTTGAGCGCGTGGAAAGTTCCTGTTATCGGGTCCTGCATGTATACATCCTTGAGACCAACATGTCCGTCTAAAGTTTCGGTAGTAAAGAAGTGGCCGCAGCCAAGGACGACAACAGGCGATTCATTCAGGTCCAAATCAGCGTACCGTGTCATCATGATCATATCCGGCTGTTCATCAGTCTTCATATCGCACTGCTGACAGCAATCAACTGGGCAGGTTTCCCCGCAAATGCTGGGACACTGATGGCCACAAGGTAGTATTTTGGTGCACCGCTCGTCGCAAGGTAATCGATCGCACGGAGCGGAGCAGGGCATCTTGCATTCGCCCTGATGCTCGCATGACCAAACACATGGCTCTATGCAAGGCGCACATGGTTCAAAGCACTTCTGGGGACATTTGTTGTGTTTGCATTGTACCTGAAGTCTGTTAGTAATTGTAAGGAGACTTGGGAAAGAACATACGTCGCAAGATTGTTGGCAGAGCCCGCAATTAGTGGTATCGTGGCACTGCTGCTGACAGTTATGATTGCATGTTCCCATTTTTCTGCCGCAGATCTTTGCACAGGCAATGTGCTTCACAATCACCTCGCTCTGTGTACCTGTGGCTTTGCAGCGACTGCAATTCCCGGCACAGGTGTGACCACAAGGCAGCGAAGTGTTGCAGGAAGTGGGACATTTGAAGTTCTTCTTAGTGACATCTTCTGAGCAGGATACAACAGGCGTATGTCCGCAATTAGGCACTTGTTTTGAGACTTTCACACCGCAGAATATCTGGGACAAGTCCAGGGTACGATAGCATTCCACCTGATCCTTGATGTGACCACAAGGAAGCTTGATGTTATCGAGCTTGACCTTACAATTCCCACAGGGTTCACCGCATGTTGCTTTCTGGCAAGGGTGACCGCAAGGCCGTCGACGTTGGCATGGCTGCTCGCAGTGGAAAACTGCATGCATTGATTCTGAATGGCAGCGTGACTGACATCGATGACCGCACTCGAGCCGATCAGTGCATGCCTCCCTGCAACCACCTTCTGGGCTCAACTTTGGAAAGTCCTCAGGCTGTTGAACATCGATGGACGTAGCGGGGTGTCGAGGGCAACACAAACCCAGGTCACTACCTATGGATTCATTGGCGCGTAACATATTGATGACTTTCTGCCACATGTCAACATTCGAGTAAGTCTCCGCATTGCCGATGAGATACATTCCATGCTGAGCACGACTGAGCAGTACGTTGATGCGATTTGTGGTCTTCAGGAAGCCGACGTTGCGTTTCTCGTTGCTGCGAACAAGAGAGACAATGATGACCTTTGCCTCCTCTCCCTGGAAATTGTCGACCGTGGCGACTCGCAGTAACTCAGTAAAGTTCTTTTTCTGTAGCGGCTTCTGACGATGGTCTTCTTGGGCAGGTGACCCCTTGTTCATGTCAGCCAGATCTTCAACGCCAAAACCATCCTCTTCAAGAGCATCTTGATCGCGATCACTCAAAACAATTTCAAAACTGTTTCTCATCGTTGAGCGAAGCTTCTGGAGCTGGCCAGTATAGGGCGTCAACACGGCAATGTCGTCACTGCCGTAGACCCCTTGCCGCACGACGTGACGAACTAGAGCATGTACCATATCTACCTCCCAGTCATTGGACTTGGATTTGGTATGCTGAATGGCCACATCTTTTCCATTCTCGAAGTTCCGATGATCGAGCCAAAATAAATTCTTACGCAGGCCCACCACATTTGGTAAGTCTGAGATTGACTTATGATCAATCAGCTTCTCATAGATTGTCTCTCGTATCAACGAAGAGATCTGAGGACGCATTCTTCGCTGAACATTGAGTTGTGCGACTGGCATGATGGGTCGTCCGCGTTGTCCGATCGAAAGACGCTCGAATTGGCTTCGGTCCAATGCATGCAGCTTTCCGCGCTCACTCTCCGAGGATAAATCTTGGAAGTTGTTGACTGAGGGACGGAGCTGTTCATGATCCCCAATTTGGATACAATGCTCCACATCTGGCAGCAATGCCGACAGCATATGTGGTTCCATCACTTCTCCTGCTTCTTCGCAAATCACCACTTTACATTTAACTTCCTGGAGCACAGAAATGCGTTTAGCTAGACCAGAAGTGGTCACACCAATGACGTCTGCCTGCAGCAAAATCCTGCGATCGGATTCATCGTGAATATCGCCCAACTTACTTCGGTTTTTGGCTACGTCGCTGACAATCTCAAAGAGTTCGCCAATTTTATCTTGTTGAGCCTGATTGATCCAGTGAGCAAGTAATGCCATTCGTTCTGTGGCGTTGAGGGAATGAACGTTGACAGCAGCTCTTTGCAGGATCGCTGGTAGCCGAGGGACTGGAGCTTGAGTACTGCTGGATCCTCTTGATTTCCAGACGTCGAAGGGATGACGACCTTTTGTTTCGAACCCTTCATCATCCGTATCGCGGAATTGCGTATAAATTTCCGGGTACTGCTCTCGGATATGGAACTTTAGGCTGTCCCAGTCTGTGCGCTTTTGTAGGCCACGCAGAGCGCCGAAGATAGACTTGCTAGCCATCTCGCTCTTCTCGAGTGCTCCGTAGGTCATCCCTGCCATATATCTCTCAGACTTGGTCTTCGCTTCCGATTTGCCAATACTGTGAAGATTATGATCCTGAAGTTTCGGAGACTTGCTTTGCCCACCCATACGAATGACTTTCTGGACACCGATAGTGAGAAGATGTTCGAGAAATTGGTCCAATGCATGGTTCGTGTAGCACACAATGAGAATGGGTCCGAGGTCGGCCTTTTTCGCGATAGCCAGCAGTATTTTCATTATTTGCAGCCCAAGGTAGCTCTTTCCAGTACCGGGCGGGCCTTGAATGAACGCAAATTCCCGTAGCAGAGCTGCAACCAGTGCGCGGCATTGGCCACGATCGAGCTCCGTCTTCTTTTCCAATTCGTCCAGTAATGGTCCGTCATCGCAGGAGGAGGATCCATCTAGGTAGAATGGCGCATCCTTGGTCTTCGTCAGAGCTTCCAGAGGGAACTTGAAGCCAGCAGTTCGAGCATACAAAGGTGGTGGGACGTCAGAAATAGTACTTGAGCGTGACGAATCATCCAACTTTCTGGGTATGATCCATTCTTTGAATGGCAAGCGATTGAGGCGCTGCATGGCCTGCAGATTTTCCAGAATCGGTACAAATGTTGCAGGTATGACCTTTGAAAACTCAAGAAGCATGCCGTGGAATTGTTTTGCATTGGCTTCCATGAGTGTGCGGAATGTCGGAAGATCATCTGTTACCAGACTGGCTGTGATGCAGGCCACATGGCTGTTGTTTGTCAAACCGTACTCTGCCTTCGAGTCGACGGTCTTTCCGGACACACTGAGGAAAATATGTTGCACAACAGATTCTTGGACCCAGATGAGGGAGAGTAACGAACCTTTCTCGAGCCTTCTAGATTCCTTCCACCACCTCTCCCTCTCTCCGACTGACCTTGCACGGACAGAGCTTGGCTGCAAGAAGGAGATCTGAGCTTGTAGACCTTTTCTACCATCCATACTAATATAACGAACGAATGCGCTGGAATATTGATATGTGCGCATATCGCCAAAGTTGTGCCTAGGATTGTTGATTGCGTTCGGATTCTGGGCCACCGTGTGCATTACGCCAGCAAGGGCTTCTTTGAGCTCCCCAAATGTATCGTGGCGCGCCAGTCGAAAGTAAGTGTCAATATGCCGCTGCACTGGATCATTGAGGAAATGACCTTGGTCAGGGTCTGTAAATGGTAGAAAGTCTTTGGCGTCACTCATTATCTCGTCGCGCGTAGGAAATATAGCGATTTCCGTGATATCCTTCTTGTCATTGTCATGTCGATCAGACGGAACAACAAATTCGCGCGGGTAGAATGATCTGGAGTTGTCGTCGATGGCATCGCCACCATTGTCTGAGAGATTACCTGGGAGCAAATCTTGAGCACGTGAGATGATAGCACGTACGTCGACAAGCCGTTTATCGATGCGTGTCGCACAAGTGGGTTCCATCCTATGTCTGAAGCTGTCATTCGCAGCTTGGATTGAATCGATCAACGATGAGATGGTTTCATTAAAACGAACTCTTCGCTCCCGCTTCAGGAGCTCGAACACCGCCAACGCCATAGCTCCTAGCGTTATCTCAATGCTCTTCAGCGAGCTTGAGTCAACCGTATCGTTTGGAGTCGCAACCAAAGCTTTGGAAATCTGCCCAAGAAAGGTAATTGCCATTCTGCCGTTGACACCGCCAAAGAAGTTGTAGAGAGAGCCAACTTGTGTATCGACAGCTAGACAGCGTAACAAAGTGGGGTGCGTCAAAGTGAGGAGAAAGTGGCGGGCGTTAGATAACGGGCCATCGGAAAGGCCGTGGCCTATCTGCGTAGTGAGCAGTGACTTCATATGGACCCGGCCTCTTTCGTCTTCATCTAAATCGCGGGCGAGTTGCTGAATCCAATCATGAGCGCCCTCATCTAGGATGGATAGTGCGCCTTTCCACAACCTCCGCATGATGTGAGGATCAGAAGATGCTTCATTAAGAAGCCGTTTCCACGCATTGTAAGACTGTCTGGATTGTTGCTGCTCCGTAGTCTCCTGCGATCGCATTGCTTGACGTGGTTCAGAGCTGCCGGTTGCGCTATGGGAATAATGACAAGCTGGGCCACGTTCACAGCGACCTGTTCTCTGGAATAGGTAGCAGATGCCACGCTTGCTATTTCTCAGTAAACCAGGATCAACACCGCCGCGGCCTCGACCTCCACGGTGGGGTTTACCACCACGGCCGACCATGCTCTGTTTGGGGATTAGCCAAGAATGTGGTGCGGCAACAGGGGAAATGAACTCACCGCAGAATCGTTGTATGGTGCCAGGTTCTCTCAAACTGCACAAAGCCTTGAACTGGTAAGCTGGCGTTATAGGGAACCTTGTTTGTGACAGGTGCAGAGTTTGTGAGTCGAGGCAAAGAAACTGCTCCAGCACTGGTGGATGTTTGAGCATACGGATGTGTGTTGAAGTTTGCTAACGATTTATCTGGGACTCCAAGTGTGATGAAAGTGAAGATGAGGAATGTAGTCTCGTTCTGAGTCACACAAAGCTTAGCATTACGAGCGGTGATGGTGCGCCGCTGTAGGTTCACAAGCACAAGCACATCATTAAACGCATGGGCATTTGAGCACCTTGACTTCAGAGAAACAGAGGAGCTTACCGGATGATAGTTCGTACCTGTGTACGTTAGTGAGATGTGTGTGTGTGTGTGTGTATATGTGTGTGTATGTGTGTGTGTGTATGTGTGTGTGTGTATGTGTGTGTGTGTATGTGTGTGTGTGTATGTGTGTGTGTATGTGTGTGTGTGTATGTGTGTGTGAGCATGCGCCGTCGTGCCTTCCCTCCCAAGCTCGCTAGCGCAACAAAAATACCATACGCATGGATATGAAACGAAACTTGAAGAGCAAAACAGGAAAGAAAAGCAAAGGTATCGAGTGCTGTGTCACAATGTCAATGTGTGGCGCCTGTCCAATGTCCTCACCTGCACTTCAAACATCACTGATACAACCTTCTTCCATATCATTAATAAGAACCACTACTTCATCACAACATCAGGAAATAAGATCTGGATCATCTCATCCAGTAGCGTGAAGGCCAAATGAGTACTGTCTCTCTGTTAGTCTCTTACTCCATCACATTTCTGCCTCGTTCTCAACACTTACTTCAACCGCGCATTATTAACTGTCCCCTCCAGCTTCTTCGCCGCTAACTGAGCATTCTGCCTCCCCACGACACTTGACGCCAATTCCGGAACCAGAGTGTTTAGTACCGTCGCCGCCTCCTTCCTACTCTTTTCCTTATCCTGGCCCGTCCGCCCAACACCGACTTTCATCCGGCCATTCGACCACATGGAGTCCTTGAGCGTGTCAATGTACTTCACGATGTTATTTTCTGAAAGCAAATTGTCAAATGACTCGCGAACTTTGCGCTCGATGGTGCCGCCTAGAAGTTGGTGCAGGACCACGACAACGGCGCGGCCGCGAAGCCAGTTGTTCTCGCGGTTCAATTCAAAAGTTTCAAGGAAGATGTCACAAATCGGTTTGACAAACGGTTCTAATTCTTTGTTTTCGAAGGCGAGAAGTTCGGCTTCAGCTTCAGCATCTGTGTTGGATTCGCCTGCGACAAGGACGCCAGAGGCGGAGAGATTGCCTGGCTGTGCGGTCACGCCATTTGTGTTGGCCAATTGAGTGGTGGCCGCGGATATAAGATTCTGACCTGCGACGGAGAGCTGGTCGAGCACAGGAATGTTACCGAGGAACTCCTCCATGCCGTCCGCGACGGAGTTGTAGATGCGAGTTACGAAATCGTTCGAATTCGGGTCTTGATTCCTCATTGCATCGGCCGGGCTGATAGCTGCTTGCGAGAGGAAGGCTCGTAGCTCACGACTGCGACAAACAGCTGGGATAAGTAATAGTTCCTGTATCACTAGATTAGGGGGAAGAGCCCAAAATTGAAGTATGACAGCAACATACCCTCAAGTACTTCTCGAGCCCAATTCTTCGCTTGTGAAGGAAATCTTTCTGTAGTTTGAGCATCATTTGACGACGCGGGAAGTCAAGATTTCTAACTTCTGGGAATTTGGCACGAAGTCTCTTATTCAGTTCATGGAACTGGCTATATCGTCGCGAAATGACCCAAGTGGCTGCAGGCATTTGATCGCCAGCACCTCGGCGAACTTCGATAACGTCTAAACATGATCATTAGAATGGGCACCTTTGCCTAAAGACATGCACGCGAACTTACACATAGCGTACTCCTTGCCATCCTCTTCTGTACCGACCATGATCGACTGGATAAATACATTTGCACGGCCATATAAGCTGTTGTCACTTTCCTGCACGATGTATTGCTGTCGTTGTAGTTCCTTCCGTTCAATTTCTCGTTGTAAGCTGGCCTTTGATTTCCGCAATATTCTGAGCTCCGCGGCATTGTTCGTCAATTCGGCTTTGGATGTCAACGAGTCGACGATAGACTCCTGCGATACCAGGCGCTCGATATCTGCAGTCAGGGCGTCAATGGCCTCTGCCAAGCCCAGGTCACCTGGCGCAGCCTCATGAATCTCCTCGTCCGCCGTCTTATTGTGCGGCATGGGGTCTTCGATTTCGTCTTCGATGAACTTCTCCTCATCACCAAAAATGTCGTCGTCGAATACGCCTCGTGTTCTGGGATCACCAACGAGACCTAACGAGGCTATACTTGGTTTCATGCCGTCTTTCCGTTGCTGAGCCAAGGGACTTGGAGAAAGTGCCCTTGGTAAGTCAGCAGAACCTCTTGTTAAATCACTCTCGTGTAGCGAATTCTGGTTGGGTTCGTAGAAGATGGAGCCCTCCGGCTCGTCCATAATATCGGTCAAGGCAGCTGACATTGCGTCAACGACACGGGAATTATTTCCATTTGGACGCTCCTGCCCGTAGTCTGAGTCCAGGCTCGCTGTCGATTGCGCCATTGGGTCAGTTTCATATTCATCATCGAAGAGAGGAGCGCGAGGAGGGGACAAGGGTCCGTCTAAAGATCGTCTCGCGGGGGGCTCTGTGGCCGCCATTATCCCCTGGCTCTTCAAGTCTGAAGATGACGCTACCGCCCTTCTCAAGTTTCCAGGAGGAACTTGTAGACCGCTCTTCTGTTTTGATTGAGTCCTTGACATTAGAGGTGCTATTGAGGATGATCTATCCAGTGTTTGGGCCACGGTCCTCGTATTCACTGAACTCCTTCCAGAGTTTGCTGCTTCATCCATGGCGAGCCATTTATAGTATAAGTTGGATTTTTTGAACCTTCGGAAGTGTGGTTCTTGCAGTTGATCGTACACTGCAGTCTGCGCACGTAATAGTGCACTCCGTGCATTGTAGTATTGCTGAGGCGTTGCAGATCTGCCTGCCTTCAGAAACTCTCCCACGGCTTTTCGTGCTTCTGGTAAGATCTGGAGTTCTGATTTTGACAGATAGCCTTCGTAAATTTGAGCCAGATCTGCACGGTCTGACTCTGACCATGCCGGTAGCGACCCAACGTATTCTTGTGGATCGTCAGTCTCTACTTCCAGCGGGTTTCGAAAGCCGTCTACAACAATCCAGAATTGTACTAGACGCATAAGATGCGCCTGATCCATGAACTCCATAAAACATGAAAGACCTGATGCATCATATAACACTTCTCGAAGAGAAGCATTTGCAAATCTAGACGCCGTCCGCCTATGCCTAGGCTTTTCCTGTGCAGCCACTTTTGCTCGTACGGAACCACCAGCGCTGAGATTGGTAACCTTTGAATCAAGAATTTGCTTCGCTGTCTCTAGCCGCCGAAGGTATGTAGGATCTTGTCCTTCCACCATGGCGTCTTTCTGCAGCTGACTTGAAACTTCACTACGAAAACGACGCGCGTCTGCAAGTGTGTTTGTCTGTCTGATGGCGCGGATGAACCTCTCGAATTTTCGCTCATTGTCTCCAGGCGCGAGCTTAGGGAACTGGGCATTGTTTGTAGGCTTCGGCGACGGTGGTGCATGTTCGTCAAGAGCAGCCCGCAGCTTGCGGACAGTCTTTCGTTCTTGTAACAGGCTTCGTCCCTAAGTCTGTTAGTACTGCGTACCAATCTTAATTTTAAAAAAACGCTTACATAGCCCTCCATGAGCTGATTCCAAGTATCGGGGTCCGCAAGCATCTGCATCACAGGCGACAGCACTGCGCAGGCCACAAGTTCCTTGATGAGTACATTGACAGCGGAACTCGTCAGCATATTCGCAGGCAGGATTTTGGGTAGTAATCGAGTGACAATGCTTCGAAGATGTTGTTGTTGTATAGGCTTGGTATTCGAGTATGCCAATGAAGCTGCAGGGTGCAGTCGGCCTTCCTTGTACTTAGCTGCTATCGCAAGATCCAGCTCTTCCGAGTCTGTGACGTTTCGCGATAGCGTGTGTCCCCGCACAATGCGCTCTGCCTCGTAGGAAGCACGCAGGTGGTCGGTGATGAGCGGTATTAATCGCGAGACAACCGTTTCCACCATGTCCACTGCCAATATGCGGTCCCGGATCTCGCCCAGTGCTGCCCTCACCGCCCTGTCCACTTCATTCACGAACGTGGGACTCTTGCTTATGTTGCCATACCAGCTCTTTACAAAATCGCGTAGGATTAGTCCAATCAGCACATCGAGGCTGTCCGAAATCATAAAAGAGGCGGGATATAGCGGCTCCATCATGTACATGTTCCGCTGGTCCAATGCTTCCTTCTCAGCCTTCCACCTCTCTGGCGCCACAAAGGCGACATGGCGAGGGCCATAGTTAATCTCGCCGCCCTCCCGGAGTTTCGGATTCCAAGCAGTCGTGAACATAAGCCATGCTGATAGGGCAAGGCTCGCAAAGACTCCGGCGACAAAGGCGTAGGGCAGGTAGTGCAATTTGGGCTGCCAGTGAGTCAAGTAGCCCCAGGCAATGAAGACGGCGATAGCAGAGAGGATCACATCTCTGCGCTTCAGGGCCATAATCGTGCAGGCAGCGCCCGATCCAGCATCTTGGGTGAGTTGTCTGAAAAGATGCGGGAAGCTTAGGTGTTCGACAACAAGCCCACATTCAACTCTCACGCTTGGGCCACTGACGTCGCCTCGCAAGGTACTTGGGTCTTGACGGCATCAAGGATCTCCCGTCTTCCCACCATTCGTGCCTATTCACATGTATCAATTTGTCCGCACATCAGGAATTTTTTTTGGTAGGCAATATATGAATTAAGGTCTCTTTCATGTTCAGACTATTCGTCCAGGTATCAACGAAAGAAGTCCACGCAAGTGTGCTAAACGCCCAATCCAACTCCGCTTCATATGCAACCCAGATTCGTCCTTGTATATACACAATCCACTCCTAAAACTTTTGTCGCCCAAGCGTTGGCTTCCAGTCCAAAGGGTGCGTTTCTTCGGTCGCGTTCTCATCCTGCTTCCAGACCTGTATAGACTTATCACTTCCTCCCATGATCAGACGCAGGCCAGTCCTATCAAACGTGCTGCACATGACACCAGCTTCAGCGCTGAGCGATCCCGGTTGTGCCACCTGCTCCCCGTGCTGGAATCGGTACCCAGTTTTCCAGTCGTAGAAACTGCAACTTCCATCGTCTCCACCGGCGAATGTGACATTGTCCTCATTCACAGATATTGTGTTGATAATGCTGTCGACAGGGGAGAAATTCTGCATGAAGTCGCCGCGAGGACATAACCATTGCTTCATAGAGTTTGCACTGCCACTTGCAAAGGTGTACTCTGTCGGATGTAATGCGAGTGCGCGGACCGACTTCTTGTGATGTGTCAGAACCGTCTGGGTCTTTCCAGCGACAAGATCCCAGAGTCGTATTTGGCTGTCCATGGAACCTGATATGACCTGGGGATCAGCCTCCTGGGTCTGGATGCTTGTGACTGTGCCTTTGTGTCCTCCCAACACATGGATGTTCGTCCTGGTCCTCATATCCCATACCCTCACGACTCCATCGCGACCACCAGTACACAGAACGTCGACTGTTGGGTGCAGACTCAGGCTGTAGACGCCACTAAGATGTCCGTGGTAATGACGAATGACCTTGTTGGTCTCGAGGTCCCAGCACTTGACCATCTTGTCTTCACCGCACGAGAAGAGGTAGGGATGCCGTGGGCTGATGGCCAGGCCACGAACGGCAGAAATGTGTCCAGTCAACGTAAGTTTGAGCTGACCGCTGGCGAGATCCCAGAGGCGGATTGTGCGGTCGGCGGACCCTGAAGCGAAGAATTGATTGTCCGGATCTACAGCCAACGAGCGCACCCATCCCATGGAGCCAGCGAGGACCCTAGAAACTTTCCAAGGAGCGTGCCACTCCGGCTTGGCTTGTTTGACGACGTCTTTCCGAACGAGCGCACTCGATGTCTGGTCCCTATTTGGTGTAGGCCCCTGTGCATTTGGCGCGGCGCCTTTGCCCCCTGCTCTTACAGCCAGCTGCATCGATTGTGAGTCCCGCACCTTGTCTGCCTTTTCAGAGACTCCATCGATGATTCTTTGCATCTTTGGGTCGGACGCCTTCTCCTCTGTGTTCTGCGCCTTGATCTTCTTGCGTCGCTCTGCGGCTGTTGAGGCCGCAGCAGCCATCTTGCTAGCCAGAGCAGGTGGCAGCTCCCGTACGGCTTCATATTCGTTCCGGATGCGCACCGCGACACCGATTTGGTCGGCAGCTGCCGAGGGCGCGCTTGTTGTAGGTTGTGCCGAGTAGATGGGATTGGAGGCGTGCTCGAGTGCTGTTGGTGTCGCGAAGTCGGCCGCAAATATGTCTCTTGTTCGTTTGGCAGATGCCCGCACAGCCTGTTCAGCCATCATGACGAGCTTTGATGGGCGTGGTGGAGGTCGTCTCGTTTGGGCAAAACGTTCTTGGTTGGGGGTAAATGTGGACTTCTAGATGATTATTATCTGGAGTTTCAATGCAAGGCGACCGTGATAAAGCGTGGCAATTAGATGCGGTATCGTTTGTTAGGTCGAGATTTGCATACTGATACTTGTCGTCGACGTTCCCTCGTCGCGAACATTCAACTTTCACTAGCGCTAACACTAGCGCGATCGCGCCGCCCCGACTTTCTACCGAAACGCGTCTTATCTTATCGCGACATGCTCTCATCTCACCATCTTTCGACAGCGACCACATTGGAGATCTTGATATGGGATCTATACCTGTCCCAGAATGCATGGCGCTTCTAGCTATAGATTTATATGCCTGAATCACTCTTTCAATGCAGCCTCCACCATCGAAGAGATGTTATTCATCATGTTCTTCAACAGTATCACTGTCCGACTCTAGCCACCTACCAACGTACGCGTACACATGGAAAGATTGCGGTACACATGAAGAATCCACGCCGGTCGGAAAATGCACATATCCCTCGGAATTTCCAGATGAATCAAACTTGGCATAAATGTCACAAACCTGAATATGCGGGCATCAGGAAGTCGGAGTCTGCCAATAATGATGAACTGGAGATTGCTCGCAAGCCTCTTCCGCCACAGAAAGCACGCATCCTCAATGATGAAGAGTGTCATGAGAGAAGTCTCGGATGACGAGATGATTCTGATCTCGAATTGTATCTCTCTCGCCCTTCACACAGACGACAATTGCTTTTCACAGACATCCGCAATTCTTCAATCACTAGAATCCAAGAGGCCCTAATCTTGCCGATTGATAGCAGGAGTGGATAAACTTTGAAGTTCATCCCTCTCAATTACATTCCAGGTTAGGAAAATGCCTCATATCATCAAACTTAAATGGACCTCGAACACAATTTGTCCATCGTGGACACAGCAATCATGACGAGCTCTGCTTGCGAATAGACCTCCTTGGAGGTGCATTGGCATGCGTTGCAATACCCCTGCGAACCGTTTCTTGCATGGTAAAGTATTGTGGCACATTTCAAGGCCCCCTGGGGTATGAACCCAAAAATGGATTGTCAGTTGTTATGGTTCATGACTGATGTTTTACCGGTAAACCTTTGATCAACTTCAAACGAGCTTTATGGATTGGGGCCGGAATCTCACAAAGGGGAGCGAATCCAAAACCCATCGTAGAACCATGCACTTTAAGACATACAATACAATCGCGGCTTGCTGTGTCGTCCAAAGCACATGCTACCGAGGAGCCTGATCCTGCTGAGCCGCCTCCATCCACATCAGGCAAAATGTGGTTGCAAGTAAAGGACGCAGGAACGTCTTATCCTAGCCCCGATCTACATCCAATAAATGCACCTCCAAATTGGCTCAACAATGCAGAGGGAGACACGACCGGGTTTACGAGCCGAAGGAACTTGCTGAGTAAATACGTAGTGACCCCAGAGTTACGTATCGAAACTGACAAAACATAGTGGTCCCGTTATTCAGACCAATACAAGCTCACACACATTATGAAGTGTAGTTGGCACAACGCTCAAGCGTGACGCGCCGTCGATAATCCTAGTTCCTGTACCAAGACGGGAAGGAAGCGGGCTTGTTGCAAAAACCTGAAGGATGTCTCTCTTCTCACGCCATACACCAACTGTAGCCGGAAGAATGACGCCCAAGCCGGTATTGCGGGGTTAGCGTAGCCATCCATCATCAACGATGCCCAGGTCCAGGATACACGCCACATGCGCACAGCTGGACCATCTTGCATTTTCCTTTGTCATGTTCTTTGCATTGGTCCTACAGTCGCATTTGCCCTGCCTGCACGCGCCTGTTTTGAACTGCTTTGTTCCAGTCTTCAAGTTGGCTTTTACCGTGGGCTATGCCTCGTCTGGGGTTGTCCGAACACTAATTTGACGATCGGCGGCCTGATGGACGGGAGAACATCCAATAAACGAAAGCTTGACAGCTTCGTCGCGCAAGGCTTGGCGCCTTAACACCTTCTTAGGTGTTATTGCCGTTTCCCTTTCGCCTCGTCACAGGAGCTCAAACATGGCGACAAGCCAATGACGTCCTATCACTGCTCTGACGCTCTGGCCTCTACCGTAATAACAGTTGCTCTCTCGGAAGCACATGGGCAGACGACTTCGGAGCGAACGTGATAGGCCGTTGCTCCAACACCATCTTCGATCTCTAACACCAACGCGGAAGAGAATCCGGGATGGTCGCGTTCAATCTTGCGGATTGTCGCCTAGCTCTGCTCATGTGAAGGCTTCCCCAGGGTGATGCCCCAGGATTTGAGGATTGATGGTTGCAGGGCTCCACATGTGAATGACGGTAAATGGAGCCCCTCAATACGAGCCTGTTCGGCCTCCCTGCTTGAAGGCCAATGCTGACCCTGCCTTGTTATAAAGAGTCTTTGTTGGCCGTCCGTTCATAGACTCATAAGCTCCACTGTCGCTATATACCTTACAAGAAAACCTTCGCTACCGCCGACGCAAAACGATCACTCCATCAGTCATCAACATGAAGACCTTCCAGATCGCTTCCATCGTTGCTTTGGCCTCTGTTGCCACTGCCCAGCTCGACAACATCCCCTCGTGTGCCGTAGGTCTCGTCGGTCCAGCTTGGTCGAACTCCAACTAACACCAAATAGTTGAACTGCTTTGTTGGACCTCTGACCAGCGATGGCTGCTCGTCCCTGACTGACTTCGCATGCCACTGCAAGCAGGTAATTCTCCCTAAATACCACCACCATCATCTTCTTACCCACTGACCCTTTCCAGGGCGCCACTCTCCTAGGCAAGGTCAAGCCCTGTGTCGAAGGAGCCTGCTCTGCTGAAGACCAAGCCGCCACCATCTCCGCCGTCCAGACCACATGCAAGGACGCCGGCGCACCCATCGTCATTCCCGGCGCCGGCAGCGCCATGCCCAGTCCCACTGAAGCCGCACCCTCTGCCGCCTCCTCTGCTGCCTCCTCTGCCGCCTCGGCCGTCTCCTCCGCCCAGTCCGCAGCTTCCTCCGCCGTCGAGGCAGCCAGCTCCGCCGTCGCCAGCGCCGCCTCCTCGCTCGCCGGCGCAGTCTCCTCTGCACTTGCAACGCCCACTGGAAACTCGACTGGCGGCGCCATGCCCACTCCTTCGGCCTCGGTCTCCCAGTTCACGGGCGGTGCGCCCCAGGCTACTGGCGCGGCTGTCCTTGTCGGTGCTGCGGCTTTGGCTATGTTCTTGTAGTTTCAAAATCGTGTCGCAGTTTTCTGTGCTGAGAGAAGAGGTAGGGACTGGGGTTCTTCGGATGTAATGTTGAATGCGTGGATGATGGGTTATGGATGATGGAGATGCGTCATGTATAATATATAACCAAACAAAAAAAAGAAGCTTTTATATATAAGAGATTAATAGTATTAGTGTATACTAATTACTCCGTCTTTTCTCTTTTTAAACGCAGCCCGCCTGGAAACATAAAGATGAAAATTATCTATGGTAGTGCAATGAGGACATTACTGCACTACTAGTAATATTGAGTGGTTGTAGTATACTGTCTATTTACCCCCTGTATTGCATTTTAGGTTCTTTAAACAGGGGATTGCTGGAGAGGGAAGAAGGGAAGTAGAGAAGAAGCCAAAAAAGCCAATGATATACCCTACTAGTGCATAACAAGAACACAGAATATATGAGACCCGCATTAACAGCCAAATTATAATCACATATGTATTATATGCAACACCATGTTTTACTCTAATACCAGAAAAAGCACACGTGCTCCACAGTCACATTGCCCCCCCCCACCCACAATACGACGTGCACATATTCAACAAAAAACAGGCATGGCCTGCTAACATCATGAAGACAAGTGATTGATTTCTACTTCTTCCCACTATCACCCTCCTTGCAAGTAAATTAAAGGGGAACAAGCACCTCCATCCCAACACGCACGCGCGCATGTCTACACGCTCATCGGCCCAAAGGACGCGTACTATTGTTACTCGCGCTCCCCCTGGCCGAAGTCCTTGCAAACGGCGTATTGCCCATCTGGCGTGCAGCAACACCGCTACCAAGCGGCAGTCTGGTGGATGGAGAAGCTTGATAGGGGACATTGGCGTTCTGGCTCAGATAAGGGTTCTGGTTGCTTCCGCCGAGGACGGGTAGACGGCTTCTGTGAGCTTGTGAGGGTGTTGTGGCGGGTGCAGATTCTGTGGTGTTTGGGTAAGCATGCCTGATTTGAGAATTTGCGTAGCTGGTCTTTTGTCAATGGGAAATGCGGGACATGGGGAATAACGTACGACCAGTGAAATTCCTGCCATCTAAACCTCGACCTTGCAGATGGGATGCGAAGGAAGGGCCGGCACCGCCGACCACACCTGACTGTAAATGGCCACTGCTTCCAGAGCTCCTGCTATGGTTGCGATCATGCGCCCGCTTATGGCCTTGCTGGCGATCGGCCATGCGGTGGAAGTTTGCAGAACCGATTCGGGCGCCTGGAAGTCGATCGATGAAGCGATGGCCACGAGCTGTATTGAGGGCATACTCTGCTTCATCCCCAGCAGCATTGGCAACCTGGGACGCCATGACTTGTGCCTTGAGGGCCTGGTACATCTTTTGCGTCTGTGATAGCGCTTTGGCTCTTTCCTTGAAAGCATTGGCGAGCTCCTGGTTCTTGCTCACGAGGGAGGCTTGCTCCGCTTGCATGGCTATCGCTAGAGTAAGCTCGACAACATCTTCAGAGAGAGACAAGCTGTACCTTGCATCTTGTCCTGATGTGCCTTGATCTGAGCGTTTGCGTCATGGATGAGCTGGTCCATCTGTTGGCTCAAGACATTGTATTTTTCAGTTAGTCCCTTGGCAAGATGTTCTTGATAAACTATCTCCTGCGATGTCTGGTAACTATGGAAGGCCAAGCCGCGACTTGCACATTCCATTATAAGCGTCGGGCTGAGACCAGAAAGGACACTGGTCTTGTAATCTTCAGAAGGGTTCAGGCCTGCGATGACCACATCGTCTGGATTGTGGAGCGAGGCGCTACATGCTGGGCATGTTCGATTGGCGTTTGTCGATCTTGACAGTCCGGTCAAATCTGCACACTGTGTGCAGAAGACGTGGCTGTTCTAGATGAGTGACAACATGTGCAATTTGTCGAGGCAGGCGGCACACCTGCATGTAGTCACAACAGCCCGATCGTGCAGATTTGTACGGCACTTGAGGTCATTGCACCTTAACTCGAACTCCATTGCTGCTGTTGTTGGTGAGGTGAGTGAAGCAACAAGTTTGAGTGGGTTGAAGCATGTGCATTGACGCGAAAGCACGTGATCTCGCGTGCAAAGGGGCAAGAGCGAGTGGAGGACACGACGAGTGCTAGGAAACTACTGGAGTCGACGGGTATAGCCAATGCACACACATACTCGATGATCGATATCGCCTAGCAATAGTTTCCTTTTTCTTCTTCTTCTTCTTCTTCTTCTTCTTCTTCTTCTTTTTCTTCTTTTTCTTCTTCCACTTCTTCTCTGATGACGGAATCTGCTGACGCGAACCGGACTCGTTTCTGCGTACTTCCCCTGCGGCGTGAGAGGTATTTTAGTGAACTGGGTAGACATGGCTCCTAGCGATCGTCCTTGTCTGGCTTGCGCCGCTGCCTTGTGCTCTTCTTCCCCGCAACCGCTGTCTCGTCGTCTTCTTCATCTCTACCTTTTACCAAGTCTTGTTCTAGGCCCCATTCTTCATTGTCGTACCAGTCTTCACCATCGCTCATCTCTCCGACATGGGCTTCGGCTTTGGACCATTTGTATACATCTTGCCGCATACGATCTGCCTGCAGCAGGCCATGATGGAGATCCAAAGTGATGCGCGCGATCTCTTCTTGCTTTTGTACATAGGCCATGAGCAGCATGCGTGTCTCCTCGGCTTCGCCAGGTGGAAGACCAAAATCGCGATCAGGTAACGAATCGGTTGGAAATGTGAATAGCGGATGAATCGCGTTGCTGTTACCCGAAGGGGACTGGGGCGGAGAGGGGGTAGAGGCCGCATGTGCTCTTGCGCGAGTGGTCATCCGATGGGCTGTGTGTTGCGAGCCAGTGTCAGACGCATCATCGGCTGTGAGAGAGTTTGCGCCTTGGCCATTCTCTTCCAGTCTTCCGAGGTCTCCATCATGTGTCCCGTTCATTGTCGTATCGCCGCCATCAGCTTGTTCAGGGGTTGTGCTGCCATTGGTTCGGTCCTTCTGGTGCAACCCATTGACCTGTGTGTCTTCTACCGTCTCCTGCATCTCAACGTCACGGGTGTCTTCTTGCTCGTCGTGCTCGGCGTGCTCATGTATACCATTGACGACAGGGTTTGAAAATGGCGCATTGGTCATAGCGGCCAAGGCAGCCGGCGCAAAATCAGAGTCTCCTTGGAGTTTGAGAAACAAGCCCTTCGCGCGTGCGATTTGGACCTTTTCCTTGCGCGACAAACTGCCTGCTTCGTTGGCTAGGTCTGTGAGGTGTTTCGAAGTGTATGCGAGACTCAAGGCTGGATGATTGGCGAGATGAGCGGCCGAGGTCAAGGGCGCAAGTACACCTAGACATTGTGATTAGCTTTCCTGCCTATCAACGCACACACATGGATGTATAACGGGAGCGCGCGCGTACTCTCCAAGCGAATGTCGCCATACGGGTTCTCCTCTACAGCTTCCAGATGGTCCTCTTCGTCATACTCGTCGTCAGGCTCAACAATGTCGCCATCCGCATCGTAGCGCGGTGGGTTGCGTTGCAGGATGGATCTGTGGTAACCAGCATGTTCGATGCGCTGTCGAGAGTCAGTCAACCAGCTTTCTTCACAGGCAACGATAAAGAACAACACACCTTCTTGTATGGGCGGGGATCTGACAGGAAGTCTGGGTCGCTCGCGCGTGGATAGCGGACTTTTCGGCGCAGATCTTGTTTATTGCTGTCCAAAGACGAGCCTTCTTCTGTGTCGGCTGCAAGTGTCAGCTGCGCCTTTGGTAGGAAAGAAGAGCAAGGCAGCTCATACAGTCGTCTCTTCGCAGCATCTTCCGCTTCATGGCGAAGATGGTATCCATAATCTGCTGCTGTTGGCCTGCCATGGTGAAGGAAGCGAGAGTAGAGCTGTCTGGGCAGCTTGAGCGCAAAGTTGACGCGACTGTTGTGCGTTGGAAAGGTGAAGGGGAGGGATGTAGTGTGCGTGCAGCTGGCCGAGGCAATGCGCCGAGGATCGAGCCCAGGGAACTACCGGTAAGCTATGGATAGTGTACGACCAGCTAGACGGAGCTTGCTACGGTGAAAGCAAAGTCGGGCATGAAAGTGTATCGGTGCGGAGAGCTGCCGCTACCGTACCGTACCGGTACCAGTGGACACCCTGGTTTCCCATCAATCCTCTGCCCCATGTCATCGCCCGCTTCCAGCACTGAGTAACCTAGATAAGATTCACGTGCGTGGTGGCATGTCATATGACCATGGGTTTAGCGTCGGGCGACTTGGGCTTTACTCCGAGTGGTTAGAATATCCCTGTAGGTTCAAGTCCACGTCACAGCGGCAAATTTTCATGGTTATATAAACTAGCCTATAGTCAAGTATAAATTAGGGTAATTTAAGCAAGTAAACGCAGTTTTTGTTACTATCTTTTTTAAACATGTTCTAAACCTATTCTTAATAATATACAGGCGTTCCTAAATACTATACTAGAGTTTAGTATAGTAGTACTAGACAACGTATCTAAACTAGATAGTAATATTAGAGATAAATTTAGGCAACTGTATAAAGTGCTAGAGGAGGATAGTAGTAGTAGTGTTAAGGAAGTAAGTAAAAGTAAATAGAACAAGTTTAGAATAGGTTAGTAACACGTTATAGGGGCATAATATATACCTTACTTATAGTAATAGTTAAGGACCACTACTTATACTAGTAATTATTAAGCATGCAGCTATTCTCCTAGCATACCCTTAATTACACAGCTAAGGGTATAGGTATATAATACTAGTTTAGCAATATAAAGATAGCTCTTACCTAATAAGAGAAGAGGTGCTTATACAGGCTACATAGGTAACATGTTAAGAACACGTTCTTAAATTATTCTAATTCTAGTAGGTATAATACTCCCGCTAGTCTATCTATCTTAATAGGCCTACAACTTTACTATTCTTTAATAGCTAGCTAGCAAGCTAGTATAAATACTAATACTCTAGGGTAAAAGCGTGTAAGTATCTTAAGAACACGTTATAAACATATTCTTATTACGTTATTAATAACGTATTATATAATTAGATCTAAACCTTAAAAAGTATAGTACCTAAGAAAATTCTATAAAGAGAACTATAAACAAGAAGCTATTATTATAGCCTTATTAAGCGCTTCTCTTTAAGGATTTATAAGGACTACTAGGTGTCTTATTATCCTATAATAAGGACTATAGTAAATTAGGTAGGGAGCAAAACTTAAACATATTTAAAACGTGTTAATAATAAGTTAGTAAATTATAGAACAGGCTTAACTATATATTAGCTATTAGAACTATAGCCTAATATCTACTACTAGGAAAAAACATTATTTTAGTTAGGTACTACTAGAGGTAGACTCTACATATCTACAAGGTCTTCTAACTAGGGAGATATTAAATCTTTCTAGTAGTCCTGCTTTATATTCTATAGTTAAGCTACAGTTAAGCTAGATAAAGAAGTGTGGTAGGTATATTATAACCTATTCCTAACACGTTCCTAATATATTCTAGGCGTTAATTATCTATAAGGGCAAGGATCTCTATTTAAAATCCTGTATAAAGTTACCTTCTAAGTAATTATACTAATAGATATAGTAGTAATACCTTTTTTTACTATTATTTCTTTTAGTATATATACACATATACCTCCTTCTTCCTTAACACTATCTAATAGTAATATTAAGGAAGTAGTAAAGGTATTATAGCCTATACTTACTCTGTAGCTTACGCAATATAAGTTATTTGCAACCTGTTATAAACGTGTTCCTAACTTATTACAGCCTAGTTCCTAAACTTAACCTAGCTCTAAACCTATCTCTAACTTAAAGGTTTCTATTCTATTAAAGAAATATATATTAGCTTTATAAATAAAGATAAAATCTTGCGTATTATAAAGCGTGAAAAGCTTCTATAGTTCCTATTTAAGAGTAGCCTTAGAGGAGTATACTATAAGTAGAGGATAAAGTATTAGGATCCTAAAACTATACATAGTGTAAGAGAACAGGTTTAGAACATGTTACTAACACGTTACTATAGGCGTATATACAGCAAATCTTTATATTAAGCTTAGGTAACTTAATTATTTACCTTTTTAAAGAGCAGGTATTAATTCTATTAGATTAAGACATGTTCTAGATAGATATGTTATATAAGAGGTTATATAAGGTATAGGCAGAGATTCTAATAGTAATCTTCTACCTGTAGGAAAAGAAGCGTACGTATTAAGAACAGGTTTATAACATGTTTCTAATATATTACAGTTATTACACTTAGCTAAATTATTATAGATAAGGATATAACTAAGATATATTAAGTTGCTATTACTAACTTCTTTTAGAAGTGTAAAGCACTTATAAAAAGACAAGTGTTATAGAGGTATATTTACTTACAGGGATTCTATAGGACTACTATTAATATATGTAACAAGTAGATAATAGGCAAGTTTTATGGCGCACTATAACATATTTGTAACGTGTTTCTAACTTGTTTCTAGGACTTAGGCGCTATCTCTAGTTAATTAATCCCTACAAGCGTAACTAGCGCTAGCAACTTTAATCTTGTATAAGATTTTGTTAAGTATATCTACAAAGAAGTATTTATAAAGCATGTAAAAGAGAGCTAGATAATACTACCTCTTTACGTCTAAGTGAATTACTATAGGCATTAACAGTAGAGGAATACTTTTAGCTTGCTAACCTCCTCTTACGTAAGTAAACACATTCTAAACCTATTCTAAACGTGTTCCTAACTTGTTCTTATATAATTAGAACACGAACCCTCTAAAGATACCTAAAACTAGGCAATCTATAAGAAAAACCTAGTAATTGCTACTAGGATTGTGCAATACTATAGTAAAATATTAAAAGAGGTATAGGAAAAACTAGAATCTTATTTAAATATAGCTAAGCAAGCAGGCTAGAAAGGATATAAAACTAGTAAGCATGTAAGTATTCTTAAGGCTACTTAGAAGTAAGTTTACAACCTATTCTTAACCTGTTAGAATTGTATAAGTAATATCGTGTAGTGCACACTAGATAGATCTATAGGATATAAAAGAGTTTAAAGCCTAGAGCAAGTTTAGAATACGCTATAACTATAGAACTCCTAATAGGCTTAAGCAAAGGTACCTTAAAAAGCTTTAGAGGGGAGAAAGTAAGATCATTACGCTAGTGTTATGCATATTTGCTAATTAAAACGTGTTTAGAACGTGTTTAGAACGCGTCCTATAATAATAATAACACTCTAGATAATAATAAAGCAAGTCTTGCTATATCTAACTTAACTAGATATGTCTTAGTCCTAATAAGAAATAAAAGAGCACGCTTAAAAGCCTAAAGCTAGAGGGTAAGTAGTAGAGCAGTATTAGAAAGAAGTTCACTAGCCCCTTTTCTATCTTCTCTACTACTAGGCTCTTCTCCTCTACTAACAGCAACCTAAAGGTATGCTTCGCGAAACACGTTTATAACACGTTCCTAACTTATTATTAGTCTGTAACTACAAACTTTGTAATAAAAGGCTCTTCTTAGTAATTAGGCTCTAAAGGAGAGAAAAGAAAAGCTAGAGGTAGATAAGGAAGAACTTATATAGAAAAAGGCACTATTTAAATTGCAAAAGGTATAGTTTAAACTTAAGAAAGAGATAGCTACTTTTTATATAAGGTAGGGTTAGTCTATAAATATAGTAACTAGTTCCTAACTAGTTCTTAATATATTCTAGTCTATTACGTAAGTATATATAAGTAGATAAATATATATTCTTTCTTCTTCTCTTTCTTCTTCTTTCTTCTTACACTCTACAAGAACTTTTTATATTTAAGAGTTTAATACTATTTTACTATCTATCTTTCCTAATATTATTAGATATAACTAGTTAATATAGTCTATAAAGATCTTTTAAAGTTAGTATATAATAAAACGCGTTAGGAGATATATTATAAACTTGTTCTAACACTAAGTAGGATTTATACTAGCAATATATTAAGCTTAAGTTACTTCTATCTAATACTAAGGCATTCTCTCCTATAATATCCTACCTAAATAATAGGTGTATAGTATTTCCTAGCGAGCTTTTCTGCTAGGCTATTTAGGCTAGATTAGGGGTATAGGAACTTTGTGGAGTATATATACATGCGAGTTAGAACACGTTTATAATATGTTAATAACTATTTTAGTATTGCTTCTCTAATAGAGGTAATCTTATCTACTACCTTAAGAGGTATTATCCTAAGGTTTAAATAGCCCTAGTAAACTGTAGTAGAACTACAATACAAGGTATTGCAGAAGCAAGGATCTTCTATAGGAGCTTAATAGTAAATGCTTAAGAACGTGTTCTAAACACGTTAATAATACGTTCTCTACTAGTAGAGTAGACTACACTAAGTGCCTCCTCTAAGGTTTAAGAACCCTCTAAGATAGCTAGTCTATAATAAGAAGTGGTAGCTAGAGTAGAGGCTAAAGAGGAAGTAGAGAGTAAAGAAGAGGAGCAAATAGTTGCTCCCCTTTACACTATAAATAATATTTAGCGAAAGTAGTAAAAAGGAGATATAAGTCTAGTCTCTTAAAACATGTTTAGAATATATTAATAATACGTTATAGCTAGACACCTATAAATACTAGATTCTTCTTTAATCTAAGGGACTGCTAGAGCTTTATAATACCTATAAAAGTTAAAAGAAAAAGTTATATACTATTAAAGGACCCTATAAAAGTAAATAGTACTTTACTTTTAGTAGATAGAAAAAAAAAGAGAAGAGTAGAGAGTTTATTTTAGTAATTACTACTACCTCTTTAGGTTATATACTATTATATATTATTTATTAGAACCTATTCTTAACACGTTCTTAACGTGTTCCTACTTATTACTATTATTATCTCCCTCCCCCTCTCTAGTATCTTCTCTATCCTCCCTATCCTCCCTAGGCTCTATAAAAGTATACCGCAAGTAGAACTAGGCAGTATTCTAGTAGGAATTAGTAAGGTCTATACTAGCATTAAAGTAATAGTCTTAAAACACGTTAGGAATAGGTTAACAACATATTGTAAATAACTTACTACAGCTAGGATAATTATAAGCGCAGATAGTATAAGGAACCTAATAACCTTAAATCCTTAGTAGGGTAGATATAGTAACAAAGTTAAGCTATAATAAGTTAGTAACGTGTTTTTAACAGGTTCTTACAGGCTATACCTTATTACTATTATAGCTACTGCGAGTCTTCTTCTAAATTATATTTAGGAGGGTATTAGTATTTATAGGGGGGCCTATAGCAGCTACTAGCTAGGCTTAGAGAACTTCTATAAAACACGTTAGTAATAAGTTTTAAACATATTCTAAATAACTTATAGTAAGGAGCGTTCTAGTAATTATATATAACCTTTATATAGAAGTCTATATATATTAGTATAACAAGTTAAGAACAGGTTAATAATATATTTACTCTTTGCCTTATAGACCTCTATTATAGAGAGCTAGCTAGTCTTCTTAACCCTACTAACCTTATAGTAGGCTATATTAAGCCTATAATCTTTTTTAGCATAGGTATATAGAGTGCCCCTAGTACCTAGAATAGCCTAAGAATATTAGAACCTGTTTAGAACACGTTTAGAACCTGTTCTTACTCTATATAAGGTGCCCTTATTATTAATCTTAGTATAGTAGTAGCGCTCTCTACTCTCTATCTTAACTACCCTATTAGGGCTAACCATAGGCTATACCCTAATATTATCTAGGACGTGGCTAAGGGTAAGGTACTATTAATAGTGCTTCTATAACCTATTAAGAACACGTTCTAAACATGTTTTAATCTACTTACGTAGAATAAGAGGGATACGTTAGTAATAGGCATAGCAGCAGCAGCTTATAGTGTTACTAGTATAGAATGTGTTTAGAATAGGTTTAGAACGCGTTGCAAAATCTTACAGTATAATATTTGGTTAACCTCGCTTAGCTAGCTAGTAGAGCTTGGCACGGCCTAACCCTATGCCAAATACGAGTTCACGCAGCGCTAATTCCATGGTCATATAAACTGCGCCCTCTTCACGTGCAATCGTCCAGGGTCCAAGGCAACATGAACATCACTCGGGGCAAGGGACAAGGCCACCATTGATTGCGCTTAGGTGTACACCCACCGACAAAAATCACTCCTCTTCGCGACTTGGGGAAAGACGGGAGATCGAGGGAGGCTACTTACCGGTACCGGTAGTGGTCCTGTTCTTGTTCCCCTCGTCCCACACGCCCTGTTTTCACTGCCCGCCCGCCGCCTGGGTCTTGCGCCGCCCCTCCAACTGTTTGACCTGGGACAGTAGATACTGCATATGGAGATATAATTGCGCCACCATGGAGGCCTACCCTCCCGACTATGTAGTCCATAATCTGCCCTTCATAGTCCTGTCTGGCCTCGGAGTTAGCAAAGAGCGCGAACCTCCAGCAGCCGCCCAGGACGTGCTGCCCGGCCGAGCAGTCACTACTATCAACGCAGAGTCGCCGCCTGTCGCCAGCGAACGTGCCACCGAATTACTCGACGAGTTCTTGAGCGCCGATGGGACCAATGCGCCGTGGAATGGACGGTCCTTCCATCGATCAGGTCTCACACATGGCTTCCGATTTCGAGCTGTTGGCCGGGTAGGTCAGCACTTTGTCCTTGGATTCCCCCCCTCCTCCCCCCAAGGGAGCAAAGGAGCAATGCTGATGAAGGCTAGCAATATCAATTGCCAGCGAAAAAGGCCGATGCTCCCACGACGTGGGCAACGACGCCTCCAGGTAGCCCCACGATAGCCGCAGCAACCTCGTGGACATTGCACTCGCCCATCTCGCCCTTGTCCCCCAGCTCGACCACCTTCCCAGACGGCGTCATCGCTCCTGTCTGGGTTTCCAAGCACCAGCACTATGTACCTTCTGTGTTCATCTCCTTCTTCGACTTCACCACAGACCCCATCACAAATAGCCTGCACGACAATCAACTGAAAACGGACATCAACCGGATCAAGAGCCAGATTCAGAAGTCGGACTATCGCACGCGGTTCGCCGTGGTACTTCTAAGCAACAAAACGATACTGGAGGCGCCTGATATTGAAGAGCGTTTGACGGTGATACGAAGAGCCACTGGTCTGGACCCCAAGAACTCGTTCTTCTTCCTCCCTCCAAACACATCACAGGTCGAGTTACGAGCTTTCGTGACAAGCATCTTGTCCATTTTACAGCCCATTTGCGTCGAGTACTACCGAGATCTCACCAAGCATGCCAGACGGAAGAAAAGCCGCGGTTCTGTACCGCCTCCTACAGCCCCACCGACACGAGGCACGTCACAAACATTGTCCTACCCTGGCTGGGGCATCCGCTATGACTTCAAGTTGGGAATCTTTGCAGAATTTCGTCAGGAAATGGATGCTGCACAACGACATTATAACATTACTCTCGAATCATTGTTCGGCGCTGAAGGATTGTTCGAGACCACCGCAAGTTGGTCACCCAGGTGGGACGAAATACGTTTGTTGGCCGATATCGTAGCGCTTCGACATATTCGCTGCCAATTGTGGCTGAACTGCCCTACTTCTGCAGCCCAAACGTGGTTAAGATATAAGCTTAGGCTAAGAGATGTCCTTGATCGTCGAGGCAAGGGCTCCTCAAATTACGGATGGCAAGCATGGGAATCGCGATGGGCGCGAATTATGGCGCAAGCCATTCAGCGGGCCGAACTGCCCGTGTTCGCGGTAGGAAAGCAACTCCAAGACTCAGATCCTCCAAGTAAGGGCATGGTAGCAGTATTCTCCCCACCTGAGAAATCATTCCCCGTCGGTGAACGGTTCCCGCCATGGGAGCTTCTCCACCACGCCGGGTATTGGCACAAGATGTCTAGTGACCATGCAAAGAGACGCTATATTCTTGCCCGTGACATACCTGAAGAGGACCGCACTCCACCGGGTATGTCTCCCGCTACAAAGGTATCAAGCCGAAATCAGATCTACGATCAATACCTCGTCCCACAGCCTCATGAAGAATACCCTCTTCCAGGTGTTGGAGGGGGTTTTGAACACTGGAGTGATATTGCTGCAAAAATGAACGCCTCCATACAAGAATTCAAGAGTCGTGGTCAGCACCGCAAGGTAGATCAGCTGCAATTAGAGGTAGCTAGAACCTTGCTTCACGTGAAGAGGTTTGATGACGCGTTTAAGGTACTTCGGCCGCTATGGGAGACGATGGCTTGGAGGAAGGAAGGCTGGTACAATCTAGCTTCCGAGGTGTTGTGGGCCCTTCACGAGTGTGCTTTGCGCGTTCAGAACAAAGAAGCTTATGTCGCTACCGAGTGGGAACTGTACACTCAAAGTCAGTATCTTTGTATACTAGTAAGCAAACTCCTACTGACGATGTCCAGTGATTCCGGGAAAAACGAGGTACAAACACGACTTGATGGTCTGCTTGGACGTATTCGCCAAGGATGAACCCGCAGATAAGATCAACGTGAATTTGAATGCCAAAGATCACATGTCTCCTTGTAAGTATGTTCCCGTACAAGCGAAGTGAGCGCTGATGACGATGTAGTGATCATAACCTTCGCCTTCTCCGAAAGTGAAGGCAATGTAGGAGAGCCTCTGCAATCACAAATGACAATCACGTCCAATGCTCGCCAGGGGTCTGCGCCCGTTACATTGTCGTCTCTCTCCTACCACTTCAGCGGGGCCTTGAGTGAGGTACAACTGAGCCATGAAAGAGATGAGAAAACCGCAGTGACGACATCCAGAATGTTGGCATGTACGCTGGAGGAAACTTCTACATCTGGCCAAAAGCCCCAATGGGCCGGCGTGAGTGATTTGACCATTTATCCTGGTCAAACCAACGTCTACACCTTCCCTCTTATCTTCCGCGAAGCAGGTGATGTGGATGCAGATTCTTGTGTATTTGAGGTGAACACGGATCACTTCAACCTCACTTGCTCGGACACGGATTTGCACAGTAGCCCTAACCCAGCATGGTGGGTCACTTCGAATGGAGCAGTCAAGCCAAGAAAGTATAAAGGAGCTGGAGGATTGTCGGTTCATATTCTTCCAAAGCCACCGAAAGTGGAGATCAGATTACCGGATGTAAGAACTCAGTACTTCACCGATGAACCGGTCACTCTGGCTATTGAGATCCTAAACCAGGAAGAAGAAGACACGGAAGCTGTCCTTGAAGTACGGCTGCTAGGTCGTCAACAGGATGCTCTGGGGTTCGCCTGGCTCGAACGGCCAGCCTCGTCACCGATGAAAGAAGTACCTCCACAGGTGGATGGTTTCAAAGACGTTGATTTGCCGGGTCATGTTGTCGGCAAGCTATCACAGGGCGCCAGCACAGTGGAGAAGATACATTTTACAGCGCCTCCTGATCCGGCAGACTTTGCTTTAGAGGTTAAGGTACTATACCATCTTCTCAGCGATCGCGACATCCCAATATCCAAGATCATGGTAGCAGATCTTGTCTTCAATGCGCCTTTTGAAGCAAGTTATGACCTCAACGCCCGCGTTCATCCAGAGCCATGGCCAAGCTACTTCGAATTACGGGATGCTGAGAGCAACTTCAACCCAGAATCAGCCGACGCATTTGGCATTGCACAGAAGTGGGGCCTGCGAGCAAAGGTTGCATCATTCGCCGATGAACAGCTGACAGTCAGTGACCTAGCTGTCAAAGTCCACGGCGTCCATGGCGGTGCAACATGCGATGTGACGAAGGAATTCGAGGCAGGCGAGCAGGCCATGGACCCTCAGATCTTGAGCGAGTGGGCCTTCAGCCTTGATGTACGAAAAAATAATCTGGAAGAGCGACGGTCAACCGCGCTCGACACGACCCTCAACATTACCTGGCAGCGGACTTCCATCCCTAATGCTCCGGTGGTAACTTCCTGTCTCCCAATACCACGCATACAAATACCTTCGAGCGAGCCTCGCGTCCTAGCCTCAGTCCAATACTCAACTTCAGTAGCCTCACTAGTGCACCTCGATTACACACTCGAAAACCCCACCATGCACTTCCTCACCTTTGAAGTCAACATGGAAGCCAGTGAGGAATTCGGCTTTAGCGGCCCAAAACTCCGTACCTTGCATCTGCTGCCCATGAGCAGGCAGACTGTGTGCTATAGCTTGCTCCCCCTTGTCACGGCCACTTGGATCACACCACATCTCAAGGTCATGGATCGATACTTCAATAAAACTCTCAAGGTTCAGGCGACAGAGGGCCTGCGCATGGAGAAAAAGGGCGTTGGTGTTTGGATACCGGGGGATGAGGGGACGGGTCCTGCACCTGAAGCTGTGCTGTAATAGTATAGTAGTAGGATTGAATGAGTTGGCTGCATGGAATCGCAGCCTTGGATTCTTACAGAATCGGCAAAAAAACACACTACCTTCGTTGCGCAGCCAATTTGATAATAATGTGCTTTTAAGTCTGTAATAAGATGTGAGGGGAGACGATAGTGGCGAGGAGGCTTGTCTGCGTTACGTCGATGTTGCTGCTGTTTTTGTCTGCATACTGGGGTTGCTGGTATGTTCGAAGAGGTGGGTGTTGTATCGTTGTGTTGTCGCCTGTTGTGGTCAAGTCTTCACGAACATGCAGCGTGGAGACGTTCTTAACACAAGCTTCAACAAAGTCGGTGATGCGATCTGTTTTTGTTTGTTTACAAACTGTTGCAACAAAACTAAATCCGAATGTTACATCCCTAATTTGCTGGTCTGGGGGAAGAGTCTTTTAGCCGGATGCCGTCTAGGCACACGGTATGGTACCGGTAGTAAGGAGTCGGACTTGGGCGGTGATAATTGGTGGAACAATCGCGGGCTACCTTGCATCGTAAAGTTATTCAACTACGTCTTCCCCACACCCTGAATTGGCCGCCTAACTTTCCCCACGAAAATCCTCTTGGCCCGCTGGTTATAGTCAGTATCTTGTTTTGGGCATCATTTCTTGGTAGCCAGATGACCATATCCTACCTACTGGGCTTTGTTGTTTCTGCATTGGATAGATGCTTTCCGACTAACATTACCGTTACCGTACAAGCTACCGTAGGCGTGCGGTTGTGGCACATCATTCAAAGCCTCACCTCCATGGCCTTACTGTTACTCCACGGTCGATACTCACCCGGAATCCCAAGAGCTCGGTACGATTGCGGAGAACATGGGGAAGCTTTTGTGGGGAACACCCTTTGATCCTTGAAGCTAGGCTTTTGTGAGAGCGGTCTGGCATGTCTCCACGGAGGAATTATTACAACTTCTGCTATTTACGCGATTCAGGAAGCTTCCCAGGAAACATTTATAATAAGTTAACACCTAGGTAGAGACCTCCTGTAGGATCTTCAATTAGACGAAGGTGGTCCAGTGTTTCATCATGTTGGCTACCGGTATCTCAACGTTTTCATTAACTGCATTACTCCTCCCCCCTGTGGTATCATCAGCATTCGTGGCCGAAAACTTCCTCAAAACCCTACGCAGCCCTCGTCCTTTCCATGCGGTGAGCTTTCCAGAGCGCAATCGCACTTGCATTGCAGAGTCGCACGACGACTTGCAGACCGACGATGCCGAAAACATCCTAAAAGCGGTCCAGGACTGTAACAACGGGGGTCATGTTATCCTGGCAGAAAAACATACCTACACCATTACCTCGCCCATGAATCTCACTGGCTTGAAATCAATAGATATTGACATTCAAGGCCGCCTTTCGTTTCCAGCAGACAATCTCACATACTGGCAAGCCAACTCGTTCGATCTGCAATACCAAAATGCGACCTCCTTCTTCATCCTTGGTGGATCGGATGTCAACATCTACGGCGGTGGCGAAGTCCAAGGCCACGGTCAAAACTGGTATGATGCGTATACTAAGGATAAGAAGATTCGACGGCCAGTCTTGTTTGCCATTGTTGGTCTCGACGGCGGAACCGTGAGCGATATCAAGATGCGCAACGCCCCGTTCTGGCACAACGTCATTATCAACTCCACAGACGTCGTGTATTCTGGCCTCGACCTGTTTTCCACGAGCAATAACGGAAATTTCGAAAAGAACACAGATGGCTGGGATACTTACCGCAGTGACAGAATTGTGATTGAGAACTCCACAGTCACAAATGGTGATGGTAGGTCCTCCCTCTCCTATACTACCATACATATACACCCCTCCATCACCCCTCCCCACTAACCCCCCAATTCCAGACTGCGTCTCCTTCAAGCCCAACAGCACCAACATCCTCGTCCAAAACATGCAATGCAACGGCACCCACGGCATCTCCGTCGGCAGTCTCGGCCAGTACCCCGCCCGCGTCGACTACGTGCAAGACATCCTCGTCCGCAACATTAGCATGTACAACTCCTCCGAGGGCGCACGCATCAAAGTCTGGCCCGACGCCTACGCCGAGAAGTCGCAGAGCCTGACGGGTGGTGGGGGCAGAGGCCTCGTACGCAACGTCACCTACGACGGCATGTTTTTAGATAACGTGGATTATGGGATTACGATTACGCAATGTTATGGACAGGATGATGAGGAAGAGTGTTTTAAACATCCCGTGAGTTTTTCTTCTTGCTTAGCTCTTCTCATTCATCCAACCGCACATGATTCACACCCACCCCTTCCACTCCACCCCTACCCCCACAAAACACCACCTAACTAACACAACCCCCTAGAGCAAACTCAACATCCAAGACATAACCTTCCGCAACATCCGCGGCCGCACCAACCGCGTCTTCTCCCCGCTCGTCGGCCACATTGTCTGTTCGAGCCCGGAAACGTGCTCGGGCATTGTGGCACAGAATATCGATATCAGGACGATTAATGGCTCGAGTTTGGTGACGTGTCGGAATGTGGATAAGGGGTTGTTGGAGGTCGAGTGTTCGGATTGGAGTAAGGGGTATAATCCTGCTTAGACTGGTATAGAGGAAGAGGGGGGTGGGGGTATTCGCTGGGTCAGTGGAGGGCTGGGAGATGGACCAAGAGTCTGTGGAGAAGGCTGAGGATGGGGTGGCGGGTTGGAATAGAGGGACTAGATATCCGGGTTTATGGGTCTATGGTAAAGTAATGGCGACAATATCAAATGACAAGTAATTATGTGCCAGTGGGCACGAATATGAAGACTTGTACGTGTAGATATATGAAAAGTGAAAGAAAGAGAGAAAGAGACGGGAGTATAAAAAACACTCCATGCACCCTCTATCCTTGTCCTCCAGTACCCTCCCAAACCAAAGCAACCCCAGATTAGATATATTGCGCAAGTTTTATCCCTCCCAAATGCAAATTTTGGAGCGCGAGCAGTGGTATACAATAAGTATGTGCAATTATCATGTGAAAATGTCTCCTTGTAGTAAATCGGAATAGCATGAAATCAGATCGGTGGCTGTCTAGTACATGGCTTCAGCTTGAACTAGCGAAAGAAAGTTGGATAAAGTCCCATCTATATAACCCAGTCTTGGTATCAGATTTGAATTGGGAACAAGTTGTCACGGAGAAGTTGGACGATATCAAAGTGCACGGTGTGTTGTGTATATGAATGTGTAAGTCTGTCTGTGGTGTATGTGTAGTATCTATAGGATGTCGAAGTGGGTACAACTTTTTGAGATGATGCAATATTCTGGGCTGTGTGCAGAAAAAGTAGCATTTAATGAAACATCTTTTGGGGGGTTGGTTTGGGCTGGATGAGTTGGGCTGTGTGAGGTGATAGCATGTATTGGGCCATGTCAGGCATCCTGAGGAACAATGTTAGGCCACGTGGGATTTTGGTATGGATTTCAGGTTGGGAGATTATTAATTCATGCAGGTAGAGATTGGGCTTCGCTGAGCTGGGCTTGACTGAGATATTTGGTGGATGCGTATGTCCACAGAAGGCTGCATATTCGACTTGGTGTAAGGAGACACGATATATACTTTTGCGTTCTATTCCTAGTTTACTGTGGGTTTGATTGGATGGACTGCACCTTTGGCTTGCATGATGTGTTCATCCTGCATAAATGGCTAGTGAAGCCCGACGACCAACAATGAGCCGTATTGTTGACTCAACAGATTTATGAAGGCGAAGGAAAGTTATATAGAAATTGAAATTGGTGGCAACATTCAGGCTCGGGGTCGCCGTGTGGATGTATGTTCAAGCGTCGTTTGTGGAGAGACTGTGGCGCAGTGTTGTGGTGGCGGCCAATGATCGATGCACTCTGTTATAAATTGACTTCGCAAGTGCATTCGAGAACACGTCAGTTATCGTCTACTGATGAATGATGGGAAAGTGTTAGAGAAGTCTATGAAGTATAATTGGAGCCCAACTATTTAGGGGCAGTCTCTGATACAACATGTATCGGGTTTTTCTCAGCTGCTTCACTATTTGCACCACTCACCGACCAGGCCTCCGAGACTAATAAAAAAAGATAGGACTTTATCAGCTGAGAAAGGTAATTTGTCATTACCCTAATCAGGCTCTCGGTCATGTCAGCGCAAATCGATTCGAGGAACGGAGTACGGTCAGCGAGGCAAGCTCAAGGTCCCAAATGGCCATGTCCAGCAGGATCGATACGATATTTAACGAAGTTAAGACAGGCATGCACATCACGCAAGAGATCGAGCAATCGATGCCTACCAGGGTCCGGGATTAGGCAGAGGCTGCAACCGGAGGGTTCAAAGATGGAAACGCTGAGAAGGCAGTGACCTGGATGCTGGAGTTAATTGGAGATAAATTTTGCCACAACTAGGATGTCAATATAAGGTGTAAGTACACATGAGTCACATATACCACCAGTATTTATGTTCGAGGAACGCCCCTGTCATGTTGGAGGATGCCCAGATTCATTCGCCGAAGATTGTGAACACCAGATGCAATCTCCCATCCAACGACAAACATGACGCCAAGGACTGAAGATGAAAATACATTCGCTAGCAAAGCTCTCATACCGTTACAACTCTCAGGTTGCGGTGGTGCTGGGCGCGCCTCACTCTTCCTGGATCGACACGTCCGGCCTCATAGTATCTTGGCACCATCCCTCGATCACCAAGCAGTACTTTCTTTCTTCCCAGATCCAATTTCATTTTATTTCGAGCATTTATATCTTGATGTTTGTACCTCGAGGTTGGCGTAAGTGCTGCACAAGCTGTGGTAGGCAGAATAGTAGGCTTTGCTGATTTGGCGTTGATGGACAGTAGTTCTTTTTAGGCAGGCTTTCACAAAGCTCCAACGTGTCAGAACTTCGTCGTTACCCCCTTTGTTGGCTCGATCAGGCTCATGCCAAATTGGATCAAAGGCACAATGTGCGTTGGAGTCTGTGCGATCATCATCATGCCGACGGCCCTAGGTACCGCCCGTACCGGTACCTAACGTTAGCCTAGCGTTTGCCAGCCACCATGCAAAGGAACCCTTTGACTCTCCTCCATCTCTTCACAGCCGCTCATTAGGTTGCGATCCCCTCCGACAAGAATACATCTCTTAAGGTTCAGCGATGACTCAACGATGACAGGCCTATGTAGTTGCCTACAGCCACTTAGCTCCGCTTAGTAGCAGCCTGCAGCTGCCTAGTTACAAGAGGCGAACCAAGCTACTCACCTTTTGAGCAGATCATTCTCGACAAAACCAATTCATCCTTCGGGGTATCAATGCACAGGAAATACGAGTGAAACCATCAGGTCTGCCCCGGAAAGACAGCAATATGCGACGGATAACACAATGACGAAGCGAAGCAACGCAATCCTTCCGTGAAGAATCCCCCTTACTATCATCGGAGGACAGTGAGAGTGGAGCATGCAGCATGCAGACACAAATGATCAACGAATATGCGATCATAGCCTGATCTTCTGGATCGATGCCATCATCTATGAGCCGTAGAGCGAACATTCGGCGTCCGAAATCGCAGAAGAGATATACGAAAGACGCTTTCTTAGCTCAGGCATAACATGGCGACGTGGAGAAAGGGATAGCACCCAGGTCATCCAAGCCAGCACCCCAGGTCATCCGGCCAGGTATTGGAAAACGGCCAACCGATATACAATGATTAGATTGTTCATTGCACCACAGAGTTTGCACGAGAGCTGCTGGACGTTTGCGAAATGGCCGAAAGCCTACGGGGACGAGCAGGCTCTAGTCCAAGATCGGGATGATACTTTCTGTAGTGTTTGAGACGCGCATCCTTACGATTGAACGCCTTTCGAATGGGACAGTGATCACAGGCATAGACTGCCGGGGACTTGCTGGTGTGTTTCAGCCGCATATGTCTGGCTTTGTTCCCGTTACGGTAATTCCCCCGGAAAATGGACGGGCACTGTTCGCAAAGGATAGTATCTGACAGTGGTCCCGATGTACTACTGGCTTCAGACCGTCGGTCGGAGCAATCATCATCTTGGCCAGGCACCGACAGGTAAGTGGTGTTGCTGTGACTGACATGCCTGAAAAAGATTAGCGAACATCACTAATCTTCGCTAACAATCACACTGACCTAGCGAGTTGCGACCTTTGCGGCTGGTGTCTGGTATTCTCATCCTGGAAATCTCCGCTGCCTACGTTGAGGTATGGCTCCGGATTTACTTCGGTCAAAGCCGGAGTCATGTCCAGTACAGCTGACATCTGTTTGGTGGAGTTGGCTGTCGACCACGTCCAGCCATTGAAAAGTGTCTCTGATGGCCGACAGACGTCCCTAACCTTCCTTGAGTTGTTTATGTCATCGTCCGTCGGGTACAAAGATGATATGGAATACCCTGCACCATTTCCAGGCATGGATCTGGCATCGGGATTGCTATCCGTGCTTGTAGTCGCAAGTGCGGATCGACGCACCAACATGTCAGTCTTCTCTCTCAAAAGATATTCGTGGTCACCTTGTTGCCTAAGGGTTTGACCCGACCACGGTTCATCAGATAGGGAGATTGATGGGATCGTATTGTAAGCATGGTCTGGTACCGAAGAGAACACTCGATCTTCGTTCGGATAGGTGTTGGTGTCGGCGGAATATTCACAAGAGATGGACTGGCTATGGTTAAATTCTTGACGCCCGAAGGCCTGAGAGTGGTGTTGACTGGACGTTCTCTGCTGGAATGGAAATTGACTGTTTGGGGTTCTTCTCGAAACAGAGTCGTTGGAAAATTGGCCAATGCCATTAGGGAACATCTGACTATGTTCGAATGAGCCATGAGTATGCCTTCCTTGGAGGTTGCGATAGAGGTGCGCTGTGTTGGTTACAGCCTGTGGGAGTTCAAGAGAAGTTCGATTTACGGGGACCGATAAGGGGGAGTAGGAATATTGGTTCGCAATCTCGTCATCGGTGTCATGATGTAACAGCTGTTCGCCCTCGTCGTCACGGTTCCCAAGATAAGCTTCTTGGTTCGAAAAGATGTATTCGGGGATATAGGTCGACTCAAACGACATTGAAAAATCGCCTTGCGTATCGCAGTCGCTGAAGGGTTCGGGAACGTCGATGGGCAAAGGCAAGAGAAAGTTCGAAGAGTAACGCGGGGAATTCAGGTCGTCCGCATTAGCATGAACTTGTCTTATTGTTCTGTCTTCAGTCCCCACGGGCTGATATTGACCCTGATCGACATCCAAAAGATCGTTGCGCAATGGAACATCCTCGGGATGCATCCACTCAGGGTATTCCTCCATATCGGCAAACGGTAACCCTGAGAAGAACCTTAACTGGTCTTAGTTCAAGGTCTACCGACAGTCGAAATAAGTCCAAAATCTGTTCTCCTTCGAACCTCGTAACGACGGATAGGCGGTGTTGGTTGGTGTGACAAGGCTACGATGTAACTTCGGATAATATATGCTGTACGACGGTACGGTGGCAGTTTTGAAAGAGTGGGAAAGCGTGTGAGCAGTGAAAGATGCTAGAATATATCGAACGTTGGATTCAAGCGGAGATGAATGTCCAACGTGGGCGTCTGGATACCGGTATGTTAGGCCACAGTCATGCCAAGGATACTCTCTAGCGCCAACACACCTATTCGATGTCACGAAAGACAAATCACGACAGCGTACTTTCACAATACGAGCGTCTTGAACTCCTCAGAAAGTACTGTGTCGTCTTTAATACACTACTGTGCAGCTTGTTGCCGAGTAGAGTGTTGGTCGAGCTAGGCGTCAGTTTAAAAGGTGACGTTGCGATGAAAGGTTATTCTGATGTAAACACTGAACAGCTCGATTTAACTAAGACAACGTCCGCCTCACCGTACTAATAAGCTGAGCGGTAGTAACAGCGAGTCTTCGTGGCGCCACAAGGCAAAAGGGCCTCCAAGTGTCGCTATCAAGCAGCGCAGGCGTACGGCACCTTCAGGAGTCTCGCTGTCAAGATGACTGGGCAAAGTGCGTGCGCGGGAGGACTGCATTGGTACATCATGAAGGCTGTGCAGCCTCTAATTGAGCGTAGAAGGCGACAGCTCCACGAAGGACAACAGCATTGGTGTCGACCATCTTGAGTACTCGATAGCACTCGCCAGGACACGCTTCAGGATCTGCGCGCATGATCAAATGCCCTATATCATATCTATGAGTGGATCATGGGGGACTCCTCACAGCCACTCATGCTTCACATTGGCATTTTAGAACGAACGTGCACGTCGTGCGCACAGTGAAAAAGTCTGCCTACTTAACGTGCCCAAGGTGGGCAGGCAACCATGCAGCTACGTCGGAGGAATCAGATTAAACCGGATAAGCAACGGGCGCCATTTACAGGTATTTTTGACCAAGTTGTTAGGAGCTGTAAACAGGCGGGCTGGCTATGTGCGGCCGAGCGAACAGTTTCAACCACCCCATATCACAATCAGGTGGAAGTATTGGCCTACTCATGCGCAGAGTGTTCCGATGGCAACCTATCCGAATTTGTTACACTGTGTCTATTCTCCGATTAAGCACGTCATGCGTTAGGAATATGGACATAGGTATTGCGGCACAATAAGTACAGCATCTCCATCAATGGGTACTATGCAGCTCACTCATGCGGAGCGCTCGTCCGATGCGCCATGCTGGACTAAGCAGGTTTGTGCTCAAGCTTCCATGGCTGCAGCAGTGCGCGTATCGCTTCCGTGAGATCTGCAGCCAATTCACGACAATGAAGTCACAGCGGACAAGCAGCAAATCAAGCCTATGTACGGACGATCCGCGCCCTCTCTTTCAGAACATCAAGATATCATCAGCAAGATTGCGGCACCCAAGTAAATAAGCCTTAAAGCCACACAGATATCATTGTAACCATGAAGATAACATGGCGTAAGATTCGAAATTGTTTCACTTCAAGATCGACCGGCAGAGCCGGGGGCTCTGCTGTTCCTCCTAGGATGTGGACTACCTACACGCACCAGCTGCATCTCACCTTGCCGCCAAATGACTGCCACAGCAGACGGCAAAAGTTGTTGCAGCCGCCAACCATTAAAAACTTGTACATGCCACTAGACACTGCTTTGAAAGAAATCGGACATCCGCAAGGGGCCGGATCGACAGTGGCTCCCCCGTCGACTTACCGGTAGACATCAGGGGAAGCATCCCGTCGATACGCTTCCTACTCGTCCGGAGAAAGGATGCTGGACAGTCTCGGCTAGGCCTGTAAATTATGAGCCACCCCCAGATGTGCGTACAGAATTCGAGTCATGCGAGGTCAGAGATGGGGGCGGATTTACGACGACTGACATGGGGAGATATTCGGCCAAGCGTGTGTGGACTTGTTGATTTCAAAGTGCGCCGCAATTTGATCAATACACTGTCTCTTTGCCAAGATCTTCCTGGCATTGCTGACCACATGTACCTATGGTCGTTGACCTGCACGCCTACCAGTATCCATTTAGCAGTCGTTCGAGCAGACACGGGCCACCATAGACTATTGATGGCTTGCAGGAAGCAACATAGCTGCCGTAGCGATCATCTCATCCCTCTCTGTCTCTTGGAAAGCTACATGCAGTAGTTCCTGGGGGCTGTGATGTCGTTCCTTGGAATGCGGGGCTCGCTGTCACCTGTCAATGCAACACCAACAGCAGAGCCTCATCGCGTGTTCCAGACCACGAAATACGCAAACACATGGTAACCGCCCAAGCCATGGCGCACAACACCGCGTCTCGCGGAACAATTAGCCCCGCAAGTCCAAATGGGTCGGTCCGAACAGGTTCTACCATCAAGCGACGGGCGGCTACCGGTACCATAGGTCTCGGCCCATGAATTTCGCTGGCCAGTCTTCCATGAAGGATGGTACTAAAAATTGGTGTGACTGGCAATTCGATCACAGCATTTGATCCACTGCCAAAGTCAACAGATGGTTGTATCTTCTGGAATGCTAACAACGTTCTTTGCTTTGAAAGTGAGGGATCCTTTCCAAGTTTCAACTGAGCACAATTCTATGATTTGTGCCAGCTTCAGGAAGCCTTAATATCTGCTTGGTGTAATATTACTTGTAATAGTGTACCATATGTGCCGAAAGACGCAAGACTTTTGGATTGCGTAAGATGACCCTAAGGACGGCACCTCATCAATTTATGACACTGCTCGGGATACAAAAGCTCTTCAACATGACAGACTCGGCTGTGTAAAAACACAAGGATTACGTTTGTGACCGTCGCTAGCGACCTAGCTCTGCAGCTCGAACCATGGGCCTGGAAAGAAAGCCCCATATTTTGGCTTATTCGGACACAGTCAACACATGGACAGCAGAGACCATCCCTGGGTAGCAAGTCAAGACCAAGGGCTCGCTGACCTCCGTGTCGATAAATCCCATGGTGCCAACACATCGTTACCAACTATATGCAGCTCATTCCTCCGGCCTGCCCTATCTATGCCCTACATCCGCCCTAGGTGTTTCCCTGCACGTATGCGGTTGAGCTAGTTAAATTCGCTGACTCGTCCCATCCTCAAAGCCCTGTTTCTTGAAAGTGGACGCCATAGGCTCTGTCTAAAGTATGGCACTGCTATCCCCCAGAAAATTTCGCCTTGGGCGTCCCGTATGAGACGCCCGAGACAGTCATATCTCTTTCCTGAGAGCTGTGGTCGGGCCGCTAGCTGGAGACACCGCTTTCCGACTTATTTGCCTACAACAGGGTCATCTTTGACCATACATAACTGTTCAGGACCCTGCGGGGTTGCCTTCGATATTGACAGCAGGCATCACTTTGCGACCTTTCCATGTAGCTCCTGTACGCCCGTGCTTCTTGCTGCGGATCTTGCTGCGGATCTTGCTTGATGTTCTGACGCGAATGTGATCATCATGTCGTCCGACTTGCTGTCGAATTGAACGACCGAAATCTTTATCTGGGCATGAGAATACTCTGTGGCTGAGTTTCCGGCGGACCAGGGTGGATGTTGTCAGTAAAAGCCATCTAGTCACGTCCTGGATCTTTGCCATCCGGTGAATATTTCACGGTAGCCATTCGCCTCATCAAATCCAAGGTTTTGGCCATTGAATGACACTGAGCGCTATCCTGCAAGTTCTGAATGTGCCAGAAACATGGTATTGCATGATCAGACTGCATAAGTACCTTTAGATCGGTTCAGGTTGTTAAGCTGTTCTTATTCAAGGATTGCCACCCATAAGCATGCAGCACTCAGTGCCAACCCGTAAAATCAGTCTGCCATCAGCCACAGAATCGTCGGAGTCTACCAACACTAGCTCATTTTTTCATGCCCATATACCGTCATCAAGGTTTGGCTGGCTATGCGTGAAATGATCAAAATTGCACTACTGTCATGCCTGCACACCTGTAATTCTGGTGTTTGAATCCGAAAACGCTCACTTTTCTGACAAATCTTTTACGATTTGGGCTTGAAACACGACTCGTTACACAAGACACCACGTTTTAATCCTGGTACTTCTGAAGGGATCGAGTCATAAACAGTCAGACAAGGCTTATTAGAGTTATCACTCAGCGGCGGCTGCGCTGAGCAGCGGAATGCCACGGGTCTAACCCACTGGAGATTATCTACAGGGATTAGGCTGCTCAAAAAGAGGTCTACCTTTGCAATCAGCAATCCGACTTCAACTTTTTGAGCGTAAGTCAAATGATGTTTGAGTCACAGTTTGTTCCACAAGACATGTGATTTGGCAATGAGCACTACCTAGACGCTCGAAACCACGATCTTTACAGCAGTTTATACTGCACCAACGTTCAGAGACGCCATGGTCTCAGCCTGACGTGGGTTAGGCTTCCTAACGCTCGCTGCATGTAATATGGCTGCATAATGCCACGAGGTCCTTGTGCCACAGACCATGGGAAGGCCAGTACAAGGTTCAATAGTAACAGTACAGGTGGGCATCTGCAATGTTGGCTCATTGTGGAAAGCTGCATAGTCGCCTCGCTTCCAAAGGCTGTCTTCATAATGCCCGCGGTCTCGTACCAGAGATAAGCTTTCTGCACGATGCCGCTGGAAAACGACTTTGGCTGGATGATGCCAGCAATGTTGACCGATATTTTCACATTGCTCACCGCACCGACTCGGCACGTACGCCACTCTAATCAACCAAGTCGATGCGTGAGATAAAAATTGCGAGTTGTACCGGTATTAAATCACCTGCATCTGCACGTGATACTGGTGGGGCTACTCTCATGTTCAGATTTGTGTTTTATCAGGTCCTTGATTGAACATTCCAGCTTTGGGCCAGAGAGATAGCAGCCAATTTGCCCAGTAAAGAAGAAAAAAACAAAGGAACCGCAAATGACTCGAGAGGCCAGCCTCATATCTGCGCTGTGACTGGATCAGTGCCACAGGCGATCCAACACAGGGACCAGCGCTACCACGTTCAATACTTCGCATGATCCACCTAGCCAAGCGGGTGTGCGTTACGCTCGTGTTTGCGTGCAGCGTCATTGCGGTTAAAGACTCGATGGCAAAAGCTACATGTCCTATCTTCTGTGGGTCGATTGGCATTATGTACTGTCTTCATGTGTCGGTGCTTGTTCCCCTTGCAGTAACTATATGGCAATGATCAGCAAGTTTCGTCTGACATGATCGCAGTCGTACCGACATACCGACCATTGAACATGGCACCGCACATCTCACAGGCTATCGAGAGAACCTTCCCGGATTCGCATGCAGTGGAGATATCTGGCACATTACATTTGGCTTTATTCTCATCTAGAGGATATGCAGATGCTGACGAAGTCCACTGACCAACATTGACGTTATAGTATGAATTATACGCATGATTGAATGTCCTAGGACTCGATTCATATTCGTAATACCGAGCGGTTTTGTCGCAGAGGTTCGAGCCTCCTTGAATATGTGGTGAAGGCGGGTAAATATATGGAGGCAGATCGTGGCTTGGTCTAGAATACTCGGGCGCGCCATTAGAAGAAAGAAAACATGTCTGTGGCAGGCCGGCGGTATCGGAACCGTATACGAATCCAGCCGTGGACGAAGCAGTATGAAAAGAAGTCCTCATGGTTCGTTGGTGTGATTCAGGCTCCATTCTATATGGATAATTTTGGAAATGGTCTGAGGCTGGTGATACTTGCACATCTTGGCTTATCGCTGGCTGTGGCATCTGGTGCCGAGTCAATGGGGGTATGCCGTAGTGAAAACTCGACTGTCGCCGTGTGTTGGAAGTCGCAATCGAACTTGGCGTCAATGGCGATTGCTCGGAAGATACAGGCGAAATATCTTCAAGAGTCATACCAGGAGCAATTTGGAAGAGCTGGTTTGCGGTGTAATACGGTGTTGACTTTGGGGTAGTGATTGGCTCAAGATGCTCATGCATGACTTTGCGTGAAGTATGAGAGGCTCTTTTCGGAGGATTCAGAGATATTCGATGCTCCCTAGCAACTTCAGCGTAGTAACTGTGATCACTGGTCGGAAGCTCAGAGCAGTTGTTGTGGTCGTTTAATTCGGCGATTCTGCAGTCGACACTAGACATTCCTGGGATCTCCGTAAATTCTTCCATGGATTTTTGTGTTCAAGGGTGTATGGAGGAAGTAGAGCCTCGTCGCGAGCTTTCTTGAAGATCTGCTGTTGTGGTTGGTAAATGCGCAATTGCAACGAGAAACTGAAAAACGCAACGAGGGAAACTGCAGCCACGTGACGATGCTGATTCGAAGCTCGAAATAGAGCTTGTGAAAGAGTTGGTGTCTCCAAAGTGGGCAAGAGTGCTTTTGCGTAATCCTCTTCGATGGCTATCGGCGATTTAGGGGACGAAATACCAGGTTCTCTGGCCCTTACTTAGTCTTGTTTTGATCTGCGACTGAGGAAGGTGTAAAAGCTGGAGCTATACCAGCTCAAGGATACAAAGCGTAAAGAATGTTGTATTGGGCCACGAACTCAGGGGAGAGCCCGACACTTGCTGGATTTGTTGTGCTTGCTCATGTTTGTGAAGTGGGTTCACGTCCAGTTATCTGCCAAAAAAGCTCTACGATAGATCCAGAGGGCCTTTGTATGGTGGGATTTAGGGAGGACGGCCAGCATGACGACTTGACATGGGAGCGACTTTTGGGAGGAATGTTTTGATATATTGCCAAGGACTACAAGCATTCAGCTGAAGAATCCACGTGAAGATGCCATACAACGCTTTCATCCGCCGCTAAGGAGATACAATGTGCAAGATAACAGACCTCTAACGCGAGCGAACGGTGAGGAGGACATAAGAAGGCAGAGGACTATATTTGCAAACCGGTGGACAACGTATAGCCGCTCACTGATTTGCCTTATTTTGTGGTAAAGATTGGAAATCTTGCCTTATTCTGTGGTAAAGGTTGGAAATCTCGCCACAACGCTGAGGTATCGTAGAAGAGATGCCAGGACTCTGGGGGATTGAACCATCATGGACTGTTTTGCAGGTAGGCGGATCAAATCAAGCTCCAGAAGCCAAAGCGATGCAAGAAGGCTGGGAGCAGTGATCTTGACCTTACAGCTGATGTATCATGGTTTGATCATTGCAAGATGATCGTATTCACTCCATTCTGTAAAGAAGAAATTTGACCTGCGTTCAACTTCAGCGCCCAAATTCCCAGCGAAGGTTGGACATGACTATACTGGGTCACGCTATGGTCTCGTCCTCTGTGAAATAAGGCGATCTATCCGGATCCTCGAATGATAGGTCTACATGAACTTCGGGGCCTGCCGAGGTCCAAGTAGTTCCATGGACGATTCTGAATTCTAGGGGACGCGTCGCCTCAGTGCAAGAGCAAGGCTTTGGGCGCCAATTGACCGGTTACAGCAATAGGTATGGTTGATATCAATGTTACAGTATCGTTGCCAGAGCAACTGTGACTGCAATAGTATTGAGCTACTCCAGCGTCTCCTCAAACCCGCCTCTGATCAGCGATGGTCCACAGGAGATATATATACCAGAATACGATCATTCTGATGAATGGCACCACCCAACTAGTTTCTTACTCCATCAGCATAGCGACGAAGAACTGGGCCAAAACGTAAAGCATGCCTTGCGTCTGCCCTGGGTTTGCACAGCTGACTGCGTGGTCTCATCGGGGTTCCGGTGAGTGAGATAAAACGGATGGCGGTTATCTGTTACAGGTCCGGGTCTCCTCCACCAGGTTACCAACACCGATAGGTGCTGTTCTGGTTCAACAACTTCATCAGCTGTGGGGCTGACCAAGCCCCTCACAGGCCAATGGGGGACGATCCAATGCATCAGATTGCCAAGCTCTCGGGGCTCAGAGAAGCAGATGCCGCGTCAAAACCCCACTTCCCCAGGAGTCTGTCCCAAAGGACCTGGAGATGTCTCAGAGACTCGGGATGACAGGTCGTACAGTTGCGTATGACGAGCATTGAGGCACTACCGAAGCCTCACAATTCACTGGCACCTTGCACCCGCTTGCTTGCATACAACGTACTTACAAACCTCAGGAATAAAAGCAAGCACTACATTGGAGGATATCATGGGCGAGAAGCACCTAGTTCGCTGCCCGAGGCCTTACGGGATGTAGATGATGTTTCTATGAGCGGGCTGCGCAGGACTCATCACACATCGCCTGCTGCAAGCTCTGGCGCCTAAGCGCTTCCGGTGAGTCCTCTAGCACAAGTCATTGAGGCTAATGCTGTCAGTAAAGCCAGATATAGGTGGTGCAGAGAATATGCGGTCAATCATCAATCCCGTGATTTCGGAGGAGAATGGTGGTCCCGAGCTAGACTACGGTAAGCCGAGTCGCGGGGAACGGACCGGAATCTACCTACCGGCCGGCACCCCTTAGCGAGATGCACAGACCAAGCAAATGGTCATCCCGTCAGACGTCAGCTTACGTTCTCTCATCTACCACGGCTGTCGAAGTCTACCTGCCGCCTCTTACCACGGGACATGGCCGGCAATCAAATCGTCGCGCTACACTTACTCAGACGTTTATCTGGCATAGTAGCCATAGTTTTTTATTCCAACCATTTAGCATCCGAGGCAAGACAGTATATCAATCATACACTATACAAGGCTATGGTATTAAAGAGAACGAGAGAAGGAACCTGGTACGTCAATACCCCTCTCTTTTGTGAGCGACATGGCTGTAAGATCCGAAGTTATACATCGTATACCTTGACTACAGATTCGTATTACACCCTTGGCTATAGAATTTAGCATGTGTTTGGAAAAATCAATTGCGTCGCTTTGTCGAATGACATCCCCGAGCACTGCTCAGCAGGACGAGCGCTGGACAAACTTTGTCCTTCATCCTGCCTGGCCACATTTCATTCCAAATTGGTGTTGAAATCTGATCGTGGCACTGAAATTAAGGCACCAATGCATGCTTCCTTTTTCCTTCGAGTTACGTGGCCCGTCTAGCGCATTGAGCCCATCTGACTAGGCACAGACGCTCGTGCCTGGCAGCTCCTCTGGCTTAGGATATCCTGTATGAAAGTCCTGCTCGTGTCACAGAGTCGTATCTAAGCTTCCCTTCAATGGCTTGCCCAAATTCCTCAGTTTTAGATTTGTTGGGGATCACGTAAGGGCAAAGAGGCCAAACATCTGGCTAGCAACGTTGAAGAACTAGGCCGAGATTGGTTGCCTTGATCACGACCAGCACGCCCATTTCCTTGGGATGATCAGACAAGTCCTTCATGTACATCCGAATCACCAAGCGAGCAGCCCGCTACTGTTGTGGAGCACGATTTGGAAACTGGGCAGACTGTTGCCTCTACTATTTTTCATTGAGCACCGAGACGCCGATTTGGCCCATTGTCAGAAGGCAAATTATCTCTAAATCGAAGCTGAACATGGTCATACGCAGGCTCTCGATTGATGGTAGTAATGCATGGGGCTTGCGTCCAACGATCAGCTGTATTCATTCTCGCGGTCATCAACTTACGTCCCGCGCGCCGCCCACTTCCGTAAGATAGCCTGGGGCCAAGGTTTACGGGAATTATTTCCTTCTCTTCCCAGGCTGCGGCTCTTCGACGACAGAATTATAGGTGATTATACCAGCAGCTATTTCACGCTTGGCACAAACCAACTGTACCGGTATAGCGGAAGTGGCGCGCACCGTCTATACGACAACATGGGCCAGCGTCCTCCGCTCATTGAGTAGCCGAGAACTCGCAGTTGATTCATTGCGAATCAAATTTGTTGTCAGTATTCATCTGCCATACGAAGGGTGACTTGATTCTCTGACTCGCATGTAGCCCATTCCAAGTCATTCGCGATGATCTTCATCGCATACCATTGGGTGAAAGATGAAGAATCTCACGCCCAACTTTCCGGTCAGTTCTATCCCGAATAGCGGTCTAGAATCACGGGGTTTATCTACTTGACGTTTGCGCTAAGCTGACGATTTCCGGTGAGTGCACCACTTCCGACGGCTATTTGGGCAGTGCCTCATGACGTCACGATAGATGGCATCTCAGGAAAGCTGGAAGCAGAAGCGAGAACCGATGGATCGTTGCAAATTCCGGCAACTGCATGATCTGGCATGGCCTGTTACAATGTGTGACAACTGTCCAAAGATATGAAGAAAATGATTTCGATAGGAAACTAATACTTCGACCTAGCCAACGAGCAAGACAAACAAGAACTGTGTTCTTGTATCACCAAGTATCACAAGGATTTCCCTGTCGATGATGGACGTCAAGAATCGCAAGTCCAACCTTGCCATGTAAGATCTAACAAATCTCCCAGCCTAGACGAGCGTCGGCCCCCAGATCTGGGGAACGAAATATGAAATCCCCGAAAACGTTGGTTTTGCCTATCGATGCTTTGACTCATGGCTGCATGAAATAGCCTGATCTTATGTGCCCTTGATCCTCTCCAGTTCGATAACATATATAGGGGTAAGAAATTCCTAACCCTCCACCATATCATAACATTGATTGTTCAAGGAGCGCTCGCTCAAGATACATACCCTCCATATGTTTGTTGCCAGACAGCGTCCTCCTCATCGTACTCTTCATATTCACGCTCATCTTGACGAATGTACCCGACGGTATCATAGGGACCAGCGCGGGTGTCATTTTGTAGCATCCTCTGCATAGTGTCCAGCGGCTGCACATTCTGGTCGATTGTGTTGAGAATGGCTGGTCTCGACACACTGCTATAACTGTAGTTGGAGCTGGTTGTCTGAGCGTTCGATGGTGCGTATTGGGCACGCTCTGAGGACGACGGTATGTTACCGTTTCTTTCCGTGCGGCGTGAAACTGCTTGCTGTGAAGATTGGCCGGATGAAGAAGCATTTCCGGGAGTGAGAGTTTCTTGGTCACATGTGCTATTGGTGTTGGAATTCCAAGTATTCCATAGGCGTTGCACTGGGGTATACTGCGAGCCGTACGGCCCATGGAACTGCTGGTCATATGATCCATTGGAAAACTCATCACGCCCTGAAATGACTTCCATATTCTCGTTTTGGCTTCCAATCTGTGTAGCATGGCCAACCCAGCTACCTTGCTGAGACAAAACGTTGGGGTCTTGCGGCCAGCGGTTTACTTGCGAAGACTGCAAGGATACCGGTAGTCAGTGATCTGCGTTTTCGAGAATCACGTGCTAACTTACTGACTGCATTTGGCCACGAGAGGGGACGTAGAGATTGTTGCGTTCGGAATTGAAGCCCTCTGGGCACGGCTTGGTACAGCCGCGCGAGTTTTGGGAGTGTGGGTGTTCCATTTTTGAATTTCAAGGCTTGTAGTTTGAGTCGGAGCAAAGTTCAAGTGCAGTGTACACTCAGCAAGGTCAACGGACGGTTCGAATAGCGGCAAACTGATAAGTATAGGATACGCTGCTACTGCAGTTGACTGTACCTAGGTAGAGGACAGTGCTTGGGAAGCGGGGGATAGGTCGAGTTCCAATGACTTTGTAGGGTCCGGAAAGGGCAACGGCTGGAGAATAACTCAAACGGGCACAGTGCTGTGTGAAATGGGAAGGCAAAGGAATATGGAGGGTGTCAAAGCATGACAACGTGCGAATCACCCATTAAAGTATACGGTGGTGCTCAATACATGGTCCCATTTTGCCTAGTCCTTCTCATCCTGTGCTGTATTTTGCTGTGCTGTCCGGTCTTCGCTGGTCCCACACCCTTTGGTGCCGGCGGTGTAGGCCCAAGCACGCTTAAGAAGGCCCTCAAGGCACGTCAGATTATCCTAGTGAATCCCATCTGTATACTCGTTCTTGTGCTCGAGCCAAGTGAGACGTTCCTCCCAGGCTTGGCAAATTGGCGATCAGGAACCCGTGGCCCTATGGACATTGTGCAAGGCAAAGCGAGAAAAATCCAGCTTGTAGAATGTAAAGAAGAGCCATCTGCAGAAAAGAAGTGTGTGCCAGGCCAGCGACGGTGATATTGAGTGGTCCCCACAGCCACGTGAGACAGGCCTTCAACGTAGCATGCGCCTGCAGCCAAGTCCCTTTACTATCCTTGCCAGCAAAACACGGAGAGGTTCTTGGATGAAAGACACCATGAACCATGACTAGTGACTCATCATCTGGCCCAATTATCACCATGTATCAGTCAGGCGTAAGTGTCGTGGCACTTTGGTGCGGTGTTTTGGAGGCTGAATAGCCACATTAGTAGGTGCGTTTTACTCTGATAACTCCTAGCTAGTCATGAACGCGTAGTCGGCTGTTTTGCAGAATCCGGAAGAAACGCCATTACCAAGGTGACGAAGATATGGTTCAACGGCCATGTCTACTTCGGGCGACATGCTTTCGTTGGCGATTGAGTACCCATGGTACACCAATGACGAACTACTACGGCGAGGCTGAGAGCGGGCTTTTCTCGGGTGGCAGAGGTATCTTGAAGCCTCCATGGACAAGAGTCCTGACGGATCAATCCTGTGTGGTTCTCAGCCAATGAGGTGGTTTGATCCTGAGACTGAAAACGTGGCGATGCCTCAGTTACGGAGGGGTTGAAGGACTTAGTCGAGGGTAAGGACAAAATGGCTCATAACCATGGGATGTTCCACGAAGAATTGGATGATAAGGATGAAGGCGGTGCAGGAGGACAGTCGACGGCTTGTGCTCGTTCCTCGCTCGGATGTAGGCGATGTCCTCGCGTATTGAACATATAATCCCTACAGCTTTGCCTTGTAAGGTTTTACCTGCCAGCCCTACCGTATAGGACTTCAGTGTGAGGATGAACTCCCGAACTCCCGATCAGAAGGTGATAAAAATACGTACAACGACTGACGAATGACAACAAAAGTTTCCATCCTGGTACTCTGGAACAGGGCTCCCATGACCTTGAAGTACAATTAAACACGGTATCAGTACATCAACTGCATCCCGCTCATACTGCAACCCATACACGCAGTATGCATACGACAGCGTCGCTGTCACCGAACAACCGCCATCACCACTGTTACGAACGTTAAGAGCAGGCTTACCATCTACCGATGACCAAATAGCCGCGTACCCATTTGTGGACAACACATGATCTGCCTTGGCCTTTTGGTCTGAGGAAGGCAACAACGAGGCAAGCATTGGTATGGACAGTGCCGCTGAACAACCCAAAAGGCCAACTAGAGATAAACAACACTCGTGGTGACCTTACAATGTAACCTGGTGATTCTAATCCACGGGCGTTAAAACCGGCAGAGTACCGGTACGTACCTAACATTGCCATACCGGTACCCATGTCCGTCTCCAGCTTACAAACGAGCCGGCTCTCAGAGCCAGACCACAATTGTCCCAACAACAGCAAACCTACTATACTATATCGTCAAACACACATCCTCCCCCATCTCCCAGCATACCCCAACCTTTTCCACTGACATACACTCGTGTCCACTGCGCACCTTTGCAAGGCTGTACAAATCGCCACATCTCAACCGACCAAGCTAACCAGGGTACCTTAAGGTAAAACTCCCCCTGCAACCCCGCGCGCGGCGCGTTCCTGCACCCTTTGCATCCGCACATTCCCGTACCCGTACCCATACCTGCTGGAATCCATACATGGTTTTGCCTGGGTAGCCTACCCCGGTCGTTCAACCTCATGAGCTTGTACGGGCTTGGGAGCTTTGTAGGTCCGAAGAGAATGAGGAGTTGGAATTGGGATTGAGGGGTTAAGATTGGCGAGGATGGGGACAGGGGTATCTATAGATTGTTTCGTTTATATCTAATGGGTGTTACAGAATCTACGATACCAAGATAACCAAGTATGTACAATGACTCTCCTTTCCAACTCCCAAACCCCCCCCAGATGATTGTGTGGAGTATTAACGTCTAGATGCAAGATACTGTACTATTTAGACCTTCCCCGGTCGAGGAGTTGTTGGCTACGAGTGCCCGCTGTGGATACGGACAGAGTAGGTTTGTCTGGTTAGCGGCATTGGTTGCGTCCAAGGTCGCTGGCGCAACACCGCTTTCTACCCAGTCGACGAGGGCCTCGAAGACTTTCATCGGCTGCCCGCCAATGCCACCTGTACAGTGGCTTAACCCTGGGGCTTCGAAGAGGCGGTAGAAGTTATGGACGTCGGGGGTGATGGCGCTGACTTCTTGGTAGTAGTGTCTGGATTGGCGGAATGGGATGCCCATGTCGGCCTGTGTTGCGTTGGTTAGTATTCTGATTTCCCATTCACTGTATAGAGGTTGGGTTGGGCTTGACTCACCATGCCGTGGTAGGTAATCATTTTCCCACCGGCGTCGCGAAAAGCCGTCAAATCGGGATTGCTGGTTCCAATGATGGAATCGAACTCCTGGACGCCCTGGGTGAAGACATCATCGTAGTCTTTCCTCGACATGGTAGCCGAGTTGAAGCTGGCGTCCTTCTTCACAAACAACCTGATCCAATCCGTCCACATCTCCCGCGGCTTGGGTACGCACGCGCCTTTTCCTGAACAACTCGTCTCCGCCGGGCAAGAAGCAGCCGTCAGATTTGTCTCGTGGCCGTACGTGAACCAAAGGAAGGAGTCGTCAGTCGCACGTGACCCATTCCACGCTGCCTCTGCAACCTTGGCCGCCGTCTCTGAGATCTGGATTCTAGAACCGAGATCCGCACACTCGATTTCCTGTCCGACGAGGGAGAAGGGGTCGAAGCGGCAGGAATCTGGATCGGCGACTAGACCGTCCACCTTGCCATCATCTGCATCGCAAGTCTTGATCGCAGCCTTGGTCATGGCGTCGAGTTCACACGGGTACGGATACGCACCCATTTCATTCATAACCTGCTGCGGAAAATATGCCGTCACAAAAAGCTGAGGATAATAGATTGCAGGTGCAGCAGCGGCAATGCCATTGAACAAATCGGGATACCGTTGTGCAGCCATGATACCCTGCCTTCCGCCCTGCGAACACCCGCTGAAATACGAGTATGCGGGCGCCTTGCCGTAGAAGCTCTCTGTGATGCTCTTAGCAGCCAGTGTCGAGTCGTGAATGGAGACGGACGCAAAGTTCTGCAGCGTGTTGATGTCGACGGTGCCCGGGCTCTTGAGCGCCCAGTCGTCGGCTACATTGGTGGATGGGACGCCGCCGTCTGTAGTCATGGTTGCGTAGCCGTCTGCTAAAGCGGCGTACATGCGGTCATCAATTATGGGGTGAAGGCCTGCGACCCAGCCCCCGCCGCCGACGGCATGCAGACGTTCGTTCCATGGCGGGTGGATGGGGAGGAAAATTTTAGTGGTGAGTTTGTCGTTTGTGCCTGGGTGGGTATGTGTGATTGTGACGTTGCAAAAGTGCAAGTTTTGGGCGTGGGTGTTGCCGAAGTTTGGATTGCTGGAGTAGGGGATGAAGGTGGAGTAGTTGGATATCAAGGAGGCTTGGATAGATTGAAATTCTGTGTTTGGGATAGTGGGAAAGGGGAGGGTGCTGGGTGCGCAGTGATTGATCAAGGAAGTTGTGTTGGACATATTGAGTTCCCGTGTGGCTGTTGGGTATGTTTACAGAGGAGTTTTACCCAACTTTATACCAAATGTACAATTACTTTGTCTCAAGTTCATATCCACAGATTCCATGGCAGACGCACCCCTTGTGTTCACTATGAATCGCCAGAACTCGGAATGCCATCCTATTGTTCAGATTGAAACAGCCAAAATGGCCACGGTGTGGCAATATATCTGGGGACAGTAGCTGAGCCGCACGCACGACGTTGATTGCGGAGATTAACCACACCCTTGGAAAGGGTGGTAGACGTCACCGTGTGGATAGAAACTATTTCGTTTCCTGTTCGCGGCCGTTTCGGTTGGCTTTCGATGAAGTGACACATGTTTCATCTACGCCTCCTACCAGCTTTCATGTCATTAAACGATAAGTACCTGGGTTTTCTGGTGCCACGTGCTGTACTGCAAGACGGCTAAACACTCGTCATGGATGGTATCATCTGTTCCGATGTCATCTATCTAAAGTAGAGGATATCAAAATGAAATATGGGACGCAGCATATGGCCCCGCACTATCAATTATCGTGTTTCTCGCGCCAACGAGATGTGGTTTGTCTAGCTTCCACACCCTGTACCACCAAATCCCCACAACACCAAATCTTCAAGTCGGCTATACAATGATGGAAGGGGTGTTGAGATCCATAAAACTCTCGAAACACTAGGGATTTTGGTATTTTTGCTAGATAAAACTCACACTGAACCTATTCATGGGATGTTGGTATCCTTTGTTCTCCATTCTCTACCGCACTGCGCGGAACCACCTTCTCGTCTTTACTATCGTGACACTGCTAGTAGCGAAGTCGTCTCTGGAGAAATGATGCCGCTAGTCCAAATATGTGCTGCGTGGCCAGGCTTGTGATATTCTACGTCAAATATGGAGTGCGGGGAAAGATCAAATCTGTGGCTTGCAGTGTGGACCAGTATGATCGTAGAGGTTATTATCAAGTTATTGCATGTCATTTACAAGAAGGCCGATGTATTCAGCCTTTTAAGCGCTTTCGAGACAATCAAAATGTAAAAGCAGTAAATTAAAAAGTCTGTGACTTGCGTGCGCCATTGAAACATGGTGATGTCATCTCAACTTCATTTCATTTAATCAATGTAAAGGCAAGCGCCCTGTTTCAATACATCGGGTGGTGCTTTTTCAGCAATACTGTCATGCCCCTCGCTATTTCGACTCTTCCAATACCATCTACCAAACTTGACCCTTCGATTGCTTGATGTTCTTCACGTTGATGTTCTTCCACAGCAACACACCGGCGGCTCCAAGAATCCAGATGCCCAGACTAGCACCCAACAGTCGAAGCATGGCGTCTCCGTAGGCACGCTGGATAGCAAGTCGCGTTGGGGAGCCTTCGGGGAAGGAAAGCTGTGTTGTGATGTCGCCGTAGATCATCAAGAGATTTGGCATGTCTTCCGCAGGCAGATATTCCATAAGTTTCTTGGGAATGATGTCCTGCCAGATGGACGACGCAACGGTCAGACCAATAGCACCACCGATACTACCGAAGATGCTGACGAGCGCAATGGAAGAAGCAACGTTTTCGTGCGTACCAGCGGCCAGAATGGCAATCTCGTTGGTGATGACGAGCAGACCCTGGGAAATGGAGATGAACATGTGGCACATGACAATGTAGCCCACGTTGCCCGGAGCACGGAAGTGGATCAGGAGGCCCTGTCCAAGGAGGGCGAGAGGAATGCCGACAAAAAGAGACATGAATTTGAAATGTCCAGTCCGATGGATCAGATATCCAGCAGTAACAGCGACGAGCACGGACAAGACGGTATAAGATTGAGCAATGTAGCTCGCATGTTTGACGCTAAGTCCTTGGACCACTTGGAGATAGGAACCGAAGTAGCTGTTCCACACGAAATAGCTCATGAAGAGACAAGTGCAGAGAAGACAAGATCCAGCGACGGTGCGATCTTTGAGTAGCCGGTAGGGAATCAAGCTGACCGGTGCGAAGGACCTTTCCCATACAGGGAATATGAGCATAAGGACGATGCCAATAACCAGCATACTAATAACCAGTGCTGATCCCCAGCCTCTGCCCTGGAACGCGTAGAGATTGAAGGGCAGGAGAAACAGGGCCACGCCAGCGGAGAGCAGAAGAAGGCCGACGGCGTCGAATTCGCGACAGTAGTGCATGACGGATTGCAAGGCGCTGCGGCCACTGTTTCGCGGAGCGATGATGCCCAATTGCTTTGCCTTGCGGTAATTGTGCATCATGAGACCCGCGAGTGGCATCGTAACAACGGGGACAAGGATGGTGAACATGCCGAAAGCCCAACGCCATCCAGCTCCGCCCAGGTATCCTTCGGCTATCGGCCCAGCGATCCAGCCAGTGACAAGACTGGCAGAGTTCATGAGGGCTTGCATCAGACCTCGGTTCTTCAGCTTGGTCGTGTCGGCGATGAAGACGGACAGGATGTATTGCACACCGTTGTTGCCCACGGTATGGAATATCATGGCCGCGGCATAGGCCTCGACGTTGTTGCAAGCAGCCATCATGATCAGACCGATGGTCCCCAACCAGGCGGTGAAGATGAGGCCATGAGGCCGGCCAAAAACGTCGATGATCTTTGCAATGGTGAGGTTGATGACGCCTCCCACGATACTGCTGATGATGCTGACAGTCGGAGTGAGCGAGTGCAAGGCAAAGGCGGAAGTGACATAGGGAGTGAGAGCGCCTGTGACACCGTTGAGCATGGTCTCGACGAAGTAGATGAGCCAGATCATGACGTAGGCGATGACCAGGACCGTCTTTGTCCAGGCCATGGTCGTGGCCTCGATGGCCTGGACACCAGCCTGGGCTTCGGCATCGGGACGCTCATCGTTGACGGGGTCGGAATGCTCAGAGCTGGAGATGTTGGCCTCGGGTTTGGTCTCGTGCTGGGAGTCCTGTTTGGTTTCTTGCACGTCGGCAGACATGATGAAGGCTGGAGAGGGAGCGCAGATCGCTCGGCAAGAGGAAAGGGGAGTTAAGAGGGAGAGAGAGAGCCTCTGGAGAAGATGGAACGGACGAGAGAAGAAGGACTAGCTAGGGGTTACAAAAAGTCGAGGCAGGCCATGGTCTTGACTGTTGCAGATCTTTTAAAGCAACAAGCACTTTGCGGCCAAAAGTCGAACAAGGGGAGGGACGAGGGAAGGGGGGTTAGATGCAGGGCAAAAGCAAACAGTTCATGCGCAGCAGTATTGCAGACAATTGCTCGCCATCTTGCTCCTTGGCTAAAGAGAGCGAGCACATTTGCGATTGTTGTGGCGGTAGAGGCCCTACTAGCGCGAGTGTAAGGAGCATGGGAGGGGCCGGACACAAGTGTGAAGGTGTGAAGGGCCAAGGCGCTAAGAGCCCTGCCCCTCGCTAGCGTGCCTAGAAGTATTGCTTGTCTCTTTTCTTTCCCGCCTCCACCTCCACGGCCCCTCACATCACATCACGATAGCCAGATGGTCTGATGCTGCTTCTGTGCTGAAACTGCCTTGCTAGCATCGGCGTATCGAAGAGTCCGTTTTCTGTTTCTTCCTTCTGCCTCGAGTCGTCCAAACTGCCTGTGACAGACGGGTGATGGATGTGATGTGGAAACATGCAATTACCGGTAGCGTATGTAGAACGAGTCCCGCTTGTTCCGCATCAGATTAATGTGCTCACTGACCTGCATTCTTCCTTCCGTCTGCGGCCCTGCCCGTCCCACGCCATGGAACACACCACCACGTCCAGCCTACCTGTTCACATGGAGATTTTTTTTTTCAATACCGGTACTCCCAGGGTTCCATGAGAATGTGCTCAAGGCGCACACGCTGTGCTGGCTGTTGGCTGCTGGGTGCAGGCTGTTGTGCGAGCCTGCTGTGATCCCACACAGAACTGTATCATTGGGAGCACCAGCACCAGCACCCGTACCTCCCACTACCTAGGCTAGGTAAGACACGCCCGCCCCCCACCAGGGTGCACTCCCCATTCAAACAATGGGCTTGCGCACCGCAATTGCATCGAGGCTGCTGACCGAATCTTCTGTACTATCTTTACCTATAGTTGGGCCAGTTTATCTCTGTAGCGACGGTGACAGACAGTAGTACAAATTGCCTATCAGGGCCGCCCTTGCCAGACCAGCTGTTCAATCTCTCTCCTGCCCATCCAGTGAAACTCTTATCGACACAGCATCACTCTCCGGACACTCATGGACGGCAGACGACACCATAGTCCGAAGGGAAACGATGGCCTACTGGGTAAATCCTTCGATCGACAGCATGTCAGCAGTACCGTTCGGTGGTGGTGATGTCCACTGAAATCAGAAATTGCTCACTTGAAAATTCCCATGGCATGCCGGAGCCGTGGTATATAAGGAAGGAGGAGCGATTTCGAGACTTTTTCTTCTGCTCTGACGTCGGCGTCGGCGATTGACGAGTTCCGAGGTAGGTCAACCACAGCAAAGGTCAAGTAATCTGTTGCTCCCATTGTGCCAGGAACTGCCACCATTCTCTGCTGGCTCCAGTCTATGGTACGTTGCGTGTTGGATTCTGTGGATTTCCAGTTGTTTGGCTAGGTCAGTTTAGTGTCCGGACCGCTTGAGAATAGCCTAATCCATATCAACATCGGCTCGTCACGTTCTGTTCAACACCTTCCCAGCTGTTGGAAACTCGAGCAAATATGAGAAAAAAAGACATTGATTCACACCCACCTAACGCAAAGTATTGCTCGAATTCCAGGTCAGGAGAGCTAATTCTGCTTGTCGAGCCATATCGCGTTGTCAATATGCGACGAAAACCTGTATGAGACTCCGTACTCTGTTGTGAATGGTATCGCATGAACGGAGTATAGCTCTTACGCAAGCCTATGGGCATGCTTGGTCCTCTTGTACACGTTGTTCAGTCGCTCATGTGTCAGACTTTGAGCTTGATTTGGGAGAGAGCTGTCGACTTTGTGGACTATATCTGCCGCTTGGAAAACCGATTCCGACAATAACGCATCGGGCGTCTTCCCAGATTTGTCCATTTCCTGGGGAAACAAAACGGTATTAGAGAGAGCCAGTCGAGTTGAAACGAAAGTCCACCTTCCAGAGACATTGTTGAACCAAACAGTGATCGTCCATAACGGCGCAAAAGGACTCGATAGAGTCGTCATAGATTACTTTCCTGCGGATGATGTGTTGTAAAGTACTAAAGTTTTCAAGATTGAAATGATAATCTAGGCTTGTTTTTCGCCTGCAAGTTAGCTAAGGCAAGCTCGTGTCAGCGAAGGCCTCCCGATGCCGAGAAGAGAATTGGCGAATGGAACGGTGAAGATCTCATCTACTTGCAGACGGGACAAAACTTGCCAGAGCTTGCCAAGTAAGTTCGTATTCGAGGAATTGACTCCAGCTGACTGCAAAAGTTAGTAAAAGTGCTCACCTGTGGGTACTTTTGTTCCTTCGGATCTTGCATCAAGCTCTATCCAGTTCGGATAGATGGGTACTTTTCTTGACCCTTCCATGTTTTCCATGCACGTTCTGGACGATGATTAAGCGCAGCGACCCCACGTGTAACACATGTGCAACACAACCTTCTCAAGTATGTAATATATAAGCCATTACCTGACTTTAGAGCCATTTAGCACTGTTAGCGAGTAAGTGCATTAGATCCCTGTAAATGACAGGGGTCTAGGAAAGCATTTTTCTGGCTGTGACAAGTCACAACAGTAGTCCAGCTGTGACTTTGTAAGCAAATTGAGGTAATATGAGTTGGAATCAGGCAAGACAGCCATCAGCTTATCTGTGGCAAAAAGGCCTGACGCTTGCACAGAACGACACCTTCCTAGAACAGCATATGTACAGTCAGCAAACTCTTGCGCAGTAGGTCATGGCAACAGGAAGCTATGCTAGTTGCACACAGCTAGCCTAGTTTGCCAGCAACGTGGATGGCGTCTCCAGCAAGGGTTGGAGACCTCGTGGGTATGATTTGTCCCATCATTTTACCATGGTTGTAAGCGTAAGAATACGTACATATGCGGGTCTTAGGCATGCTACCTATTGCTTACCCGGGTCCCGTAGTAGTCCGCTGACAGGCGAAGGCCATCCATGGCGCGGGAGTGGAGACCGGGGTCTTCTAAGCGACTGATTAACGTTAATTCACAGCGCCATGAAAGCTGCTGGCTTCCGTGCGACGCCAAGATGGCACTACTGTAACCATTGTATTTGGGCCACCGACTGGATCCCAGCCCATTACAAGCATTTGCTCACGTCTGAGGCTAAATGCGGCAGCAGCTGGGGTCTACCTCAAGCAGTGGGATGCACGTATCCACCATCCATGCATCCATCAGCCGCCAGCGCGGCCTTCAACCAACTTTGCAACTTTTCTTAAACATCATTCACAATCTTCTTCGTTTTCCTAATAGCCTCGTCGTATGCCCATCATGGAGAAGGATATCACGACAGAAATGGCAGCCCTGGACAATCCGTTCCTTGATACGTCAAATCCATTTATCGACCCAAACTCGCCCCAATTCAAACAAAAAGAATGGTTGCGCGTGGTCACCAGCCTCAAGTCTCGAGATCCCGACCGATTCCCCGAGAGACTCGCAGGTGTGGCCTTCCAGGACCTCTCGGTCGATGGGTTCCGCGAGGATACCGATTATCAAAGGACTTTTGGCAACTACCCATTGGCACTGCTCACCGCCGCTAAGAAACTGATAGGCCAGACCAGAAAGATTCGCGTTCACATTCTGCGAGACTTCGATGGCCTGGTGAAAAATGGTGAAATGGTTCTTGTCTTGGGTCGACCCGGAAGGTATGGTTTTCAACTGTGATCTTAGCGACCTCTTGATATCTGACTGATGCAGTGGGTGCTCAACGCTACTGAAGACTCTCGCTGGCGAGACTCAGGGCTTACACGTTTCAAAGCAGGCCTATGTTAACTACCAAGGCTGTCCTAGAGACAAAATGCACAGGGAATTCCGAGGAGAATGCATCTACCAAGCCGAGCTTGACCACCACTTTCCACAATTGACAGTTGCACAGACACTCGAGTTTGCGGCTCGAGCAACGGTATGCAAGTGTAATATCCCATCTTGAGCCCTTGAACTGATTTCTTCTAGACGCCTCGCAGTCGTCTCCCAGGCGTCAGCCGAGATGTGAGTACGGTTACCTTCTGCAAAACCAAATATCTTATGAATGTGTAGATGTACGCAATGCACCTGCGAGATGTTACCATGGCTACTTTCGGCCTCACCTCAGCAGCGAATACAATGGTTGGTAATGACTTTATTCGGGGTATTTCTGGAGGTGAAAAGAAGCGAGTCACCATCGCAGAAGCGTGAGTGCTTTCAAGTTGCACAATCCACTTTTACCTTACTCACAAGTTGTTTAGTGCGATTGCTGGAAGCCCTCTGCAATGTTGGGATAATAGTACTCGCGGCCTTGACAGTGCTACCGCTCTCGAATGTATACAGACATTGAGAACATCCACAGACCTGACTGGCGCCTCGGCGGTAGTCACGCTCTATCAAGCTTCACAATCTATCTACGAGGTAAATAGTACAGAAACCCGCTCATTTCTCTAGCTAACCTGGTCTAGGTTTTCGACAAAGTTACTGTCCTTTACGAAGGACGCCAAATATACTTTGGTCACATTGCCAAGGCCAAAGCATTTTTCATCAACCTCGGTTTCGAATGTGCACCGCGCCAAACGACGAGCGATTTCCTCACATCCGTAACAAATCCTGCTGAACGAATGGTTCGAAAAGGGTTCGAAGGGAAGACTCCACGTACACCGGATGAGTTCGCCGCTGTATGGCAGCGCAGCGAGGAGCGAGCAACACTGTTGCAGGAAATCGCCGACTTCGATGCGGAGTATCCAATTGGTGGAGCCTCGTTTGGGCGATTCAAGTCATCGCGGAGAGCCATGCAAGCGAATACACAGTATGGAAACCGCAGCCTTTTTGGTTTACAACCGCTGACTGTTTATAGACGGGCGAAATCGGCTTATACTCTTTCACTACCAATGCAGATCAAGTTGTGCATGGGGAGAGGGTATTTGAGATTAAAAGGGGACATGGCCAATAGTATCATTGGTATAATGTTCAATGCTGTCGTGGCACTTAGTAAGTATAGCCGCTATCATCCAGCTCTAGTAAAACCTTCAGATGGCATTCCCATTTTGTCAACGCACGCCATGCTAGTCTTGCAGCGTTACTCTTGCAACCATGCACCTATCTACCAACTCGGCTGACATGTGTTCCCTATAGTAATTGGCAGCGTCTTCTACAACCTCCAGAACAATACAAGCTCGTTATATAGCCGTGGAGCGCTGTTGTTTTTCGCTGTTCTATTGGCAGCACTTGCCAGCGTCATGGAGGTCCGTCGCACCGCTCAAGTCAGCACGTTCGAAGCTAAAGCTCGCAGATCTTTGCACTATACGCACAACGTCCTATTGTAGAGAAGCAGGCGCGATATGCCTTCTGTCACCCCTTTGCTGAAGCCATTTGTGAGTTGCACTCTGCTGATTGCGTAACATTGATTGGCTTACTCCAAACTCAGCGTCAATGATCTGCGACCTTCCGAATAAAATCGGCACAGCTATCGTGTTCAATCTCGTACTATACTTCATGACAAACCTACGGCGTACGCCTGAACATTTCTTCGTATTCCTGCTTTTTACATTTTCGTGTACATTGGCCATGTCCATGTACATTCGTGCTATCGCTGCTCTGTCTCGCACGTTTCCTCAGGTACGTATATGCGAAAGCTGATTGCATAAGATGCTAATTAAGTAGGCAATGGTTCCGACATCGATTTTCACTCTGGCATTCATCATCTATACAGGTTTCACCATTCCTATCAAAGAAATGCACCCATGGTTCCGCTGGATTAATTACCTTAATCCTGCCGCTTACACTTTCGAATCTCTTATGATAAATGAGGTTTGCATCATACTTCCTACCTTGAGTAGCAAATGCTGATTGCGATAGTTTCATGATCGTGTTATTCCCTGCTCGAATTTCATCCCTAGTGGCCCACTCTATGACCAAGTGCAGTCATCTGAACGCATTTGCACCACCACGGGTTCCCGAGCTGGGGAAAGTTTTGTCGATGGCGACACATACCTCGATATCAATTTCCAGTATACCCGTGACCATCTCTGGAGAAATCTGGGCATCATACTTGCTTTGACGGTTTTTGGCTGCGCTGTCTATCTCATAGCCGCAGAATACGTGTCGGAAGAACGATCAAAAGGAGAAATCTTGCTCTTTCGAAGGATGCAGAAACCTGCCACTCGATCAAGATTGGACGAGGAATCGAATAGCTCCGGCACGAGGGTGGACAAAATGTCCAATTCTGCACCAGACACGGCACTGCAAACTCCTGCTCATATTCAAAAGCAGACGTCAGTGTTCCATTGGGATGATGTTTGCTACGATATCAAGATCAAGAAAGAGGAGCGACGGTTATTGGATCACGTTGATGGCTGGGTTCGGCCTGGTACTTTGACGGCTTTGATGGTATAAGCGCTGCCCCGCGCCAATGAACTACAAAACATGCTGATAAGAACATCTAGGGTGTCACGGGTGCAGGAAAAACCACACTGCTGGACGTCTTGGCCGACCGCGTTACCATGGGTGTCATCAGCGGCGAAATGCTCGTCGACGGACGCCCGCGAGACATGGGTTTCCAACGCAAGACCGGCTACGTACAGCAACAGGATCTCCACCTTGCGACTGCAACCGTACGGGAAGCCCTCGTCTTCAGCGCTGTTTTACGCCAGCCGGCTGCAACACCGCACCATGAAAAGGTTGCGTATGTCGACGAGGTGATTCAAGTTCTCGAAATGGAGTCTTATGCCGATGCGATCATTGGCGTTCCAGGTGAAGGTATGTGCTCATGATCCCTGCCCAAGTTTCGGATATGTGACAAGGGTCCTAACGCATCAAAAAGGTTTGAATGTCGATCAGCGTAAACGTTTGACAATCGGAGTTGAATTGGTTGCTAAGCCTGCCTTGCTTCTCTTCCTGGATGAACCTACTTCTGGTACGTTATGCTCGCTATGGCGAATGAGATCTGCACACGAATGCCCTGCTGATGATTACGCACAGGACTTGACAGCCAGGGTGCTTGGGACATTATTATCCTTTTGCGCAGGCTCGCCGATCATGGCCAAGCTGTTCTTTGCACGATACACCAGCCATCCGCAATCCTGTTCCAACAATTTGACCGACTCTTGCTTCTGGCAAAAGGTGGCAAGACATTGTACTTTGGTCCCATTGGCGAATCTTCCAAGACATTCACCGGCTACTTTGAACGCAACGGGGCTCGAACCTGCGGCCCTGATGAAAATCCCGCAGAATGGATGCTCGAAGTCACAGGCGCTGCTTCAGGCTCTCAATGCTCGCAGGATTGGGTTGCCATCTGGAACGAATCAGCGGAGCGTAGGACTGTGAAGACAGAACTTGCACAGATGAGGGAGAAGCTTTCTCTTCAGTCACCGAGAATTGATGATCCGGATGCGCTTCGTCCTTTTGCTACGAGCTTCACAACTCAGTTACGCGTTGTGCTTCCTCGAGTGTTCCAACAATACTGGCGGACACCGTCGTACTTGTATTCGAAAGCAGGACTTGGTGTTCTCAGTGTAAGCATTTTATCCAGTCTATTCTGTGTGATGAAACCTAGCTGATAAAACTTGCTCTAGGGTCTGTTCATCGGCTTCTCCTTCTGGAAAACACCCAACTCGCTGCAGGGAATGCAAAACCAGCTCTATGCTATCTTCATGCTGATGAGCATCTTCACTACTTATTGCAACCAAATCACGCCCAACTTCCTGGCCCAGCGAGCCTTGTACGAAGTCCGGGAGCGCCGTTCCAAGACATTCTCGTGGCAGGTGTTCATGCTGTCGAATATTCTGGTCGAGTTGCCGTGGAATGCGCTCATGGGACTGCTGGTCTTTGTCACCTGGTACTACCCGATTGGATTGCATAGGAACGCCATTGCGGCCGATCAGGTCTCGGAACGCGGAGGTCTCATGTTCTTGTTCATCATGGCCTTCTTGGTGTATGCCGGCACATTGTTACACATGGTCATTGCAGGCGTCGAAACGGGGGAAGCTACTTCGATGATTATCAACCTGCTCTTCTCTCTCTCGCTCATCTTCTGCGGGTAAGTCGTCTCCCTTTTCCGATGCCCCGCTTGTCAAATGTACTAATGGGTGGATCATCAGTGTCCTCGCCACCCCCGAAGCCCTCCCCGGTTTCTGGATCTTCATGTACCGCGTCTCTCCCCTCACCTACTTCGTCTCGGGCATTCTATCCGTCGGCCTCGCCAACGCACCCATAACCTGCGCTCCCGAAGAACTCCTCCGCTTCTCCCCGCCCCCGCTAACAACCTGCGTCGAATACCTTGCGCCCTACATGGAGTCACAGGGCGGCTACCTAGTTCCCGAAAGTATGAACTCAACCACATCGTGCGTCTTTTGCTCCGGCAGCGACACGAATGTCTTCCTCGAGAGCGTCAGCTCCGAGTACAAGGACCGCTGGAGGAATTTTGGCGTCACGTGGGCGTTTATCGTGTTTAATACGGTAGCGGCGATTGGCCTGTATTGGCTTGCGCGCGTGCCAAAGAAGACAAAAGTGCAAAAGGCTGATTAGGTTGGCTGGGTGCATGGGCTTGGGGTGAGGTGATGCCACCTGCCACCCAGAGGGTTGTTGGGTTGCGGCTTTGCGAAGCAGCATGCTTGGTTTGCTCATGGACGCTTCTCCCTCTCCCTCTGGTCTCTTTTCCACTACATTAGCATTCAGCATTCTTTGATTCGCAAGAGCAATCGCTAAAATGCCAGTTTGCAGGCCCAAGTGCAGACTTTTCTTTACAGGGCATTTGTTGGTAGTTGAGGGTTGTGGGAGTTGAATTCACTCTTTGTTTTGTTCGTAGTCACTGCATTGTCCAGGTACGGTTACCTACCGTACCCATCCACCTTGCCTCCCTACCTAACCACACAACCCACCAAGATGACGTTTCTTCCTTCCCACCTCTCTACCATACCAAAATTAAACCCAGCAAAACCTGCGGAAAGAAAAATCTTCACATCTCACATCCCGATAAGACCGGCTCAGCAAGATGAGATGAAAGGAAATCAGCGCAGACACCGGTGCCGAGGTACCTAGCACTAGCGTACCTACCGAGTCAATGTCCGCTCTTGGCAATCCCGCCCCACAAGCCTCCCGCTACAAACACCCAAACAAGCCCCGGCCGTCGATGAGTAGTAAATCGCAAGGTGAATCCCAAGGCCCTTTGCACACTACACGTAGTCTCTCCAAAACTAACCAATGCAATCCAATGCAATCCAATGCAGCACCCAAATGCAGCCCCCCCCCCCTTCCCACGGGTTTCCCAGGTCGAGTCATTCACTCGCCCAGCCTGCGCTTTTTTGTTCGCCTGGGAAAATTAACTTGCTCAGTTTGAGACGTTGGGGGCGCGCTTGGCGTGGCTGGGTGGGGATTGTGGCGGGGGAAGTTTGCCGAGGGGGAGGGGAGGGGATGGGAGAGGCAAAGTGTGCTGATGGGGGGAGTTGTGCGGCTGCATGGAATGGGTGCGTCGGCGGGATGGGAGAGTTGTGTAAGGTGTGTGTAGTGTATACCGGTAGTGTATGGTTGTGTGGTGTAGGTGGGTGTGGAGGGAGGGGTGGAGTCTGGGCTGGGTAGTGTAGAGTACTAGAGCTGGGGTTGGCGCTGTGGGTGCTTGTTGGATCGGCGAGGGGGGGTTGTATGATGGCCTGTTTGTTGGTTATGGGAGGGGGCAGGTTGGGTGAGTGTTGGGGTGGAGGTGGTGTTGCGGGTTGTCAATAGCTGGTTTGGGCGAATTAGCGCATCAAGAGGGAGACTTTTGGTAGTGCGGCTGGGCTGCTTGCCTTGCAGCCATGGGGCAAGTGTGGATATGTTGGTGGCGGTGGATTGTTTTGACGGGATTATACTTTTGTTTTGGATACCTAAATGGTGCGGCAAGAAGTTGGGGGGGTTATTTGGGTGTTGATAGTTGCATGCTGGACTGTGAAACTCTGCAATGTAAACTTCTTGGCCTTGGGTATGATACAACTCCATAGCCATGGCACTAAACATGCTCTCTCTCTCTCTCTCTCTCTCTCTCTCACACACACACACACACGGTATACGTACCTGGAAGAGAGGTGAGGCGCACAGCTGCAAGGCCAACCCGCAGTAGTGTCAGCAGTCAGCAACGGCTGAGCCAGCCATCCCACATGCTGACTCCAGACAAAACTCAATGCTGAACTCTCACCACGCAGTCAGCCATACCGCCATCACACAAGTCAGTTGGTTGCGACTCAGACAAAGGAACACGCGAATGCGCTTATATGCGTCAGTTATAGGGTAATGGTCACAATAACCGCATTAGCAAGTAGCCCTACCAGATGCTAACCAAAGTCGCTGGCCCTGCAGACTGCAAGTCCCAATGTCACATGTCTGGCCAACTGTCTCGCTTATCTGCATACTTTATTCACCCATGGCCTTAGGTAGGGAATACGTAGTCTTTGTACGTCCGTCATTCCTTATGCCTGCTGGCTCCCGTATTGTTACGAGGCAAAAAGGCCAGAGTAGAGCCGGTTCGAGATGGGATCGGCAGCGGAATATGGGTATTGGCCCGGAGAAATTCACTACGGCGATACCGTACGGGCACTAGTAGGCATGCCCCGTCTGACGTGGGTAGACGTGGTACTGTGTAGTGTCGTTGTAGATGGCGTATGGTATACCACCCCTATAGCGCCGCTGTACGGCCCAGTCAGACAGCTTTAGTTCCAGACCTGTTTCTCACTCCGCGGGTGTCGCATGGATCACGCGTTCTTCATATTAGTAAACATGGTGGAGCTGGCTGGGTCGACTAGGATGAGGCAAGGTACTCATTCCGCTGACCTGCATTTCCAGAAGGACGCGCTTCCATTCTACAGGAGTCTTCGAGTTAGCCATCGAAGACGAATTTTCTTGTCCGGGCACTTGCATTGATTGTTTCTCGATACTGAGGTCCAGCATCTTTTGACCTGACGCTTATCAACACAATACATCTCCATCTCCATCTCTGCAGTCTTGAACGACACTCTAGCCAAGGAAATCTCACATCGCAAAGGCATCATGGATACTCTGCATCAGCTTCCAAAGCTACGGCCCTTGGGTTCGTGACATTCACTCCAAAGAAGTCTTCGTCGGCCAAATCTAAACAAGCACAGGGCGTTCCGAGCAACTTTCGGCTGTCTCCCATGAACTCGGCTTTTTCCAGAATGTGGGAATGTCTGCACAGTACTCCCTCACCAAATCCTCAGACGCACTAGATGTGCGCCGCGTCGTCTACGCCGCTTTGGCGCACGTAATTCACAAGCACTCCATCTTGTCTGCCATCCCCGTCGATGAAGTCTCCCCAGACGTCTACTGGGCCCGTCTTCCCTCGATCGATCTCGAGCGCTGCGTCACCTTCCTGACTCGAAGTAAGCCAACGGCAGAAGGCGAGGAAGATTCTGAGCTGGACAAACTTCTCCAAGAACAGCACAATACCAGTTTCAAGGAGAATTACGGCAGTCTGCCATTCTGGCGCTTGCTCATCGTCCAGGATGCTGGCAACGAGTTGAGCTTCACTGCCTCCTTCATTTACTACCACGGCTCGGGCGACGGTGCTGCAGGACTCATCTTCCACAAAGCCTTGCGGGCTGCTCTGGACACTGTTTCCTCATCTCCTGCCTCGCTTGCCGATGTGAGTGCAAAGGTGGACATTCCAAACGACACCCAACTTCTCCCGCCTCTGGAAAAGCTGCATCCATTGCCGCTGAACCCGAGTCCATCCAACCACAAGAAAGAGGGCCTCGAGGAATGGACCGGAAATCCGATTCAACTACCGGCCACCACTCACTATCGGACGCTGAACATCTCGCCGGCTTCCTCTGCAACATTTTCACGCACATGCAAGGAGAACAATTTGAGGTTGACGTCGGGATTGCATGCCATTATTGCAGAGGCTCTGTTTGATAACCTCCCTTCCACCGTGGATGCACTTACAGGCATCCTCCCAATCAACCTGAGACCATGGCTCAACCTACCAAAAGATGTCGCAGACGACGCGCTGGGCACCTTCATCGACGCCATCAAAATCCAGATGCGCCGTGCCGATTACGTGGCCACTGATGAAACCCCGATTGCCGGGTTGGCTGCCGCCCGTCACGCCTCAGAGGAGATTCAATCCTATCTCAAAGACCACATGTCTCCTTCTGGAGAGCCGTATACGTCTGTGGCGTTTTACGGTGGCATTCCTGATGTGGCTGCCGCGTTCAAGTCTATGGTGGGTGGCAATCGTGAAGCAGCTTTCGAGGTCTCCAACCTCGGTCGGTTCATGGACAATGCAGCCGATGGCCAGTGGCGTATCGGGAGAATGGTCTTTAGTCGCAGTGCAGTCGTTTTTGGAGCTGCGGTTACAACGAGCGTTGTCTCTGGTGGAGACGGGGCGTTGACTGTTGGATTCAGTTGGCAAGAAGGTGTTGTGGATGACAGCTTTGTAGACGCTGTGATTGGAAGAGTCAAGTTCTACCTCAATGCCAGCCCCCCCTAAGCAACCACCAATACGGACAAATCACACTTTAGAAATTTCAAACCACAATAGTCAAACTCTCAAGTCATTTTGCTTCAACCCACAAAATCAGCTCGTTCGGTTTTTTTGCCACCAATTGTCACGTTAGGTCTCCAACATGTAACTGCAAGACAAATTACTGCAAGCTCTCACGTCAGCGATCCTTATGCACTCGTTCTCTACCCTGGTTTCCTTGGCTAGCACCCCTGCGATGTTGTATGTTATACATATCTCTTCCTTGGGAGCGGGAGGGGATCGTGCTGGTAATGCACGATGGGGAAACAAGCTCAGAGTCAACTGCGGGTCATGCATCGCAGCCTCCTGCACAAACCTGTCTTATCGTGTGTGTGGGTCTTTGCAGGACAGAGTCATAGCGTCTTAGCTGCCTGTTGCAAACACACCTCTCGGCTGGCCTGGTAACAATTAGATCTGCAAGTTTCTGACGCATGCTCACCACGTTGGCCTACCCTACCAATCACAAAATCGGTTTCCCGCTTGTCATGGACAGTCTTTTTGCAGAGCATTATGAGTAGAATCCGTGGTCTGTATAGCTAGGTCCGTTCTTTGAAGAGGAAGAGTTTCCAGATTGTGGGTTGTGTTTTGTGTGCGTTCGACTGCGGACAACAAGTATACCATATTAGGATAACGTGATCCACCACCGAGCGCCCACCCCCACCGAGCGCCCACCAACACCAAAATCCACCACCCACTAAATGAGGATATTACGCCACCCACAATAGCTATTATTACAAGATTTCTTAGAGTTATAATTATTAGATCTATTAGAGTAGATTAAATATTTTAGATTATATAAGCAGCTTTTTAGGGGGTCTAATTAGGCGCCTATACTATAAAGTTGCCTCTACTACTATATCCTCTTCTACTAGCTCCTTATTAACCACCTTAGCTAGTATAATAGTAGGAGGCTTAAGGATTTACCTCTTACCTATTTAGGATATTTTAATATTATTTTAGAGTTACTTTTCTAGTTACTTAGTAGTTTTCTACTTATTATATATAGTAGCTTTTTAGGTAGCTTTCTCCTTCTACTTCTTCTTAGTAATTACTTAATTTAGGTAATACTCTTTTATAAGTTAAGCTTTAGTAAGCTTCTATTACTTATAAAGCTTAATTACCTTACTTTTTTAGTATTATAGCTCCTATTCTTTAAGGTTCTTTTACTCCTAGAGCTTAAACACTTACTCTACCTTTAATAGTAAAATAAATTAGGCACTACTACTATAATTATTATTAGGGGGTAATAATAGAGGTTTACTACGCTTCCTACACTTCTTCTTATTAGCTAGGGTAGCCCTTAGGTGTTTATTTTTATAGTTAAGTAGAGTATTTCTTATTAATATAGTATAGATTATCTAGCTAAGCTTTTTTAACTATTTATTATAGATATTAATTATAGTATTATAGAGTAACTACTCTATCTTTCTCTAATTACTTATACTTAATATTAAGGTTATACTATTACTTAAAAAAGGCTAGTTACTATTATTTATAGGTACTTTAAACCTTAAAAGGATAATATTAGGGTTAAGTAATAAGATACCTATTACTTTAAAAGCTATTAATATTAGCTTTTTTTTAAAGGTATTCCTCTATATAGTATTAAATAACTAGTAGAAATCCTTCTTAGTAATACTTATAAGCCCTTAGGAGCTATCTAGAAAACTAGATAGTTAAGCTTTATATAAAGCTATAAAGGGAGCAAATACTATAATATTAAGTAGCTAAAGGGTATAAGTACTATAAGGGGGATATATTATAAGTAGGATCTTATATTTATTATAGTACTTAATAAACTTTATTATTATATAAGATTTATAGCTATTAAGGATAAGAAGCTAATATAAAATATAAGCTTTAGCTTTTATCTTATAATTAAACACCTCCTTAAGCTAGGATACCCCTAAGGTATAGCTTATCTACCTACTTAGTAATCCTATAAAGAAAGCTTAGTATTATAATAGGTTAAAATCTTATAACTAGGTATCCTATAGAGCTCTAGATTAAGACTAATAAATAAGGGTAGAGGTAAGAGTAGTACTATTAGCGCATATATAAGCTATAGTAGTAATCTACTCCCTATTACTATCCTAGAGTATAGCTCTAATCTTTCTCTACTTATAGGCGCTCTTATTAAATATATATTTAGTTTTTAATAGTACTTTAATAAGAAAACTCTTCTTATCTATATTATAAATATACTAACTCTTAATATTATATTACTCTATTTTTTAGTATAAAAGCTTAAAATATAAGCTATACTTAAAGGTAGAATTAGCTTTAAAGTAGTTATAATTAAGCCTAGTAGCCTAATAGGAGATAAGATTAATATTATAGTAGTTAATAAAGTGCTACACCTAATTTTTACTTACTAGATTCCCTATTATTTTAGTTATAAAATTTTAAATAATAATCTATATAGGGGGTAATCCTTACTTATAAAGCTCTTTAATATATTTTATAAGTATACTTTCTTATATAGTATTAAGTATTTAACTATTTAGTAAAGTAGTAGTATATACCTACTAAATTTTCTAGTAGTATCTAGATAAGGTTAACTATAAGTAACTATACTTTTCTACTATTTCTAAGTATATAAAATCTTCTCTAAGAGTTAAGGATTTAATTACTATAAGCGCGTTATTAATAGGTGCTATAGTTGTTAAGAAATTTAGTGTTAAAAATTTAGTGATTTTGGTGTTAGTGGGCGCTCGGTGGGGGTGGGCGCTCGGTGGTGGATCACGTTACCAGTCTCGTATTCTCTAAGACCGGCTAAAAGCATCTCAAATCTTCTCATGGGTCTTGAATCCAATGAGGGTCTGCTTATCTGCTTGCTGATCGTGCTTATGTGCTGAGAATTCCAAAAAGGTGGCGCCAACTTACGCCCAAAAAAGAATCATGGAGACATATCTTTAGAAGCGTGATTCCCTCGAAGATGAGAATCATTCACCATCCATTCAGACTCTTGCTCTCTTGTCCTTTGTTAGTCCAGTATGCATTCTCCGTTGTCTATGCCGCCGCCGGGCTCATGGCTGAGCACTGCTTCTACAGAGCTCGCACGTGTTCAGGTGCCCCTTTGGCTCACCACATCCATCATCTGCGGTCTGATCTACTACATCTCAACGACGTTGAGCAACAAGACTCCCCTCCCTTATATCAACACTCCAAAATGGTTCATCCCCGAAGTTGTCGAGCAAATCAACTTTGTGAAGAATGGCATGAAGACACTTGCAAGGGGTAGGACCGAGTTGAAGGACAAGCCGTACAGAATGATTACGCACATGGGAGAAGTCACCGTGCTTCCCCCAAGTTATGCTACCATTATCCGGAACGAGGAGACTCTTGACCTTCGAAGTCTGCTTGCAAAGGTAATGCTGAGCATGTGTGGTAACCTGGGTGTAGAGGCTGACTGTAGACAGGATTTTCACAGCCATCTGCCTGGGTTTGAGCCGGTTGGCGCTGTTGCCAAATACTTGCATCGTATCGTTCACAGGTATCTTAACAAACACCTCAGTGAGTTGCACATTCTAGTAGCTGAGCATGGACAATGCTATATGGCGATCATCTCCTCGTTCAAATATCTAACAAGCATCCCATAGACACCGTGACTGCACACATTCCCGCAGAGGCAACCTATGCTATCAACTTACTATTCAAGAACCCTTCCGGTACGTATTGCATTCTCCAAACACGCAAAACCATCACTCAATAGCTAACCTCTACAGACTGGAGTGAAGTCTGCATCCGCGAGAAAAACGTCGAACTCGTGACTCGTCTCTCGTCCCGCGTCTTCCTCGGACCAGAACTCTGCCGCAACGAAGACTGGCTCAAGACCGCCATAGACTACACCAACCACAGCGGTGGTGCAGCCATCAAACTGAACCTCCTCCCCAGCTTCCTCCGACCGTTCTTCACCTGGTTCTCCAACGACTGCAAGCACGTCCGCAGCGACCTCGACAAGGCCCGCGCCATCATCAACCCCGTCGTCGAAGCGCGCCGCCAGCAAAAGCGCCGCGCACAGGCTGAAGGCAAGCCCGCCCCCGTCTTCACCGACGTGATTGAGTGGGCCGAGATTGAAGGCGGCGAGGAGGAATACGATGCCGCGATTGCACAGTTGGGATTCGCCGCCGCTGCCGTCCACACCACCACCGATCTCCTCACCCAAACTATGCTCCACCTTGCCAACGACCCCAAACAGATTGAACCCCTCCGCGAAGAAATAACCAGGGTTCTCACAACCGAGGGCTGGAAGCGAAACGCTCTCTTCAACATGAAGCTCCTCGACAGTGCCATCAAAGAAGCCCAACGATGGAAACCAATCAACATGCGTAAGCAATCCCCTCTACATCTCCAACCCATCTCATACCCGTACACACACTAACCCCTCCCTCCCCACAGTCGCCATGCGCCGCATCGCCCTCCACGACATCACCATCCCCGGCGGCCTCACCATCCGCAAAGGCGAACGCATCGGCATAGACGCCTTCAACATGCTCGACCCCAAGATCCACCCCAACCCCGAAAAATACGACATGTACCGCTTCCTCCGAATGCGCGAGGCCCACCCGGACCACGCCATCAAAGCCCAGCTCGTGTCGACGTCGCCCGAGCACCTCGAATTCGGACACGGCCATTTTGCCTGTCCCGGTCGGTTTTTGGCTGCGGATGAGATCAAGATTGCGTTGTGCCATTTGCTGCTCAAGTATGATTGGAAGTTTGCAGAGGGCACGAGTTTGGAGTATATCCAGGCGGCGTTTTTTCAGAATGTGAATCCGGCGAATATGTTGTTGTATAGGCGGCGCAAGGAGGAGATTGATCTTGAGACTGTGAAGTTGAATTAGGGGTTTTTTCTTGTTTTGGGTGGTGGAGGGGGGTTGATGGGAATAGTATTATGACTTGGGGGGGTTTTTTTCGTAGAACTAGAGCATGGGTGGGCTTGACATTCACTTTTTTTTTGGGTAGCAATGCAAAATTGAGTCTCTCCTTGTACTACTGCTTGTCGAGAATGTTCAAATGAATGGTGAGCTCAAGTTCCATCTGCAAACATCTTCGACAGTCCGAATTGTCCAGAATTCTGTTACCGTAGTGTACGGGCACAATGACCTGCCAATACGGCGAATGGGTAATGTTTCGCTGGTACAAGCCTATCAGGTTGAGAAACAGTATTCCTCGCCTTGGCTGCCGTCAGCATCAGCACATCTCGCTAAAGACAGCAAAATGCCATCGTCGCATCTGACTCTCTACGGTAGGAGGTAGGTGACAGTAAGGTTGGCCTAGACACCATCGTGATTCGCTTCTAACTCGCAGCTGGAAATAGTTAGTAGCTACTTGGTGCTAGCAGCAAGATGCCGTCGTGTGACAGTCCCTAGCTTGCACTGTAAGCCAGTGACTATGGCAAATACCTAGTAAGCACAAGCACACTTGGCAGTGAAGGTGCAGGGGACGGGCCGGAGGAGTTGGCGTGGGGTGATCCCAGCTCGTGGCTTGAACCAGCGTTCGGATGGCAACCGGATGCGGAGTACAGAGTCTTTGCACGACTGGTTCGAATCCTGGGTTGGTGTTGACGCATGGCATTGTACATGGCGAGGGCCTTGGTAAGCTGGCCTGTTGTGCTGGATTTTGCCTAGGTTGGTGGGAAGAGGCGGCCTGATGTGCCCACATAACGTTACCTACCGGGATACCCACCTATGCAACACTTCGCTGCACCGCATCACATCCTTGTGAATCACCAACACACCTCGATGCGACCCACATGCCCACAGCTCTTGGAGGGCTCGTATCTTGACTCCAAATCCCAAATCCAAAGATCCAATACGTGGAGTATCAACATACCATGGCATCGGTACTTGTCTACTTGCCCGCCATTCTCACCACCGCGGGCCCACCCTGTCGCTGGCCTTGTGCCCAGGCCGCCCATCTAGACTCGCGCGGCAGCGGATTCCCGTCCCGCGATGGATCCCGCTCTAGCCTCGATTGCCCATTCAGCCCTCCTGCCTGAGTTGGACATCGACTGTACCTATCCGCATGCTCCATTGCGACTTGCACAGTGGCGATGTGGTTTCAGGCGACCGCATGTCGTATACCCTGGGATCTAGGTAGTGCCCAGCTGTTGCGGGCAAGGTATGCAGACGCTGCTGTTGCTAATGTAAGACGATGGATGAGTCGGTGTGGTGAAGTGAAGAATACCGTGACATGGCGTGGTGCTAGGTACAGATTGCGCTCCTCGGAGTCGAAACCATGTCCTTGGCAGTACCGGTAGGCCTACGGAACGGTAGGTAGCACAAAGATCACCATGCATCAAGTACATGGCGAGACATGGGCCAGTCAGCCAAACCCAAATCTTACATTTCTGCACTCTGAAGCACAGTCTTCCAACATCCTGCGACTGCAACAATGCATCACGTTCAGCTGAGGAATCCACACCCAACCCTCACCGCCACCACTTTACGGTACCATACCCACTCGCCAACCCCCCCACCATCAGCACAGCAAACACCACAAAGCACGCCCAGCCCGCGAGGAAAACGCTGCTGTTCAGAGAACAAGTGCTGACCTGGACGCCTCATCAAAAGCAATCGAGGCCGTGATGATGTTGGGTGGCGTGCGTCAGAACCTTAATTCTCGTAAGCAGGGGCTTACGTGGTGTGGTGATGGGATGGCGGGGCGTTGGCTAGGGTGTTTTGGGGCTGAAGTGTATGGGTGGTTGGATTGTGTGCTGGTGAGGGAATGGGCACTGTGTAGAGAGTGTGGATATCGTGTCTTGTGTGATACCTGGTGATCTTGGGGTATGGTGGGTACGCATGTGACATGTGACACTTCACTTTTATACTCGCCATCTAAACGCTATACTACCTCTACATACCACAATGCGCATCCTACAACCAACCCCCAAACCCATATTCCCAACCAACCTCCACCCCCAACCAACCACCCCTCCACCGCCGCACAACAAAATCCTTGCTTTATAACATGCAACACACAACACCTTGAACAGCCCAAAGTAAACCCACCCATCCATCCATCTCCCCTCCAAAAACACCTCCAAAAACCAAGTTACCCCTACACCCCCTTTCTATCCATCCCATCCACCCTCCCCTCCAACTACATCAAGTCTCACCCAACCTAGGCCCCAGAATTCACAAAAGTACAAGACAAGACTACACCATACATCTACATGACAACACATCACCCTACCACCCATAACCAACCCACCCCCTCACTCATCCCTCCTCCCTTATCCCCCACCACCCCCTCCAATCCCATCCCCAAACCCCCAACCAACCCTTCCCTCCAACCCCCAACCCCCAACCTCCCCCAATCCCAACCCCCCTCCCACTCCCCGCATCCCCACAACCCCACCGCACATTCCTCCACCCCAAGCATACCCTCCAACCCAAGCATACCCTCCAACCCACCCACCCACACCAACCCTCTCCATCCCAGCACAAAAGCATGCAAACGCCTTGGTCATGAATACACAGCACCTTGTTTTTTCCATCACGCGCACAGAGTAAGACACCATGGAGATTATCGGGTTAAACCCCCCCCCCCCCCAATACAGAGAGAAACAGGGATCATTAAAAAGAGAGGAGAATGAAAAGGCAAGCCAAAAAAAAAACAAAAAAAAAAGAGAGACATGGAGGGAAAGAAAGAAAAAAAGAGACATGGAGGGAAAGAAAGAAGAAGGATATAGATATAAGTCATATATCGTACAGCCTAGTAAAAAAGAGTAACCACCAACAATGAACAAAGCCATCCAGCCCCAGAAATATAATATCCCACACTTGCCGTCCCCCTCGCTTCCCCCCATTGTACCGTCTCCGTGCCGTATCCTCAACCTTGTCTGCAATCCCATGCTTAACCCCCCAAACCCATCCCTCGTGCCCTAACCTTGGCCTCCCCAACAAACCCCCGCACTAAACTCAGGACAGCTAAGCCTCCCCTGCAAAACAAGACCTCTAGAATTAGGTGAAAAGGAGAAAGGGGGGGTTGGGATGGGTATAATGTAGGTAGATGTGCATGTAAAGGTAGAGGTAGAGGTAGAGGTGGAGATGGATAGTCATAGAGATGGATAGATATAGAGATAGATAGACGGAGAGCGAGATAGACGGAGACAGACGGACATGGAGACAGACACGAAAATAAATACAACCATGTGAACAACATTAAAAAAGACGAAAAATCTGAAAGAAGAAAAAACCCACATGTATCCCTCCATTCCCAAAACAATACCAAAACCATCTCTACCTAAAAAACATTTCGACAATAAAAATGTACAATTCCATCCCCGCATACCTCACCCACCGAGCATCTGGATCGGCATCCCGGCCCTCG